AAACCACAATCGCAAAATTTTATATGTGCCAATTGTTTCTTTTGATATTTTATCTAACAAATCAAAAACTTTATCAACACCTGTACATTTATTTAAATAATAATTTGTGTAAATATCATGGTCTTCTTTCTTAATCGTATTTGTTGCATATGTTACATTTTTCAGTGCTTTTTGAATTTTTCAGAATCAAGAGGAGGTGAAAGTAATATACATGGATAATCTCCATCGTCAATAAATTGTAACTTATGTTTATGAATAAATTTGTGCCTTCTTCTGAAAGTGTTTCGTCAATATCACCATCTAATAAATTTTGTGTTGATTCCAAAAAGTAATTTTTATATCTTTCCTCATGTGATTTTTGAACTTCTGATTCTGAAGCTGGGATATTCATTAAACCCTCTACTTCATTCTCATTATATTTTTCAACTTCTCTTAATTCCTTAATTCTTTCATCTATTTCATTTCTTAATTGTTCCAATTTCTCAATCTCATCGTTATAATATTCATCTTGTTTAATTTTTTCTTCAAAATATTCAGGAGGTGTTTCAAGGCTCTCTGAGCCCAGGTCCTCTGGACCATAAAGAGGAATATTCTCCTGTTTTTCAACTTTTTTGGGATATAAATATCTCATTATAGCCTTTTTAGTAATTGGTCCGTTATATTTAAATTCATTCAACAATCTGGAAAACTCTTTCACATTCTGCATATATGTTGGATAAGAACCGTCTCCAAAATTTTCTAAAATATTTTCTAATTCTGAATTAGTGAACTTTAAAGATTTCAATGAATTAGTTGTTATACTCATTTATTATAAAATAAAAATAAAAAATTTTCTATTTGTCATCTTTATAGAGTGGGGGACAAACTCGCCCATTGTCACTTTTTCGTTAACCTTAAACTTGTAATTTTCATTATTTTTAATTAACCTTATTTCTTTCCCAATTCCTGATTTATTTTATTCACTTACTATTAAAAGTCACATTTTAATAAAATATAATAATTTATTTATAGCATTTTTTACTATACTGTAATAAAAAATTAATTATAATAAATTAAATGTTTATTAAATCAAATGTTTTCTTTGCAATAATATTTTTAATGTTGAGTAAACAATGTTGGGATCAAGTGTATCATTTTTCAGACCTTTCTGAACAGCTTCAAGCATACTGATGCATTCGACTTTTTTAAATTGTGTCATTTCTTCGAAATCTCTTGTGACTTTTTTGATAACTTTAACACTTCTCTCTGAATCCAGACCTTTAATTTGCAACTTAATCAGGAATGAAGGAACAACACTGGAATATAACTCGATGACAAGTTCATCGAGTCGAAGATTTGGTTGTACACCACTTGTATGTGCCGGATACCATTGTGTCAAATTTTTTCTGAAATTAACTTTAAAAGTACTAAGTAAGATCATGAGATATAGCAATATATGTTTAAACCAACTTATATTTTGGTTGTACACCACTTGTATGTGCCGGATACCATTGTGTCAAATTTTTTCTGAAATTAACTTTAAAAGTACTAAGTAAGATCATGAGATATAGCAATATATGTTTAAACCAACTTATATTTTGGTTGTACACCACTTGTATGTGCCGGATACCATTGTGTCAAATTTTTTCTGAAATTAACTTTAAAAGTACTAAGTAAGATCATGAGATATAGCAATATATGTTTAAACCAACTTATATTTTGGTTGTACACCACTTGTATGTGCCGGATACCATTGTGTCAAATTTTTTCTGAAATTAACTTTAAAAGTACTAAGTAAGATCATGAGATATAGCAATATATGTTTAAACCAACTTATATTTTGGTTGTACACCACTTGTATGTGCCGGATACCATTGTGTCAAATTTTTTCTGAAATTAACTTTAAAAGTACTAAGTAAGATCATTTATTTTTGCATAATATAATGCCAATATGGTTTCTTTTGATTTTATTTCATTTATAAGCAAATCAGATTTACCCAAAAACTCCACTCCATAAGCGTTCATTTGCTAAATTAAAAAGTGACAATGGGCTAGTCTGTCCCTTTCTCATCTTTATATAAAGATAAAAAATATTTTTGATTAATAAGGAATTAATTTCATTTTATGTCTTATAATGTGCGCATATGTATTTAAAAGGCATTCATTGAATTGCTTTTCAATCTCTTTCTTTTTTTCATGTTCGAAGCTTGTAAGTTTGTTATCTTCAAATATTATATTAGTTTCATATGAGAAAGGGACAGACTAGCCATTGTCACTTTTTAATTTAGCAAATGAACGCTTATGGAGTGGAGTTTTTGGGTAAATCTGATTTGCTTATAAATGAAATAAAATCAAAAGAAACCATATTGGCATTATATTATGCAAAAATAAATGATCTTACTTAGTACTTTTAAAGTTAATTTCAGAAAAAATTTGACACAATGGTATCCGGCACATACAAGTGGTGTACAACCAAAATATAAGTTGGTTTAAACATATATTGCTATATCTCATGATCTTACTTAGTACTTTTAAAGTTAATTTCAGAAAAAATTTGACACAATGGTATCCGGCACATACAAGTGGTGTACAACCAAATCTTCGACTCGATGAACTTGTCATCGAGTTATATTCCAGTGTTGTTCCTTCATTCCTGATTAAGTTGCAAATTAAAGGTCTGGATTCAGAGAGAAGTGTTAAAGTTATCAAAAAAGTCACAAGAGATTTCGAAGAAATGACACAATTTAAAAAAGTCGAATGCATCAGTATGCTTGAAGCTGTTCAGAAAGGTCTGAAAAATGATACACTTGATCCCAACATTGTTTACTCAACATTAAAAATATTATTGCAAAGAAAACATTTGATTTAATAAACATTTAATTTATTATAATTAATTTTTTATTACAGTATAGTAAAAAATGCTATAAATAAATTATTATATTTTATTAAAATGTGACTTTTAATAGTAAGTGAATAAAATAAATCAGGAATTGGGAAAGAAATAAGGTTAATTAAAAATAATGAAAATTACAAGTTTAAGGTTAACGAAAAAGTGACAATGGGCGAGTTTGTCCCCCACTCGTTTCATATATCAAATTATGATATCGGTCATATTCTTTTAAGTGATAAATAAATACAAAATTTACGGTTCCTTTAATTTTAAATTCAAAATTAATTTTACAACAGCTTTGTGGATCAATTAGTAAATCAATCAAATAATGTTCAAAATCAGATATTATTCTTTTTCCATACATTTTATATTAAATAAAAAATCTAACTTTATTTCTTCGGAGTTTTGTGACGGTTACGAATCTTGATCCACTCATTTTCTTACGAATTAAAAAAATAAATTATTCGTAAATGTAAGACATTAATTTTCTCCCCTGTTGTCGAAATGTCATGTTGTCACCATTTTCAAAAGAAGTTAAATAACCGAGTGACACATAGTGACATAGTGACACCTTCAGTTCTTCAAAAATAACTCATAACTGCCTTCCTCTCATGTTGTCAAAAAGAAGTTAATTAACCCGGTTACCCCCTCATTTATTCAAAAACGTAAGAATCATACATTTTTTACTTCATATGTTAAAATAAATGATACAAAATCGTTCAATATTGTATGAATTCTTACGTTTACAAAAAAAGTCACAATCTTCATTTTTAAATTGAAGATTAACCCATTCAGGATTTAAACAATGTTTAATTAATCGCGGAATATCTGACATCATCTATATATAGCTTCTTTTATAAAAGATGGAAAAATAAATATATTTTAAAATTAATGTTAATTTTTTAATGTGTTTATGTTTGGGCTGAGTGTAAATGTCTTACAATTTTGTATCATTTTTAAATCTTGATTTATTCAAAAACGTAAGAATCAAAACCGTAAGAATCATACATTTTTTACTTCATATGTTAAAATAAATGATACAAAATCGTTCAATATTGTATGAATTCTTACGTTTACAAAAAAAGTCACACAACCCGTCATATATACTACTATTTCCAATTGCACAGAGGGTTCTAGATCAAGAGAGATTGTGATCTTATCTCCTTGAAACTAGCAAATGAAAAGCATATCCTAAGCTGATGTAAAATAATTTGAAAAGGGGATAAAATAGTCAGCAAAGATACAAAAATCATTAAAAACATATATTGAATAGGGCCGTCTATATAAGAAAAAAAGATGGCAAAAGCACATTTCAAAATCTTATAGAAAATATTTTGGTGTAATTTAAGATATTCCAAACCACTAGGGTTTAAAATGCATTGTAGTGCCATATTTTACAAAAGAATCTTTATAAACCAATTTACTCGTGGTGGTGGTGGAGAGATTCTTCCTGGACAACTTCTTCAAGAGTGTTAAGCTTCTTCATAGCACGGCGGTGTGTGCCAAGGCGCTTCTTAAGGAATTGGCGAGCAGCACGGCGGCGTTCGATCTTGATAAGATCCATTGTGTGGCGTTCGTATGGTTGCCAGCCGACAAGCTCGTGGACAATCTTGCGAGCGAAGTTAACACGCTTGCCAGATGAGTGGAGACCGCATTCACGCTTTGGAGCAAGGACCTTTTGTTGTTGTTCCTCAGACATTAGAAAAAGGCCATCCAAAACGATTATTTTCCCTTCAATTTAAAATTTAAAATCTTGATGAGTATCAATAAATGCTTAGATAAAGAGATTTGGTAATATCTACAGGGGAGTGTTATGAAAAATGCTAACTTGGTTTAGAAATTTGATGATATTTCAGACAGAATTGCAAATTATTGATTTTCTTTCTATACTTTGAAAGAGGCTGATAGTATTTTGTTTTGAATCATTTTGAGAGTTATAGTAGAAAGATTTATGCATCAATATTTGATGTTTTATGGGACAAGAAGGAAAAATGATTTTCTAGTCAGAATTAAAAGTATTTAGAAGAATATTATAAAAATTAATACTCAATCCCTTGATAATAAAGAAACAAATAAAAATATTTGGAACAAAATAAAAACACCAACAATATATAACTTTTGGTCAATCTAATTATAATATAAGGTCTAAGGCTTGAGTGCCCCCAATAAGAACGTTTAACGTCATCTTTAATGTACCTTGAGACTCTGTTCTTGTAAGGTCACGAGCTTCACCGCCAGCAATGAAGTTTAAGTTAATGAATTCTGTTGTTTGTCCGGTAATTTTCGCGATCAATTTCTGCATCAAAGACGTTGATGCAGGAGCAAATAAAGGTATTTCGAGTTTATGAAGTCCTTGTGTTGTAGGAAGGTGAATCGCTCCATATCCAGCAACAACCGTACTTCCAAAAGCGTTTTTACCGTAAATTGCAAATACCATTTGAGGCCAGCCGAAAGGTCTCTCAGCTTTAAAAGCAACATTGAATGGGTAGTTCCAAATGCACATGTTATTATTGTCTATTGATGAGGCTTGACTGGTTCCTTCTTTTGCACCAACGGCAATTGACCACCCAGGACCGTGAGAAAAACCGTATGTGAAGAATAATCCATTTGCCTTTGGATCTGTGCAACACTCAACCTGTCCTTCGACTGTGAGGATGAGTTTCTGTTCTGCCATAATAAAATTCGAAACGAATTTTTTTTGTAGCAATTCATAGAAAAAATTCAGAACTCAAAATTGAATTTGTCACTTTTATTTTCCATGAATAAAAAGTGACGTTGAATCAGTTTATCATTTATTTTATAAAAACAAAGAATTCTACTGCGTTCACTGTAGTTCTGGGGTTTCAATCCTAAATTACATGATTGAGAAATTCGACTATTAGGACATTTAATAAACATTAAATCAAAATCAATGAAACACACAAAATATGTTTTTGAATCAAAGATCATAGAGAATAAATTAAAGAATATCCATAATTATCATTTACAAGGTGTTCATCAATATCAATAATTCCAATCATTTCAAGTTTCTGAGTTACAATATGAATTTCCGGAATAAAAATCAGATTAGGTGGGTGGGGCTTGCAGGGGCTTACGCCCCTTCTAGCCCTTAAAAAGAGACGTTTAAGATATGAAATTGTTTATTCCAAATTTGTTTTTAAAAAACTTGTTTGTCGTCCCACTTTCCAAACTCCTCGTCGTCGTCAACTTCTTCTTCTTCTTCACTTGACGAGGAGTTTGGTTGGGGAGATTCTTCTTTTGGTTCTTGAGAAGATTTGTGTCCAACAAAGTCAAAAATTTTTCGGTGCCATAGGATGAATTGGAGGGTGTGAGATACTATTGCGTGCAATAGTACTCACACCCTCCAATTCTTAGCCAAAATGGCTAAAAATTGAGTGCAATGTCAACAATTGCACCGAATTTTTAGCCATTTTGGCTGAGAACTATGGTCTGCGAGGTACATGGATAGAATCAGTACCTCTCAGACTATAGTTCTCTATATGGCACCGAAAATTTTTGGATTCTTTAAATTTAAAAATGTTATTTATGAATAGTATGAAATGGCTAATGTTATAGGCATAACTTGGATAAAAACTAAGAGGTCTTGTATTTGATAGTGAAATGTAATGAAAAATTTGTAATTATTATTGGAATTTTGTCAATTCAAGGTTTCTACTGATAAAATCATAGTTCCTCTGATAACACACGAGTTACAAAATACGGGTGCTTTGTCGTATGGCGTTTTGATTTGTGCATCTCTGATTGTAAGATTCATAAAGTGATCAAATCCTGTTAAAATACCAGAAACTTCCCTGTCTTTGTTTGACATAATCTTGACTTTTTTTTGCAAGTGCCCTTTTAATTCAGGATATGGAGGTTGTGCTTGAGTCATTTGGACACTCATAATGAAAACACTTATGACATTTTATTACTATTCTCTTGATATCATATATAACAATCTAACAGATTTTGTTGATTTAACGAAATTTGAGTATGATTTGCTTTATTTTTCTCATTAATTTAACAGATATCACTTAAAATAAAATAAATGAAAGGCATAATGATAATACAAACGAACCATAGATTTACTAAAGAAAAATAAAACAAATAAAATAAAAAATTTTACAAACAAACAAATATATAAAGATTTTCCTAAAGATCACTTTGATCTTCATGTAATAAAGATAGTGGTGAACCATTTGGAAAGTTGTGCATGTATGGTTTTGGAGGATCACAATGAACTCTGAAAGAAGTGCCTTCTTTTCCTTCTCCAAAGAAATGATCGAAAACAACACTTCCATGCTTCAAATTATCATCACATATATATTCAAAAGTTATGTTATTCTGGAAATTTTGAATATATTTATAAGGAATTTCAATTTCATTTGAGGAAAATACAGGCTCTGGAGGTGTCTCTGAATAATAATTGTTTCCGTATGGAGCATATATCATGTATCCCCATATAATATCCATAAAATTGCCTTGGTAAGCAATTTCAGTAGTAATATGGGAACCGAAAACATGAGTCCATTCAACATAGACATCCGTTCCATTTTTGTAAGTCCAAGTTGAAAATGAGGAATTCCAAATTAATTCGGTAATTTTATCAACAGAGTGATGATAAGATATTGGCTGATTGTCAGGGGAGCCTTTTGATGTTGATTTTTCTGGGAGATCGCCGTTAATTCGCCCAATTTGATCAATATAATTCGAATAATTTGTTGAAATATTATTTATCGTTGAATAGAAGTCGATACAAGCACTGATTCTAATATCACTTACGAAATTAAATTCCTCGTAATATTTTGAGCAATTTAAGATTCGAGGACCAAGGAATTTCATCATTGCTTGAGAAACAAAGAATCCTGCGCCACCTTGGCAAAAGTAATAGTTGGATTGATTCGATTGGTAAAATTTAATAAGAGAAGGGAAGATTGCAAATTGATGACCGAGAATTCGCTGTTCTGTATAGTTAAAATCTTTTAAGTTTTTAATGATACCGTTTGGAAAGAGAAACGTATCATCGTCTCCTAAAAAGTACCATTTTTTGTTCGGATATCTGCGATATAAATCTGAAAATGCAATTAGATGGCGAGATTGTGCATGATTCCATACATTATCAAAATTTGTACCAACTAAATGATGAGCGAAAGTTGGAATCGTATGAAATGTGATATTTAAGTGATTTGAACTATTTAACACTTCATAAACATCATCCATATCGAGATAATCTGAATAAATATCGATAGAAGGAACAAATTTTAACCATGTTTTTGCCAAAGGCAAAATTCTAGATTTAATCATTTTTTTTCCAGTCCATATTCCAAAAGCGAAGTCATGCATTGCAATGCTGTCAGATTCTTCACTTGAAATATGCACCAAAAGAAGTTGGATTAACATAAGTATGAATGATCAAAAAAGATATCTTTGAAAATAATTTTTTTTGATCATTCATACTTATGTTAATCAATAATTTATGGGCAGATGCATTAAGATATCTTAAATATCTATAGTGAAGGCCATATCCTTAATAATTTCCTCTTATCGAATTCAATGTTTGATACAATCCAGCCCCGAATCAAATTTTTATAAAGAACATATCTATTATAATCTATCTATGATAAAATGATTTTAATTCAAATATTTTCATGCTTTTCAGAAGAATTCAATCGTCTTTTCTTTGCACGTTATCAAAATAAACATACAAGTAAAATAACTATACATGGCACGATGAGCGCTGTGCAACTGGTGGAAGAGTTAAAACGCTTGGAAGTGCTAATGCAAGTGTAGCTACAACTAAATTGAACCAAAACGGTGGAACGAACTTAAAGAAAACAGCCAAAGCAAAAGAAACACCAATTGCAATGAATGTTCCCTTCTTTGAGAGAGAGCAGCAGGTCTTGCATGGGCAGTCAGCTGGAATGTATTTTCCGAATAATTCATCGAGTTCCTTTAATGAGCGTACTCTGTTTGAGGCTGTTGGATCATCTCCTGGAAGTTCACTAAACAAGAATTTGTCAACTTTAGAGCCTAAGTATGCGTAGAAAACAACTGCAAAGTAAAGGGCGCAAATTGCAAGGCAAACAGAAGCAAAGAAGCCAGCTTCTACAAATTTGGCGAATTCAAACAAGCCCAAAACTGTGAGAAGAAGGGCTGCAAAGATGACTGGACGCTTGAATAAAAGGACTTCTTGGGCAAGCTTTACCCACTTTTCATATGGTTTTAACTTCTCTTCGAATGTCATCTGAAAAAATAGTTTTGTAAACTTTATTTTTTACGTAATAAAATTGAATTGTATAATCGTTGTGTATCGGCGTGAATAGTGGAATTTCAACACTGCTTTTCATTCCTTAATTTAAAATAAGGCATGTTTAGATTACCAATATCAGAATTTCATTAAATTGATGTATAATAAATAGTCTTTTTCAGCTGTTAATTTTGGAAAAATTTAATTAGTGATGCGAAAAATTCCCAAACATATGGGGTTTCTCATATCCCGTCCCCTATCGTTTCCCCAATTCAATTTTTTTTGGAATTTTATTTTTTTTCCCGCCCATTTGAATTAAAAATGGGCGATTTTCGTTAATGTGATTGAAATATCATAAAATTAATACGTATTTTAGCTAATAATTCTATTTTTATACAATATTCTCTCATTAAATCAACATTTTTTTCTAATTTTAATTTTTAATTTTTAATTTCTTCATAATTTTAGCGATTTATGCTCATTATTAGCAAATAAATAATATATATAATATACTTATTTCATTTTATTCAGATAGGTCTTTGGGATTGGGATACCTTGTCCAAATTCAGAGGAAGTTTGAGAGGTTGGGATGGGGTAGCCCATATTCAATTATCCCAAGTGTACTCCACGAATTTAAAATTATATTATATTATTGATGACATATCTAAATTTATAGATAAAAATTTCAATGCGTACACAATTTTTTTTGAGAAAATTCTTTTTTTTTACTTATTTTCATTCATAAAAGCTCACGTGAACTTAATTAACAACTGAGACATTTCCTATGAAATCATTTAATGCCGTCAAAATAGACATGTCTAAGCTGTTTTGAGTGACTTTCGCTCGATGTCTGATGCAATATCAGACATCGAGCGAAAGTCTCTCATATTGGCAACACATCCATACGATCAATACTATAGCTACGAATTACAAGCCTGTTTGGGCAATTTTTGGCCGAGTTCTGATTTTTCATTAGATCTCGAGCGAAAGTCTCTCAAATTGGCTGCCAGTTCATAAGAGTGAAACTCTAGCTACGAATTAGAAGCTTGCTTGAGAGACTCTCGCTCGCGTTGGGATCTGCATCAGAACTCGAGCGAAAGCCTCTCAAAGTGGTAAGACCTGCTCATTGTTGAGCAGGAGCTGCGTAATGTGTTCGAGCAGAGTGAGGCTCTTCTAATATCTTCCTTGTGATTGGAAGAAATTAGAAGAGTCTCACTCTACTATTTTGTAATTGTATGCCCGGCCTTTGAGTGACCAGGGCTGCGTAATGTGTTCGAGTAGAGTGAGGCTCTTCTAAGATCTTCCTTGTGATTGGAAGAAATTAGAAGAGTCTCACTCTACTATTTTGTAATTGTATGCCCTGGCCTTTGAGTGACCAGGGCTGCGTAATGTGTTCGAGCAGAGTGAGGCTCTTCTAAGATCTTCCTTGTGATTGGAAGAAATTAGAAGAGTCTCACTCTACTATTTTGTAATTGTATGCCCGGCCTTTGAGTGACCAGGGCTGCGTAATGTGTTCGAGTAGAGTGAGGCTCTTCTAAGATCTTCCTTGTGATTGGAAGAAATTAGAAGAGTCTCACTCTACTATTTTGTAATTGTATGCCCCGGCCTTTGAGTGACCAGGGCTGCGTAATGAATTCGAGTAGGATTGTACAATAGCTCGGCAAACGCCGAGCAAATTGATATAAACGTACATCCCACAAAAAATGGATTGTCAAAATTTATCCCAAATTTTACAAAACCGCAGCGGTTATGACATCCCAGGGCTAAAAAAATTCGGAAACTCGCATCTCTAATTTAATTTATTTTCTCAATTCCACTTGTAAATAATCAATTTTGTCAAAATTCAAATCGACACAAGCTTATAATTTTATACACTTAATTGAATTATCCATCAAATTTTAATAAATTTATATTAATAAATGGAAATAAATTGTTAAATTATGAACTATACTAACATAAGGACAAAAAAGAATGCAGTTTTTCATTTCTAATAGAGATTGGTCCATCAGAGAAGACACTTTCCATTTAATTCAAGATCTATGATCAAGAGAATAATAATCTATGGTTTAATTGCAATAAATTCAACTTTCCATTTCAAATGGCATGCTAGAGATGCTATAAAACCTATTCAAAAAATTAATTGGAGACATGGATAAAAAAAATTTTTTTTTGGTCAAATTCAGTTCAATAATGAATTTTAGTCCATACCTTCTCTACTTTTCATTATTGTTATTTATTTTGGCCTTCTTCTGTCTCAGCCAAATACAAGTTATCAGAGAAATTCGCGCAAGCATTATCGATTTATTATCAATAAATTTCAAAACATCAAACAAAAAAATACCAATTTCAACAGGTATTACTACATATGCTCCATCAGGACTCCAATATTCGCCAACAGAAAGATTTTCTCCAATGTCCCCATCTCAAATTTCAGATTCCGTTAGAATGTTAACTTCTTTCCAAGAAATTCTTCAAACAAATCATAGCAATATCTTATTCAAAGCCAATTTAGCCGAAAAAATCAAAACGCAATTCAAGAAAGCACAAGAAAGCGAGAAAACAGCAGAAAAACATACAGAAACAACAACTTCAAAGCTTGCCATTAACCAAAGAGTTCAGTCTGATACAATATATTCAATTAATCCAACAAAGCCCGAACCAAAGAAGTACCAACCCCCAGCTGTTACAGAAGAGAAGAAAGAAAACACCGAACAGGCTGCTGAGGAATCTGCTGCTACTGCCAAACCTGCAATTGGAAAAGGTTTGAGTAAGGGCATTGGCGGTGGCATTGGAGGTGGCATTGGCGGTAAACCTGCAATGGGTGGCCTTAGTGGTATTAAGAAAACAGGTCTTACACCTAGTTCAACTCCATCAAAAGCGCCTGCATTTGGAAAGCTTTCAATTGGTGCTAAATAATACTGTAACATTCCGATTACATATTTCATTTCCTTATTTTGTTATGATTGATAAAGAATAAAAAAAATTATTTATATTAAGTATCCGTTTCCTTAAAACTAGAGCCTACTGAGACCTTAAATTTGAAAAATTGATGCTATTGTATTTCCCAATTTCGATATTCTATCGATAAAATAAAAATTTCAATAGTATTCTTATCGAAAATAGGTTATTGATTTTATAAAACAATAGCATTATGCATCATATCAGCTCCATCTTAATTAATAAATGAAAATATGTTAATATCGTTTCAAACTATGACGTATCATTTCAAAGCTACAGTATCTGATATTGCCATAATTATTTTTACCCAATATCACTTCGAATTCCATCCTATAGCATAATTTTAGTTTTCAAATTGAAAAAAAAATTGAATTGTGGGAAAAAATTGAATCGTGGAAAAAATTGAATTGTATATAAAATGAGTGTAGTTGCAATTGCTAGTTTTTTTTTAATTTTTCAAATGACTGAAAAGAAAGATATCCACCTCATATACGAAGAGTTGACAAAAATGTATCGAAATAATTATGAAATCATTGCTTCTTTCGTGCGTATTAACACAACGAATACCACAGAAATACAAGAAATTTATCAAAAGATGAAAAAAATTTCTAATGAGATAGATTTATTTCCATTTGTAAGTCCCCCTATCCTTTTTAGTGCTTATAGATATAATAATATATATTTGAAATCATATTGGCTCATTTTCAAAATGTTTTATGAAGAATTTCGAATAAAAATTGATTTAAGAGATCATCCAGCTTTAGAATATTTCTTTAATAAGGAATATGGATTCCCAATAAGTTATCGAAGTGAAAAATCTTACGGAAATTATACATTAGATCTGCTTGAAAAAAACACAATTTATAGATCAATTATGGATGACGATAAAGATTCATTTATTGTATTCATTGAAAGCGAATCATTTGATAAAACTCAAAAACTCAAACATGATTTTTATCCGGAATCAGATAAAGGATATTCATTTCTTGAATTGTGTTGCTATCACGGAGCTGTTGATTGTTTTAAGTTATTAAGGACAAAATTCAACTCAGAAATTAATCCACAATGCCTTCAATTTTCATTCTTAAGCGGAAAACCAGACATTTTGAACGAATGTTTGAAATTCCAAATACCCGATCAAGAATGCATGAAATATGCAATTATTTCATTCAATGTTGATTTTATAACATTTTTGAATAGAGAGTATGGATTAGAAATTGATTTGGATACTTGTAGGCTCTGGAGGAATTACCAAGCTTTCTTTATTCATCTTGATGTTTCAAATGACATTGAAAACTGCTTTCCTTATACTCCCTGTAGGGTTGTTAGATTCCCGACGATAGGTGTCTTGGAAGATTTGCCTGGTGTCATCATAGTGTCTTTAAATCAAAAATTTTATTTTGGAGTTAGTTTTATTGATTTTTCAATAAAAAACATTTGTAAAACAAGAAAATAAAACGATAAAATATTTATATTTTATATAAGGATCTTATATATTTAAAATAAATATCATTTTATTTTTTTCATTGGTGTCTGTCAAACCATAATACACTATTCAAAAATTCAATGTGTCTTGCGGTTTCAAAAGACACCTTCAAATTGAACGATAGCACAGACACTATTGAATTTTACCCATTGTATTTAGTTTTTACCCTTTTTATTTTTAAGAATTAATGACTGAAACAGCCGTTTTTAGGGTTGTTAAAAATATCAAAAATTAGCGTTTTGAAGACACCATGGTGTCTTATAATTTTCCCTTCCTTATTGGCGTGTAGAAATAAATGCGCCAATAGATTGAAGAAGAAGAATTGTTTTTCTCTTAATGAACTTTAATCCTTTTGATATAAGAATATTAAAAACATTAATATAATTTCGATTTCGGAAATTAAATTTCCAAATTTTTTGTCGATTTCGGAAATAACAGGATCCCGCATCCAACACGCAACAACAAAACACAAAACACACTTTTTGGTTCTTTCATCGTTTTAATCGTAATTTATGTAATACATGATTTGGATAAATTTTACAAAAATAGAACCTATATTATATTCTTTTCAAAGATTCTTGCAAATCATCAAAAATAATTGTATTTTAAAAAACGATTAAATTATCCTTTCATTATTTTAAACTTAAATTAGTTTTTATGATTGACTAAAGCAATCATATTTATTCATCATTAAATAAACAAAAAAATAATATTTGAGAGTTATTTCAAAAAAACACATTGAATTTATTAATTTGTCTCAATTTCAGTATTATATAATTTTTATAATTTCAATATTTTGAATACACTTTTAATATTTCAATATTTATGATATTTCAATGTTTTAAGTGGTCTCAAATTGAGCTTCTCAAATATAAGTTGGCCTATTCAAATAATAAAATTAAATCATATTTCAAATAATAAATAAAAGTAAGGGTTTCGTTTTGCTAAAATTGTCACTTTTATAGCATATTGTTTTTGGATGTTTGCGAAACCAAAAAAAAACTATGATATACAATGTGTGTGTAAAGAAAATACTTTATTTACTAGTTAAAAAATCATTTGGTATTGATCAAGTTATTTTTTCTGGATAAGATATTATATGGATAATTGGATAGAAAATACAATTATATAATCTTGTACCTATGGCATTCCAAACGGGAACCGCGGTTGGTTACCATGGATTTCCGTCACCGGTCACATTTTAAAGATTTTTAAAGCCTTATAAAAATATGCTTTGTAAATCATTTTTTGTAAATCGGCAAAAATTTGGTAATTTTCTTCAACTAATAAATCTGCGAATAGCATTTATAATACAAGAACAATCTTTTAAAATGCGTTTGATTCATTTTTGTATAATTTCATATAGGCACATATATTCTTCCGGGACTTTCCGTGATTTTTACCGTAAAATCATTAGTTTACACCAATTTTTTCCGTATTTTGAATAGTTTACTGCACTTTTTCCGTAAAATTGAGTTACGGGATCCGCAAAATTTCCGGACCTCATTTTTCATAGAATATAATAATAATATTTGATAAAAAGATATATTATTTGTATTTTTGATTTTTGAATTACGTAAAAAGTGAATTGTTAACTTGATTTTTTATATGGTTAATTTTTCAAATGATATTATGAAGATCTAAAATATTAAAAGTAAAAAATTGAATTACGGAAAAAGTGAGGTCAAAAGTGAAATAAATTTGCAGAACAATTTTCATTGAAATAAGCTTTATTTTTCATTATTAATAACAATGCTGTAATAAACAGAAATTCATCAAAAAGTGACAGCTCTCAATTTTTTGACATTTGTAAATTCTAAATTGAATGAGAAAATGAAATAATACTAAGCATAATACAATATTCTAGATTTAATTATAATTAGGAAAAAGTTAGTTTTGAGAGTACTTTTCATAGGCATATAGAATGAAATCTTCTGAAAAATAATATCACATAAACTCACATTATTTTCTAATATATAACTATTTTATATAAAAATCAAATTCAATGATCTTAAAAGCGAAGGATAAACCTCAAAATTTACGAATATAATGAGTGTAATATAATGCTTATCTATCATAAAACCATATGAAATATCAATTTTTGCTTTACGCCTAATTTTTGACGACAATTAGCAAAAAATGTTAAATGTTAACACTCAGTCCATTTGAATATGAAAAATAAAATTGACTTTGATTAAATGTTTTTATTTATCATGCAATTCTTCTTGCGACCAAAGATTTGAATAAAATTTCAAAAAATAAGATAGCTTAAAAAATAATATACGGTAGTGTTTACTAATAGATGAATAGTATATAAATTCTATTAAAATGGATTTGATCCAAAAAAATATAAAATTTGATCATAAATAAAATCGTTTTAAATTACTTCTTCATTTAAATTATAACAATTATTTTTGGTTTTATCGTTTTTAAAGCTCATGTGTTTTTTTTAACCACAGAATACTTATGTGCTGTAGCAAGCTTGCAATCCAAAGCTCACGTTAGACAACAAGAGTCATGAAGTCTCATACTAAGGGATATCCAACATATATTTTAATAATCTAATGTTTGTGACAAATATTCAACATAAAATTAAGTTTTCGTTTCGTTACAAGGCATTCATACTTTGGAGATATCATATTTAATGTACAGAAAAGTTAATATTAAACAATACATGCTAAAGAATTAATAAATAAGATAATAAAATAAATTTATACGTAATTACTTTCATTTAATATGCTTTATGCTGTATAATATTGATTAAGAGGCATTAAAAGGTTCCATAATCTGCTTTTATAGGCAAGATTTTTGATAAAAATTTTAAATTTTGAAAAATGATGAGAAAAGGAAAAAAAAGGTAAATGAGAGCAAGAGGAGGGAAAAAAGAAAAAGAAAAGGAAGGGAAGGGAAAAATAAAAGAAAGAAGACATATAAAAATTTAGATGCGCATTCTTAATGCCGAGGCGGCTTGCCGCCGAGGCGCGATTTTTTTAGGCCTCTACGGTAACCGGCAATGTTTTTTAAATCTTGTACAGCCCTACTTGTACCTGGTTTAATTAAGCTAATTGTCATCAGAAACTTGTAATTTTTATGAATTTCAGATTTTCTTTTCATTACTGCTTTTCTTAATAGGTCAAGTTCTTATTTACGTTATAAAGTATGATATTTACAAATATCAAGTTATCATGTTTTTGAGAAATTATGAGAAACAAACAAAAATGAAAAAGATAGGAATAGCAATGAATAGTGATGTGGGTATAGAAAATGTAAGAGATATGAATGCAAAGCAATCAGTATTTAGGATATTGACCATAGATTTCGAAAAAAAAATGCTGCATATTGAGCGAAAACTATGATTATATTATAAGGCTGTCATTTAAAGCATAATGAAACTATTCCCTTTTCATTTTAATCGAATAAGATAGTAAAGATTTTTGAATTAGCTAGAAACTGATGAGATGTTTTCACAAATCAGATTTTTAATCTCTATAATGCATAATTCACTCAATATCTCAAATTTTGATATTGCGAGATATTTTTGCTATCGGTTTCGCAATTTTGACACAATAGCAAGAGGGTTCTATAAGCATTATTATCAACGTAGAATCTGAATATCATATCAGAAAATGTCGCAAATCTGACATTTACCCGACCAAATAGCAAAAATAATTGAATACTTTTCGCAAAAACTTTAAAAAATCGATAAAAATATGAAATATAGATATTAAAGAGACTTTTTATATAATATTCATAAAGATTTTCCAAAAATATGATACCGCAAAATTAAAAAAGTGACGTCTTGAGTGGAGTCAAAGGTCGAAATTGCTAGCTAAATGTTTTTTTAGCGAAATTGCGTATTGTACGTTTTTTTCGCAAAACGAAACCCTTAATAAAAGTGATTGAGGTCATAGCAAAACGGCTGTTTCAGTCATTAATTCTTAAAAATAAAAAGGGTAAAAAACTAAATACAATGGGTAAAATTCAATAGTGTCTGTGCTATCGTTCAATTTGAAGGTGTCTTTTGAAACCGCAAGACACATTGAATTTTTGAATAGTGTATTATGGTTTGACAGACACCAATGAAAAAAATAAAATGATATTTATTTTAAATATATAAGATCCTTATATAAAATATAAATATTTTATCGTTTTATTTCTTGTTTTACAAATGTTTTTTATTGAAAAATCAATAAAACTAACTCCAAAATAAAATTTTTGATTTAAAGACACTATGATGACACCAGGCAAATCTTCCAAGACACCTATCGTCGGGAATCTAACAACCCTAGCCGTTTTGCTATGACCTCAATCACTTTTATTAAGGGTTTCGTTTTGCGAAAAAAACGTACAATACGCAATTTCGCTAAAAAAACATTTAGCTAGCAATTTCGACCTTTGACTCCACTCAAGACGTCACTTTTTTAATTTTGCGGTATCATATTTTTGGAAAATCTTTATGAATATTATATAAAAAGTCTCTTTAATATCTATATTTCATATTTTTATCGATTTTTAAAGTTTTTGCGAAAAGTATTCAATTATTTTTGCTATTTGGTCGGGTAAATGTCAGATTTGCGACATTTTCTGATATGATATTCAGATTCTACGTTGATAATAATGCTTATAGAACCCTCTTGCTATTGTGTCAAAATTGCGAAACCGATAGCAAAAATATCTCGCAATATCAAATTTGAGATATTGAGTGAATTATGCATTATAGAGATTAAAAATCTGATTTGTGAAAATCTCATCAGTTTCTAGCTAATTCAAAAATCTTTACTATCTTATTCGATTAAAATGAAAAGGGAATAGTTTCATTATGCTTTAAATGACAGCCTTATAATATAATCATAGTTTTCGCTCAATATGCAGCATTTTTTTTTCGAAATCTATGGTCAATATCCTAAATACTGATTGCTTTGCATTCATATCTCTTACATTTTCTATACCCACATCACTATTCATTGCTATTCCTATCTTTTTCATTTTTGTTTGTTTCTCATAATTTCTCAAAAAACATGATAACTTGATATTTGTAAATATCATACTTTATAACGTAAATAAGAACTTGACCTATTAAGAAAAGCAGTAATGAAAAGAAAATCTGAAATTCATAAAAATTACAAGTTTCTGATGACAATTAGCTTAATTAAACCAGGTACAAGTAGGGCTGTACAAGATTTAAAAAAACATTGCCGGGTTACCGTAGAGGCCTAAAAAAATCGCGCCTCGGCGGCAAGCCGCCTCGGCATTAAGAATGCGCATCTAAATTTTTATATGTCCTTCTTTCTTTTATTTTTCCCTTCCCTTCCTTTTCTTTTTCTTTTTTTCCCTCCTCTTGCTCTCATTTACCTTTTTTTTCCTTTTCTCATCATTTTTCAAAATTTAAAATTTTTATCAAAAATCTTGCCTATAAAAGCAGACTATGGAACCTTTTAATGCCTCTTAATCATATTATACAGCATAAAGCATATTAAAATGAAAGTAATTACGTATAAATTTATTTTATTATCTTATTTATTAATTCTTTAGCATGTATTGTTTAATATTAACTTTTCTGTACATTAAATATGATATCTCCAAAGTATGAATGCCTTGTAACGAAACGAAAACTTAATTTTATGTTGAATATTTGTCACAAACATTAGATTATTAAAATATATGTTGGATATCCTTAGTATGAGACTTCATGACTCTTGTTGTCTAACGTGAGCTTTGGATTGCAAGCTTGCTACAGCACATAAGTATTCTGTGGTTAAAAAAAACACATGAGCTTTAAAAACGATAAAACCAAAAATAATTGTTATAATTTAAATGAAGAAGTAATTTAAAACGATTTTATTTATGATCAAATTTTATATATTTTTTTGGATCAAATCCATTTTAATAGAATTTATATACTATTCATCTATTATTAGTAAACTACCGTATATTATTTTTTAAGCTATCTTATTTTTTGAAATTTTATTCAAATCTTTGGTCGCAAGAAGAATTGCATGATAAATAAAAACATTTAATCAAAGTCAATTTTATTTTTCATATTCAAATGGACTGAGTGTTAACATTTAACATTTTTTGCTAATTGTCGTCAAAAATTAGGCGTAAAGCAAAATTGATATTTCATATGGTTTTATGATAGATAAGCATTATATTACCACTCATTATATTCGTAAATTTTGAGGTTTATCCTTCGCTTTTAAGATCATTGAATTTGATTTTTATATAAAATAGTTATATATATAGAAAATAATGTGAGTTTATGTGATATATATTTTTCAGAAGATTTCATTCTATATGCCTATGAAAAGTACTCTCAAAACTAACTTTTTCCTAATTATAATTAAATCTAGAATATTGTATTATGCTTAGTATTATTTCATTTTTCTCATTCAATTTAGAATTTACAAATGTCAAAAATTGAGAGCTGTCACTTTTGATGAATTTCTGTTTATTACAGCATTGTTATTAATAATAAAAAAATAAAGCTTATTTCAATGAAAATTGTTCTGCAAATTTATTTCACTTTTGACCTCACTTTTTCCGTAATTCAATTTTTTACTTTTAATATTTTAGATCTTCATAATATCATTTGAAAAATTAACCATATAAAAAATCAAGTTAACAATTCACTTTTTACGTAATTCAAAAATCAAAAATACAAATAATATATCTTTTTATCAAATATTATTATTATATTCTATGAAAAATGAGGTCCGGAAATTTTGCGGATTCCCGTAACTCAATTTTACGGAAAAAGTGCAGTAAACTATTCAAAATACGGAAAAATTGGTGTAAACTAATGATTTTACGGTAAAATCACGGAAAGTCCCGGAAGAATATATGTGCCTATATGAAATTATACAAAAATGAATCAAACGCATTTTAAAAGATTGTTCTTGTATTATAAATGCTATTCGCAGATTTATTAGTTGAAGAAAATTACCAAATTTTTGCCGATTTACAAAAAATGATTTACAAAGCATATTTTATAAAGGCTTTAAAAAATCTTTAAAATGTGACCGGTGACGGAAATCCATGGTAACCAACCGCGGTTCCCGTTTGGAATGCCATAGGTACAAGATTATATAATTGTATTTTCTATCCAATTATCCATATAATATCTTATCCAGAAAAAATAACTTGATCAATACCAAATGATTTTTAACTAGTAAATAAAGTATTTTCTTTACACACACATTGTATATCATAGTTTTTTTTTGGTTTCGCAAAACATCCAAAAACAAATATGCTATAAAAGTGACAATTTTAGCAAAACGAAACCCTTACTTTTATTTATTATTTGAAATATGATTTAATTTTATTATTTGAATAGGCCAACTTATATTTGAGAAGCTCAATTTGAGACCACTTAAAACATTGAAATATCATAAATATTGAAATATTAAAAAGTGTATTTCAAAATATTGAAATTATAAAAATTTATAATACTGAAATTGAGACAAATTAATAAATTCAATGTGTTTTTTTGAAATAACTCTCAAATATTATTTTTTTGTTTATTTAATGATGAATAAATATGATTGCTTTAGTCAATCATAAAAACTAATTTAAGTTTAAAATAATGAAAGGATAATTTAATCGTTTTTTAAAATACAATTATTTTTGATGATTTGCAAGAATCTTTGAAAAGAATATAATATAGGTTCTATTTTTGTAAAATTTATCCAAATCATGTATTACATAAATTACGATTAAAACGATGAAAGAACCAAAAAGTGTGTTTTGTGTTTTGTTGTTGCGTGTTGGATGCGGGATCCTGTTATTTCCGAAATCGACAAAAAATTTGGAAATTTAATTTCCGAAATCGAAATTATATTAATGTTTTTAATATTCTTATATCAAAAGGATTAAAGTTCATTAAGAGAAAAACAATTCTTCTTCTTCAATCTATTGGCGCATTTATTTCTACACGCCAATAAGGAAGGGAAAATTATAAGACACCATGGTGTCTTCAAAACGCTAATTTTTGATATTTTTAACAACCCTAGAGTTACTCCCTGTTTCAGCACTTCTATTTTCGAATATTTTATTTCACAAGGAGTTGATATTAATGCAAAAGACAATCACTCTCATGTTACAGCCCTTCATTTAGCAGCCCTTATTGGTAATATAGAAATAGTCAAATTTCTTGTTTCTCGTGGAGTAAATATTAATTCAACTGATAAAAACAGGAAATCTATTCTAAATTATGCAGCTTCATTCAGTAACAAAAAAATGATCGAATTTCTTATTGAAAATGGTGCAGATATTAATGCAAAAAATAAAAACGGAATGACCATTCTTCAAGTGGCAGCTCTAACAAATAATTATGATGCTGCAGAATTTCTTATTTTGCATAGTAAGAAAATTATTACAAAAGGTAATTTTGGTGAAACAATTGCCTTTGTCGACGAGCAAGATAATGAAGGAAAAACTGCACTCCATTATGCAGTTCAATATAATTCATTTGATACAGCTAAGCTTCTCATTTTAAATGGAGCCAATATAAATATAAAAACAAATAACGGAATTACTCCCCTGCTAGTTGCAATACACCAAAACAGTTTTGAAATTGCAGAAATACTTTTATCTAATGGTGCAAATATAAATGATAAAGAGATACATGGATACTCCTCACTACATTTTGCAGTGAGTCTGGAAGATGTAGATAAAGCAAAATACCTTTTAATGCACAATATTGACATTAATGCAAAAGATAATTCTGGTCTATCTGCTGTTGATTATGCATATATTAAAGAAGATAAAGAGATGATATCATTACTTGAGCAATATGGTGCAAAGCGATCTGTCCAAACCTATTTTTGAATATTCAATTTTGCTCTCAACTCATTTTATAAAAGTATTACTTATTCAGCTCAATAAATGTTTCCTCTGAGATTTGTTGATCATAAATTTCGTTTTCATTTAGGTTTCTCTAATATGGCTTTTTCGAATTGGCTATGGAACAGTATGTCATTCCATGAGATATGTAGAGGCAGTATCTCCCAGAATGAGAGTTGCAGACCAACAAGAGTGCATAGTACACTCTTATCAGTCAACATTCCACATTCAAGTTATGAACGAGCAACAGTATTCCATTCCAAGAAACATACAGATTCAAAATACTGAACGTATTGAGTTTGGATCCTCTAAATTATCATTTAAACTTAATTAAATCAAATGGAAGATTTGAATTGTTTCTTAGTCAAGACTTTGTCAAGCAAACAAAGTGATCAAGATAATGTTAAGAAAGTCCTTGATTCTATCAAAGATGATAAGGAATCATATGTTTTAAATAAATTTAATGATCTTACTGTAAAACTTAGGAATGTAAAATCTGGAAATTTTGTTGCTTCCAGGAAAATATTTTTTTAGGAAGATTCTGGATTTTTTTAAAGTCTACAATAACAAACAGGTTACTAAGTTATTCGATATCAGAGAATGAGAGATAATTGAAATGATTTTCGGTCAGATAAAAGTGACAATTTTGGCAGAGTTATAAAAAATGAATAAAATGATTTTTTCTGAACTTACAGAGAAATATAAGGATGTAACTGATACATTTAATGCTATATACAGTCTTAAATCAGAAAATGAAGAAGAAATCGAGAACATTTACCAATTAATTAAGACAAAATTAATGGAAACTAATACAATTTCACTATCTTACGTTCTGAGCGGTATTTGCAATGCCGAAAAATTCAGAAACCGTTACATGAAATCGTATTATGGTATCTTTAAAAAGTTAGTTGATGAATTCAAGCCAAAAGAAATACCACACATTTCTATTTTATTTGATTATTTAATTTATAAAGAAACAGGTGTTGTCTATGACGTAAAACATAAATTAAATTTCAAAAATTTTATGGCATCAAATAGCTTGAGTTCATATGAAAATGATGAACTTTATAAATCAATAATGAATAATGATAAAGAATCATTCATTATTCAAACGGGAAAAGAAGGATTCAATGCAAACAAAGTCTATGACAATGGTTTGTTTTCTACTGATATTATTCAGTATACATTGCTTGAATTATGTTGCTATTATGGGGCTGTTGATTGCTTCAAGATTTTGAGATCGAATTACAAATCCGAAATTACAGATGAATGTCTGTTGCTATCTTTTTTAAGTGGTATTCCTGATATCGTCAATGAATGTTTGAAATATCAACAACCAACTGAAAAATGCATGAAATACGCAATTATTTCACATAACATCGATTTTGTTTGTTTTTTGATGAACGAATATGGATTAAAAATCGATTTGGACTATTGCTGCAAATTCAACAATCTACAAGCCTTATTAATATATTTAGATCAAACAAATGATATCGAAAAATGCTTCGTTTATTCATCGTGCTTTGGAAATTCGTTGATTGAGTATTTTCTTGCGCAGGGAGTAAACATAAATTCAAGAGATCAACTCGGAAGAACTGCACTTCATATTGCTACATTGTACAATAACATAGAGTCATTAGAACTCCTTATTTCAAAAGGTATCGATATAAATGGAAAAGATGAATTCGGTAGAACAGCGGTTTATTTTGCAGCTGAAAATAATCTTGTCGATATATTAAAAGTACTTTTTTCTCATGGTGCAGATATCAATGCAGTTAACACAACTAAAAGATCTGCTCTACATGTTGCTACACTAAACAGATGCAAAGAAGCTATTGAATTTCTAGTATCTCATGGTGCAGAGATTAACGCATATGATAATTTTAATAACAGTCACCTTCATATCGCTGTTGGAAATTCATGGATTGATATTTCACGACTTTTTATTTTGAATGGTGCTGAAGTCAATTGTAAAAATCAAAACGGAAGGACATGTCTTCATATTGCAGCATGTAATAACAACAAGGAAGCAGCCGAATTACTTATTTCAAGTGGAGTTGACGTAAATGCAAAAGATATCTTTGAAGAAACTCCACTTCAAGCCGCCTCTCATTATAATAACCAAGCAGTTATTGAAGTTTTAATTTCACATGGTGCTGAGCCAGCAACAAAAGTTGACTGAAATTATTTCACCTCATCAATGAAATTGGATTTTTTTATTCGTTTTTTCTATTTCAATCGAAGTAAAATTAACATTAAATAAATTTCTTTATTTCAAACTGGTGTATCATTCAGTTCTATTTTATTGAGTTCTTTTCCTTCTCTAACATCTCAAATTCTGACAGTTCCATCTAAAGAAGAACTGACAAATGTCTGTTGATTTTTTGAAGACAAACAAGTAACAGTACTCCTGAGACCTGCTTCCTTACATATATTCTGGGTAACTTATGGAAGCAGGAAATATAATGTATTGGATAATGAATTATTTGAGAGTTTATATCAGAGAATAAAAAAATCAAAAGTTTTAGTAATTCAAATACAAATAGTTGTCTTTTAAAAAGTATTTTTTCACATAACTACTTGCGACATCAAGAGCAGTCTTTCCATCATTATTCTATGCTTCTTTATCAGCTCCAACAGAGAAAAGATATTTCACAACTTCAAGATGACCTTTTTGTGATGCAAAAATGAGTGGTGAATCTAAAGATTTTACTTGTTTATATTTACCACTCTTTATAAGAAATTGTACCTGGAGCCTTAATCACACACATATAACTTTAAATGTTAATACTTCTGGAAATAGTCTTTTTATCATGAGATTGACATTTTTAAGTGAAAATGTAATTCGCATTGAACCAATATCTCTAGTTATATCTGACGTGCTAGAAACAAATGCACAAAATATCTATCTAACAAAGTTAAATTAAGTTTTTATCCGAAAGAAAAAAAAATTTTTTTAATTTTCTTAATTTTTTTTAAAATAACAAACAAATAAACAAGTGCTCAGTTATACCATTGATTCTGGGATTACACTAACCTTGTAATTCTTAATATATTGCATCATTTCAGAAGATTGCATGAATCTAGGCAATTGGTCCTGATTAATAAGCTTTTTGATCTCTTGTATAGCTCTATCAAATACATTTGGAGAAATTTCATTGATATGCTTGAGACATTCAGTTCTAATCAGCGCACCAATGTTAATTTCCATCGGAGCCTCTTCAAAAATATATTTTTCGTAAATTCTATGGGCCATGTCATGTAATTTGTCCGGATCTGTTTCACTTTTGTATTTCATCGTATCTCTTAAGAAAAGTAGTCCTTCGACGCATGTATTCGATTGCATGAACTTTCTTAGCATTTTATAAGCGTTAGGGTCTTCAAGAACGTTATCAACTGATCTGAATTCCGGAATTGTCAACTTGAAATCCGGATTTTTCCAAGTTGCAAGACTTACGGGCAAAGAAAATGATATCATGAATGACACCATGCAAAGAATGATGCAGCAGATAGGTGGGCTTTCTGGAGGAATCACATCTGGCTTTTCAATATTAGCTATGCCAAAAGCTACGTAGAAAGGAACGGCTATTATCCATGCTATACCGATTAGTTTAAGTTCTGTATTAATAGCGATTTCATCATGAACGTTTCGGAGGAAATAAACACAAACCCAAAGAAAAATGGAAATAAAGGCAACAAGGATGGCAGAAAATATATATGTAGACTTTTGAATGCCATTACCATAATGGCCTGGCTGGTTTTCTTGATATTTAATTAATCTGTACATTCCGAGAATAAATGGACCCATGAGAAGCAATAATGAGTAGAATAGGAAGGCATAGTCTGTAAGGAAAAATTTATGCTTTGAAACGTTAATCCAATGCTTGGAATACGTTCCATCAGTTTGATTATCTTCAACTTCTTCTTTATCGGCATATGCTTTGCCGATATGATATTTAATGATGAATTGAAGTGCTCTAACGGGGTAAGGAATAAAATGTAATGGAATAAAAATCCATAAAAACAAATGATCGATGATATTTGGAAATTGAGTTGGCCCTATTACTACCTTCCATGATTCAGCGGAAGTCATTAAGTATTGACCTATTGCTGATGAGAAGATGCACCAAGGAGATCTTGATTTGATGTAAAATGATTCTTTATGGGAGAAAAATAGCACTAAATATTATGAATACAATTATTATTGAAATATTATAAATAGGACAAAAAACAAAATTGCATAGGGATTCATGTTAAAATCAATGTTCATATTTTTGTCACTTTTTCGGATTCCTAAAAAACGAAACTTTTTACCTTGTATTCCAACTTCATTTCTTTCAGAGATTAGGTTCCTAATCTTTAAAATTATGCAGTATAGTATCTAATATAGGGCAATATGATAAGTTAATGGAACTTCACCATATGAGATATTGATGAAAAGATGATTTTTGGGCCTTACAATTTACTAAAAATTCGAGGATATTCAAGATGCATTTTGCAGCTCTCTCTATTTGCAATGTGTCAGGAAAAACACTTCCATATTAACTCATAGCTTTTTGTTTCATACAAATAAGAGAAACACGCAAATTATCTAATTTATATCGATATCCAAATAATATGTTCTTATTATGAGATTATCTTTAATTTTTGATTTCCTTAATCAGCGTAATAATTTGATTCGAAATATCACAATAATTCTACATTATCTATCAAATTTAAAGACAAATCTTAAATATATGAATGATCGGGTATACATCATACATGTATGCAAGATATACAATATCCTCCAAGTAGGGAGCGTGCTCATCTATTAATAATAGCAAATTTGCAGTTACTTGAAATCTAATGAATTGTCACAAAGAATCCTTATAACAATCCAATATCGGTAATTAATTGTGCAATAAAAATCCAAAAACTGCGCCAATTTTTTATCATTGTAAAATCTTTTGAGAACCTCAGAAATTTGAATGTTCATTGAAAATACGAAAAATTTGAGAATTGTATAAATTTGAGTAAATCTCTTCACTTCTCACTAATGCGTGTTCTTTTCCTCGTCGCACATGTTGATCCAACACACAAGGCAACAGCTTTCAGATTTGCTGACTCCGCAAAGGCAGCCTTAGAGAAGGCTGGCCATGAAGTCAGATACGTTAACCTCGTTGAGTCTGGCTTTGACAGAACATTGACAGCCAAGGACTTCAAGAAGATCCCAGATGGCACATTCTCAATCTTCGCAGTTACAGGCCAAGACAACTTGATTGATGAAATCAAGGTCCAGCAAGAGAATCTCAAGTGAGCAACACACGTTGTCATCTTCGCCCCAATGTGGTACGGCAGATTCCCATCATGCGTCTATGCATATACAGAGAGAGTTCTCAACGTTCCATTTGCTTGGGACTTCGAGCACATGCTCGACAAGGGCTATCTCGCCGGCAAGAAGGTTACATCTGTCATCTCTACAGGCAGTGCACCAATGTTCTTCGATCCTAAGGAAGGAAACGGCCTTGATGCTTACACATGGAGTGCTCTCTACGCTTTCAACTACTCTGGCTTCACAATCCTCAGATCAATCGGTATTCATGGCGCAAACTCACCAAAGAGAATTGCCATGCAGCCAGAACTTCAGCAGAAGCTCAACGATAAGCTTTTGAACCTCGATAACTGGAAGGTCATCACAGACAAGAAGTTTGTTCCACTTGCCACACTTGACCAAATCACAGATCCAGAAAACTTGATCCAATAAAAAATGAATAAAATTTACCATTGCAATTTTAAATTATCTCATATTCTTTTCACAGTCTTACAAATATTAAGATTTACAGGTTTATGCAACGAATGATTGGTTAATGATCAGTCTGAGGGTATAATTAAGAAAATTATTATCAAATTCTCAGAAATATAGAATAATGATGATTGAACACATGTTTAAAATAATGAGTTTATCTTAAAACAAATGAAGAAAATCATTCCTTCCAAAATGAAATCTGGTAAAGTTTATCCTGAAGAAAAACTAGACTCTGGATTAGGAAGGCGAAATGCTAGAGTTGATTCAGTTCCATATAAAAATCGAAATGACAACAATAATTCTAATAAAAATGATGAATTAAAAGCATCCGCAGCATTATTTCTTACAGAACTGGCACAACAGCTTACGTCTAATACAAGCTCATCTAAATTTGTACTTCAAACATTTTCAAGCCAAATGCTAAGGAATGGATCCTTTTACAGGGCAAGATTAGCCGGATTAAAGGATGAAGAGATAGATAGTATACTAAGGAAAAATTCGGTTCTATCTGTATGCCTTCCTCCAATTTCTGCACATGATTACTCCTATTTACACAATGAAAATCAAAATCCTAAATATCAAGAGAAAGTTAGAACTCATGTCAATGAATTATCAGGATACGTAAGAAATCTAGATCTCGAAAAAATCATGTTTCTCGATAAAGCAAAGCAAACACAAGTATTGACGTGGTGGATCGATTACCAGCTTGGCATTGTAAATACACGCTCATCTCAAATTGACGCTTTATTAAGTAGCATAGGTAATGATCTCGAAAACATTGATGATAACCAAATTATCGAACCAAATTTATACACTGTTTAATTTTGTTAGTAAAAGTAATATTAGATTTATTTCATTCTTTCATTTCTTAAATACAATTGACCAAATATGTGAATCAAAATTATATTTGAGTTAATTAAGAGAGTTCATGGTATTTAAAGAAATATATGTAAACTTATCATTTTTACTCAAACATTAATGAAGTATTTATAACTCCATGTAAATTTCATTTCTTGGGATCGATTTAAATTTGGCTGTTCCATCAATTACACGATCAATAGCACTCTGGGCCTTCTTTATATCCTCTTCTATGATTATACCTTCTTTCTTAGCGCTGTAAATGACAATTGCTCCAGATTTGATATCTTTGAACGGAAGACCTGATTTTCCGATGAAGAATTGGAACTTTGGGTCTCTAAAATGGTTTCTCAATTCATCTAATTCAGGATCAATAAAGTTTTCGTTGCAGAAAATGCAAGTTTTCTGGTAATCGTAGCAGTATTCAGGGAATTCGGCATTTACATGGAAGTCCGCACCTATTGGAGACTTAGATGGTCGCTTATTTAAGAATGCATTTGCTGATTCATTGACATATCTGAATTTTCTTGCTCCTTCATGAGGAATAGTCTTTGTATCATTGTAGAATACAATCTGTGGTACATCCTTAATACCAAATTCTTCAAATAAGCCGTCATCATGGCAAATTCCAACTCTTAATTTTTTATTGTAGACGCGAGAGATTGCAGCCCAGTATCCAGGAATTCCTTTCTTACATGTGAAGAGAATGGCTGTAGGTTTGGCGCGATAATCATCGAGCCAGAAATCATTCACTTCTTCAACAAGAGAACTATTAACAATTCTGAATGCTTCCTTGGCAATTCGAACGGGATTTGGTTGCTCATTATAGCTTATATCGTATGTTCTATTTTTAATGATAATTGATGGAAAATTTTCTATTTTTAATGATTCGCAGAGCCTTGTTTGGGCTTGGCAATTGATTTTTCCGTATGCTATTGATCCATTTGTAAGTATTTTTGCATGCTCTATTGCACTTTCATATAACTTTAGATTTTTTACGTATGGTTTATAAGCAAGGAACGTCCAGACTCTGTTATTCCCTTTCTTCTTATGGGAAAATTCTTTGTTATACATTTCAACGGTGAATTCTTTTAGTTTCGATTGTGTTAAACTAAAAAACAATAAAAACATCAAAATGTTGAAAAAAGTGTCAAAAAATATGAAACTGTTTTACATAATTTGAATAATTGATATATGTGATTATTAATTAATATTTGACAGTTTACAAAATGATTGTCAAAAATTAAGTGAAACTTTATTTTGCCAGAAAATGACTCAACCTATTTTCGAGTTCAGTGCTGCACGAGCCAAAGCGGAAATTGCCCAGGCTACTACTATACATCCAAATCTTCTTCTTTCTCTTTATGAAATCAGCCAGAAAAAGAAAATGGAAGCCGAAAAGGAAAAGGCTTCTAAGAAAGCAAGCAAAATAGACAAAAAGGACAAAATGGAGAGAAAAGGTAATAAGGATAAGAAAGATAAGTATCGCAATAACAAATTCAACGAAACAAAAGAAATGAAAAAGGACAATAAACATAAAAGCAAAAACGAAATCGTTAATATTGATGTACCACAGAGCGTCCTGAAGAATATTCTGAACGAAGCTGGAATTAAAACAGATGGATATGAAATTACTCTCCGTTCTGTTCCTAAATCACTTGACTAATTTACACTACACAGTGTAATACCAAAAGTACATAAAAGTATACATATTGTGTTGAGTTCTAAAGTTTAAAATGCGTTTTTATTATTTTTAATTACCTTTTAGATCCTTTTAATTCACACTTCCATCCATAACACTAGCAAATACATCAAGATGTTTCAAAAAAGAATTCTATTTAGAAGTTTTGTTATATAAATGAGGGTTTTTCTTTGCCAAATTTGGCAAATTATCTTGCAAAATCAATCATAACACAATGAAACCCTAATTCGAACCTCCTTGACAACAAATATGATAAATTAAACATATTATTTCTTAGATTTTGTGAATTAAATCATAATAAACATTGTTGTTAGAAATGGAATAGAATTATTTTATTCGTTATTCAATTTGGATCTTTTGCTTCTTTTCTATTTTAAGCAAATAATCCATGATATCATCGCTAGTTGTCAATTTCAATGGAGTTAGACCCTCTTCATTCCTCTTATTTACAACAGCTCCTGCTTTGATCAAAAGTTTGACAGACTCAAAGTTATTGTAATAAGATGCAAAATGAAGAGGAGTTTCTCCGTCGATTTCTTGTGAATTAGGATCTGCACAATTCTGAAGAAGTAATTCTACAATTCTTGGTTGTCCTTTTTGAGCTGCCCAATGTAAAGGAGTCGAATCTTCAGTACTTTTAGCATTTGCATTTGCACCATGTTCCAGTAAGAATTTGCAAACTTCAAAACGCCCTGCGCGTGCTGCCCAATGCAGAGGTGTTTGTTTATGAATTTAAAAATGAATTATATAAGAAAATATGAAAAACTAAGTCTGGCTTATTCACTATTTCTGGATTTTTCGCAACAAGATACTTAACACTTTCAATGTTTCCGTCTTCAGCTGCTCGCCAAATTATTGGCTGGAAATTCTTTGGTTGTTCAATTTCATTTTCGGTAGTTTGCTTTTGCTGCTTATCAGTATTGCATTGATCACATTTATTCTGTGAGTCGTTTGTTGGCTGACCCTCCATTGGAGTAAAATCTCGAAAAATTTAAAAATAAGGGAGAATATTGTGTTATTTTAGGGGATAGAACCATTTCAAATGTTTTTCTCGTTATTTTTAATTTCTCTGTCGAATTCATTAGATTTCACCCAAAATGGCACCCTATTAACGATCACAGGTAATGGCGCAGTTACTCTTCGTGAATTTAAGGAAAAAATTGTTAATTTCGATAAACTCACAAAAATTACGATCAAAGAGCCAATATCATCAATAGGTAGGCGAACTTTTATTAGTTGCACAAATCTAAAAGAAGTTATTATTCCTGAATCAATCATTGAAATTGATGAAGCCGCTTTCATATACTGCACATCATTAGAAAGTATAATTTTACCTTCAAATATAACAATTATAAGTAATTCTCTCTTTCATCACTGCAAAAAACTATCAAGTATCCAAATTAAAGGCAAAATTACAAAAATTGGAGAGAAATCATTTAAAGAATGTGCATCACTCACTGAAATTACACTTCCAGATTCATTAATTTCTATTGGAACTGAAGCATTTTCAAGTTGTATATTATTGACAAAAATAATTCTTCCAAAATCAGTTTCTACTATATCATCTAAAGCATTCAATGGATGCATATCATTGAACTGTGTCAAATATAACGGTAATATTTCTCCTTTAGGATTTTCGAATGACATTTTCAGTGGCTGCACTTTACTTAAACAAATAACTGTTCCTTCTGTGTTTCTCGGCACAGATATTGCCGGAATTCCTGTTAAAAAAGAAAGTTTAGAACCAACACCAGAACCAGCTCCAACAGAAACATCTTCGTCAGCAGTAATTCCTTCACAAACTCCAGAACCAACAATTGTTTCTTCCGATTCATCTGAGCTAGTAACAAACAGTTCCTCATCTCATGTGACTAAAATAGAAACTCCAGAACCAACTGTTCAAAAACCTTCTTCAGAACTAAGTTCTTCCACAATAGAACCTACTCCAACTCCAGAACCAAGTTCTTCTACACCAGAACCAAGTTCTTCTACACCAGAACCAAGTTCTTCTACACCAGAACCAAAGACTCCTACACCAGAACCAAAGACTCCTACACCAGAACCAAAGACACCAACACCAGAACCAAGTTCTTCTACACCAGAATCAAATTCATCTACAATTGAACCAAAGACTCCAACACCAGAACCAAAGTCAGAAACACCAACTCCAGAACCAAAGACTCCAACACCAGAACCAGAACCAAAGACAGAAACACCAACACTAGAACCAACTCCTGCAGCAAGAACGCCTTCAGCAACTCTACCAACAAAATCGAAAGAGCCAACACTTCCTCCAAGAACACCAAGTCCATGCAAATCACCTCCTGTAAGAACTCCAGCTCAAACAGAAGAAAACAAAGAGAATTCAGGAAGAATTTCAAACCAAAATAGGGATTCAACAGGAGAAATCATAACTTTCATAACATTTTCAATTGTCTGCATTGTCGTGGCATGTCTTGCATGCTCAATCAAAACAAACCCAACTGAAACAATGAGTGATGAAGAATCTCTGAAACTCAATGGTTTAGATTATTAATGTATTGTTTTTATATATTTTTGTAAATTAAATTAATATTATTTCTAATTTAATGTTTCCTCCAAACACAAAGTATGATCATAATATCTCACATTTTTTCTTTTTCAATATTTACCCTTTCGGTGGATAAATCATGTGCGGATTCGATAGCTCCATGTGATTTAAGGAGTTCAGATATTTCCTTATTTACAAATGCCAAAGCATAATAAAGTGTTGTATAGCCATCATTATCTGCAGCATTGATTTTAATACCGTGTGATATAAGATATTCAACCATAACTTTGTTATTATTTATTGCTGCGCCATGAAGTGCTGTTTTTCCTTCATTATCTTTAGAATTAATATCTGAACCATTCATAATAAGATCTTCTAATGCGTCCAGACTATTACTATCTGCTGCAACACGAAGAGCAATTTTTCCTGTATTAGTTTTTGATGATTGATCTGCACCATGTGAAATAAGGAATTTTAATATCTTTGCACAATTATTTCACAGATGCATAATGAAGTAGTGTCCATTGCTGTGGATATTTCCTTAATTTTTTGGTATTTACATCTTGAAGAAAATCCAAAGACTGTTTGAAAGCGGCACACCATGGAATTATAGAATTATTATCTTTTCCATACATGAGGATGAGAGCTTTCATATTTTGAGAATTGATAATTGATTCAGCATCAATGTCGGCTAGATTAAGCAAGTTAATTTCAAAGATATATTCAAGATATGTGTTGTTATGCGATGCAATAATGTACTCAAGGCATTTTTTATCGATTTGATGATTTTTAAAACACTTATTGATGTGATATTGCTTTGATAATTTTGCTGATATCTAAACTTATTTCAAAGCGACATTGGTTAACAATAATCAAAGTAATATCACATACTATTGCTGTCAAATGCTATGCCTTTTTCCGATTCGATATTATCATTTAAATTTAATATATCGATATATTAATTATAAGTAATAAGTGGGTGCATACACTCAATATTGTTGTAAACAGAAATTCATCAAAAGTGACACCTCAGAAAAGCTAAAATATTGAATTTTTGGAACTTTTGATAGAGCACGTTTTTAAATATTAATTAAAGTTAATGTATATTTTGTAAAGATTCTTTTTAATAAAAAAATAAAATTTTGAAGAAGAACACAAAATCTTCTGAAAAATAATATCACATAAACTCATATTATTTTCTAATATATAACTATTTTATATAAAAATCAAATTCAATGATCTTAAAAGCGAAGGATAAACCTCAAAATTTACGAATATAATGAGTGGTAATATAATGCTTATCTATCATAAAACCATATGAAATATCAATTTTTGCTTTACGCCTAATTTTTGACGACAATTAGCAAAAAATGTTAAATGTTAACACTCAGTCCATTTGAATATGAAAAATAAAATTGACTTTGATTAAATGTTTTTATTTATCATGCAATTCTTCTTGCGACCAAAGATTTGAATAAAATTTCAAAAAATAAGATAGCTTAAAAAATAATATACGGTAGTGTTTACTAATAGATGAATAGTATATAAATTCTATTAAAATGGATTTGATCCAAAAAAATATAAAACCAAAAATAATTGTTATAATTTAAATGAAGAAGTAATTTAAAACGATTTTATTTATGATCAAATTTTATATATTTTTTGGATCAAATCCATTTTAATAGAATTTATATACTATTCATCTATTAGTAAACACTACCGTATATTATTTTTTAAGCTATCTTATTTTTTGAAATTTTATTCAAATCTTTGGTCGCAAGAAGAATTGCATGATAAATAAAAACATTTAATCAAAGTCAATTTTATTTTTCATATTCAAATGGACTGAGTGTTAACATTTAACATTTTTTGCTAATTGTCGTCAAAAATTAGGCGTAAAGCAAAAATTGATATTTCATATGGTTTTATGATAGATAAGCATTATATTACCACTCATTATATTCGTAAATTTTGAGGTTTATCCTTCGCTTTTAAGATCATTGAATTTGATTTTTATATAAAATAGTTATATATTAGAAAATAATGTGAGTTTATGTGATATTATTTTTCAGAAGATTTCATTCTATATGCCTATGAAAAGTACTCTCAAAACTAACTTTTTCCTAATTATAATTAAATCTAGAATATTGTATTATGCTTAGTATTATTTCATTTTTCTCATTCAATTTAGAATTTACAAATGTCAAAAAATTGAGAGCTGTCACTTTTGATGAATTTCTGTTTATTACAATATAATAATACTCAAACTATGCATTGATCAGTGGTATATTCAAATCAAGAATCAAACAAGCCCTTTACTGGCGGAAGAGAAAAAAAAATTGAATTGTCAATATGGAGAAAAATGATGAACCTCCTATTGCCGACAATAATTCTAAGATACCTCCTGTTAATTATATTGATTCAAAATATGAAGAAGAAGAGTATCCAGAAGAGCCAATTTTTATAAAACCAGAAGATATCGAAAAAGTTGAAAAATCTTTTGGCAAATTAATATCAATTCCTATCGAAGAGAACTACGATCCAAATACCACAAGCTTTATTGTCAAGAAATTACGCAAAATTTGCAGTTTTATAGATTTTTATAAAGATTTAGCGAGCGAAATGATACAAAACTACGATATATTTCTCTACATTCTTGATTTATTTCTGGCAACGACAGAAGATGAGATTCTCTGTGAAATTTTAAATTTTTTATTTTCAATCTCATATTATGGAAATTCAGAAGAGCATTTTATAAACGAAAACTTTCTTTTAAAGCTTGAAAGTTGCATTGAATCTACAAATAAAACAAAAGCCGATTATTCAATAAAAATTGTCCGAAATTGTTGCTGTTCCAGCTCATTATCAAAGAAGATTCCATATTCGATACTCTCTTGCATCATAAAAACAGACATGAATGAAGACGACAGACTCTTTTTCTGTTCACAAATATTAAATTACGAAGTTGATATTGATGAATGCATCATATGCCTTGATAATGTTACTGAGATATTTCTTGAACATCAAGACCATCCAGATATCCAAAAACAAGCCATGAAAGCCATTGAAAAATTGATAAATCAAACAACAGAAGAAAATTGGTCAAAAATCGAAAGATTTTTTACTGAAGAAGTAATCAAAGCAATCGTGAATGCAATGTTTAACGAGAAAACATCGATCGCATGTGCCAATATCCTTTCAAAACTCGCAGTTCATTATATTTCTCAAGATTTAATTTTTGATTTGGTTGAAACACGGTTAGACATCACTTTATCGGCTATTATGGCTACAAGCGAACGTCGAGCATCACTAATATTCTACTGGAATTGCCTTAGATACGGAAATTATGTTCCAAGAGCAGATATCGTCCATAAAATTTACGATTTCTTAGATTTTGGGACTGTCGAAGAGAAAATAATTGCTTTGTCATACGTTTACTTGTTAGTTTTTCAGATTCCAACCTTTAATAGAGAGAATTACACTTCTGAACAAGAAGTCGAGACATTATCACATGAAGTGTTCGGAGAACATTTAATTGAGTCCACATTGGATATTGTGGAAGGTTTAAACGTTGATTCAGAATCACTCGGAATTATCTGCCAAGGTTTGAGCTATTTGATATACAATAATGATAACTTTTTGAAATGTATCCTAGAAGAAGATGTTTTCTATGAACAATTCACGGAATTATGCACCAACGAAAAAATTATCAAAAATCCACTAGCGTATGAATCATTTCTTGATATTTCTAGTCATATAACTGAATTGAGAAAGGAAGCAGAAGAAAATTAATTATATTTTAGAATTATCTTTGAAAATGTTAAGAAAATACATTCTCATTTCAAAGACAGTCCAATTATATCATTATTTATTTGTTTTGTAATAGATTTTTTATTTTTTCGAAATAAATGTTTGTAATAGAGTTTGTTTACTTGAAAGTCATTTTTACTCAGTCCAAATAACAATCTTTAGCATTCAGGAATCCTTGTAATCATATTTAGTAAAAATTTTCCATGAATACCTTATAAAAACATCATTTCGCAGTTCAATTTAATATCTACTAACCTATTTAAAGATTCTTCAATGCGTTTTATAATCAGATTTTGATTTGGCGTTTCTTTGGGCATTCGAGATTTATTCATGTACATGGTTTGGATACCAAATGATTACAGCATTATTACATAAACACTTTGTATTCTTCAGTTGTATGGCAATTGGATTCCCTATTGGTATTTTATTATTAACATGGTTTCTTTTTATTACATCTTACTTAAAACCAATGACAAGGATTCATGGATATGCTGCAGTATTTCTATTTTCGACACTTGGGCTTATATTTAAGATCAAAAATTGGAATTTGAAATTTAGATTAGTGATTCAATACGATTACTTCCATAGATGGGCAGTTATTTTATGTACATTCTTCCTAGTAGTTATAGTTTATGCATCAATGCTTGCCGCAGACAGATATTCAAAAGGTGCAGCTTATTCTGATTTACCATTCCACTTAAATATCATTACAAGCTTTGCATACGGACCGAATTACAAAAGGCCAGGTTTCTTCACAGCAGATTCCACGTTTTACCATGGAGTTAACTTGGCTTATCCTTTAATGCCAGATTTTCTTTCCGCAGCACTAATTACAACAGGTGATGCATCTCTACAACAATCCTTATTCATACCATCCCTTCTAATGATGTATTCAGTCCTTCTTTCTTTATATACCTTATCTACTTACTACACAAACGAAAGTATCATTGGATGCTTATCAATATTGATATTCATATGTCTCGGAGGCCTCGGATTCATCATGTATACTGATCCAACGTGGAAAGCTCCAGAAGATGAAATAGTCGACATGGTTCATAATTGGCCGAATGCAATAGACGGTTATTGGTTCCATTCCATAATGCATTACCTTATTCCTCAGCGCTCAGCACTTTTCGGAGTCCCTCTTTGCTACTGGACAATTTTATTGTTGATTTTTGGTGTCAAAAATGAATCGTATAAATTCATGTTTATTGCAGCGATTCTCACGGGTTTAACTCCTCAAGTACAAGCACACGCATACATGAGCATGGCGCAGTGGTCAATTGCTTATTGCATTACGACATTCCCTTATTTGAAACCAAAGAAATATTTGAAGTTTTTCCTTTTGTGGTCACTTTTTGGTTTATTGGCGAATGCTATTGCTTTACCACAGATTCCACCTTTTATTTCGAGAATCAAGAATACGAACAAGTCATTCATGGCATTCGATCCGATCTGGCAAAATTTCGGAGATGGATTTCGTGGATTTTTCAGAAATTGGTGGCTAAGTTTGGGAACTTTTGGTTTTTGTGCTTTGATTGGAGGTTTTGCGACAGCTACTGTCGAACAGATCATTATTTATATACCTTCTTTAGTTGTATTTTTCGTTTCCAATATAATCAAATACCAAGAATGGGACCATGACAACATAAAAGTGTTTTACAACGGATGGATTCCTATTGCTGTTCCTTTTGCCGCACAATACATTTACAGCTTTTTCGTGAAAGCAAAGAAAGGTGAGAAAGCGAAATTGAACATGTTTATCTTCTTTGCTTTGTTAGTTTCTTCATTGGCGAGTGGAGCTTTCTGCTTCTTTGTTTATCTCGCTTCTCCTTCTGAAATATATACAGAACAACAAGTTAAATTTGGAAAGTGGATTACTGAAAACACAGGTCCTTACGACTACTTTATTGGCGACCAATCAACAGAGCAGCCAGTTGCATCTATTGGCGGACGACCAATTGTTGTTGGATACCCAGGATGGATTGCTTCTCATGGTTTGGATTTGCATACAAGGGATTTTTTAGTTGATACCTTACTTTCGCATCCTGAAGATGCATCTGCTTTCGATAAAGAAGGCATTAAATACATTTATATGAGTGGAACAAGTAAGGTTCCTTTTGAACCTGACGTTGATTCCGATGTTTGGCAAATTGTTTATGAAGATATCAATGTTACTTTGTATAGAAGAATATAAAAATATAGTTATATGTATTTTATATTAAAATCTTATATGTTTTATGTGAAACTATTTCTATTGAGTTGTGTCTATATGCAGATAATATATATCCTACTTTTTTATTGTTGTATTAATACAATTTTTTCATCTGCATTTATTCTTTGCTTTACAATATTTTCATATGTCATATTGCAGCTATTGAGCTGCATATTCATATTTTCATTAATTCATGAATCAGAAGCTCAATGATTTTGATTGAAATTCAAGACAGCTCAAAGAAAAACAATAAATTGTTCATAAATCAGTTCAAACACACAACAGAATTATCATTATCTTAGTAAATGAGATTTTAAAAATCTTGTTATTATGATAATTGAATCAAAAATAATCGTCTTGTCTTGGCCTTTTTGGAAAAGTAATGCCTCGTTGCCAACGCTTCCACCTTAAGCGCCTCACAGCCCCACACCACTGGCTTCTCGCCAAGTCCGCTGGTAAGTTCGCTTCCCACCCATCCACAGGTCCACACAAACTTCGTGAATGCCTTCCAATCAACATCTTCCTTCGTGACCGCCTTAAATACGCTCTTACAGCTAAGGAAGCCGTCGCTATCGTCAAGCGCCGCCTCGTCAAGGTCGATGGCAAGGTCCGCACAAACTACCGTTATCCAACAGGTTTAATGGATGTCATCGAGCTCGGCAAGTCCAACGAACTCTTCCGTATCATCTACGACTGCAAGGGCCGTTTCTGCGTCCACCACATCGAAGCTAAGGAAGCCTCCTTCAAGCTTCTCCGTGTCAACCAGTTCAAGATTGGTGCCAAGGGTATCCCACACGTTGTTACACACGATGGCCGCACAATCTCCTATGTTGACCCATCCGTTCGTGTCCATGATGCTCTCAAGTTCAACATCAAGACAGGCGAAGTCGAATCCGTCATCAAGTTCAAGGTTGGCGATGTCGCCATGGTTACAGCTGGTGGTAACGTCGGCCGTGTCGGAACAATCCAAAAGATCGAGAAGCAGATGGCTTCCTTCGATATCGTCCACCTTAAGGATACATCTGGCGCTGTCTTCGCCACACGTATCATGAACGTTTTCGTCATCGGTGAGAACGAGCACCCACTCATCAGCCTTCCAGCTCGTGAGGGTGTCCGCCCATCCATCCTTGAAGGAATCAACCAGGAATAAAGAATCTCTAATATTATTTCAAATTTCTACAAAAAATTAAAAGTATATTTTTCAATTTTCTTCAATTTGGATTTATAACATACAGATTTATGCATATTTTATAGATTATTCATGAAAAAACCTTCACTATTGTTTATATAATAATTATTTGAAATTTTGAGCCACTTTATCTTGCAATCAGAAGAGCTAAAGAGAAAACTGTTTATATAAATATATACCCATATGATCTAGTACAAATAACGAATATAGTTTTATTGAATCAAAGTAGTGACATGTCCTTGGAAAAAGAGATCTTAGAGCCCACGTAATTTTTGCACAAAAGTTTCTCAATCACACGAAATAAGTATGGCTATTGCGATAGAATAATTAATATTTATCCTTTGTAATTGTATCTAAAAAAGTTTATGAAATGCGAAACAAATAATTAATATTTTTATTTATACATGATCAAATATATATAATCCAAACGCATTTCCTCTGATTCGGTTGTATGTTTGTGTTAATTCATTTCCATTTTCAAGTTTGGGTACTATCTTAATAAATTCTAATATATCTACCCGAAATTCAGGAATATTGAGAAGTATTTCAAACGCTATCAATCTCCTCTCAGGATATTGGGTGTATTCAATGATTCTGTAAAACGGTGTCTTCCTTTCATTATCATAATAATTCAAAATATCAGGAATTTCATTAATTTTCTCAATAATCATTGAAATTATTTCAACATTCGCAACTTGACAAGCGTTATGAAGAATAGTTGCATTCCTTTTATCTCTTGTCTGCTTATCAACTTTGTCACATTGGAATAAGAGTTTGAAAGGCTCAGAGTTATTTGGCATTCTTGATGCCAACATTATTGGAGTTTGGCCTCTTGAATCTTTAGCATTTGGATTGATATAATCAAACTCCAATAACTTTTTGATAACTTTGCATGCTGATGATATTACAGCATAATGAAGTGGCGTCATTCCATCCTCATCTGGTTTATTGATATCTATCTTATCAGTCTTGTCCAAGAAGTATAATGCCATATTTTCTCCTCTCTTCCTTTTTATCAAATATGAAATCAAAGGAAGCTTGTTAAACATAATATTTGGATCCAAGCTGTGATATTTGCCAAACAAAATATCTACGAAATGCCTATTATTTTTCATTAAAATAAACAGCAACAAAGGGAAATCAAACCAACCTTTCAAGTTGTTGATATCCTTAATGTTTTTAAGTAATTCCAGGAAATTGGTTTCGTCATTTTTCGAGACAGAATCAAATAACTGATAATTATCATCTTCTTCATCTTTGTAATTTTTGATAATTGGAGCTTCTTCATATTTGAAGGATATTGGTGGCAATGAATTTTTTTCTTTGAAAATTCTGTACAACTTATTACTGGGAATTGGAGTTATTTCATCCAAACGGATCTTTGGATACCGAATAAGAATCTTATATAATTCTTCTTCTTGATTTGTAATAACATGTTGAATTGCATTATCTTTGCCTACTTTTGCATGAACATCTATTCTTGGACTTGATAACAAAAGCTTCATCATCTCTGGATCTCTAGATTTAACACATTGTATCAAACCATTTTGGTTTTTATAACTAATATTGATGTCAAAATTTGGCAATGTATTCAAAAAGAGATTGGGACAAAGTTGCAATTCGGCACTTTTTGTAAAAAAATGGGGTCATACTCATAATGAATAGAGACTTATAGCCAAGTCTTGATATCATGCAGGGAGAATATACATTGATAAGCAATTATATTTTATAGTAGTAGTATTCAGAAATTCTTACAATTTACAATACAATTTTCAAAAATGGATAAAGACTAATAGCCAAGTCTTGATATCATGCAGGGAGAATATACATTGATAAGCAATTATATTTTATAGTAGTAGTATTCAGAAATTCTTACAATTTACAATACAATTTTCAAAAATGGATAAAGACTAATAGCCAAGTCTTGATATCATGCAGGGAGAATATACATTGATAAGCAATTATATTTTATAGTAGTAGTATTCAGAAATTCTTACAATTTACAATACAATTTTCAAAAATGGATAAAGACTAATAGCCAAGTCTTGATATCATGCAGGGAGAATATACATTGATAAGCAATTATATTTTATAGTAGTAGTATTCAGAAATTCTTACAATTTACAATACAATTTTCAAAAATGGATAAAGACTTATAGCCAAGTCTTGATATCATGCAGGGAGACTCTCTACAAATACAAAAATTGATTATCATAAGGAAATACAAATTTATCAATTTTCATGTGAAAATTACATAAATTTGTTCTCCAATAAATAGCAATAATACTTTGAATGTTATATTAAGTAATATAGCTTCAGGTAAATAAGCTTACACTTCAAAAATATACTGTTTATTCATTAATTTTAAAAAAAGTCCAAATTATCTAATCTTGCTTACTCTTCCTTTAAACTTCTTTGTGCCAAATTTAATATTGCCTTCAAAGATGGAATAAGGACATTAGGTTCAATCCTTCGGCTTTCGACAATTTCCAAAATGTGTTGAATTAATTTCAAACATTCATCGTGTTTTGAAGCTCTTTGCTCAACAATCTGATTACCTGCCCTTGTAAGAATTCTTACTGCTCTTTCTTCATTCAAAACATTAGCGACTTGAACCTTAATAATCGCATTTGGAATCACAACAGTGATGAGAGTTATGACGATGTCATCAATGCGCTCATTTTTCTTACCCAAGAAAAATGTTTGCTTTAATTGATGAAAGTGTGATTCCGCAATGTTATTCGTGGAATCACCTTCTCCACGATATAACATCATCCAATGTTCTTTGGTTCTTCTCCATTGTTTATCGAAATACTTCAAAGCGCGCGGTTCTTCTTCTTCTAACATTGTTGTCAAGAACTCATATGTTTCATCAGACTCTTCAGCCAGCTTTTCTGCATTCGTTGCATCTGCACGTAATGTCAAAAAGTCCATTGCTAAATAGAAGTTCTCAAAATTCTGTGGATTGTCAAAATAGCTTCCAACTTTTGCACATGCGCGTAAAACATGCACAGCGCACCAACTGAGCTGCGCAAGAGGAAATCCGTCCTCAATTGCGCGAGCAATGTTTAGCGCACAGTCAGCGCTCCAATGCTGTGGATCCAGGTGCGCAAACTCACAGAATTTCACCAAACATTCTTGAATTTTTTCAGATGTCTGAGGGTTCACTAAAAAATAGCAAAAGGGGAAAATTGTGTTTTGACTTGTTTTCATTGTTACTGCAAACAATTGGATCTTTCCTTTAATTAAAGAATGAGTGGAATCGACGTGGAGAGGGTTATCAATGCTATGCACCAATTCTTTTGCAGCAAAAGGTGCATATATGATTGTAAACTCGGAAAAATCTCCATTGTAATCAAATTGAACGAGATCATCTGGGCACTCTTCCTGTAAATTATTCAAAAATGCTTCCAAAGAAGTGTAAGGATCGTTTGATAATCTTTGTGCAATAATCTCATCAAGGCGATAAAATTTGTGCTTTAAAGCATCAGTAGACTGCGCGAAAAGTTTCATCGTTTCTTTTTATTCGTATCAATTCCGAACTTATCAAAAAATGCTTTTTGAGCAAGAAATTGCTTTCCACCGTTTTTAATATAAAGTTCGATCCATTTTTGATAAAATTTACTCGCGTAATGTGAACCCATTTCAACTCCTATATGATAGCAATGTTCTTCATTAACTTTGCTTATAGTAAACACTCCATTTTGTTCTTCAACCCTAAATTTTGCCTTGCATAGGGGATACGAACATGAATAAGTGACATATTGCTTTGGAGATCCCGTTCTTCTTCTGTATGGGACACCGCCCTTGACTTCCTGTTTAATACCAAAAGCAATAAGCTCCTCTAAGTCCACCGAAATCATAAAAATGAAGTGATTTTGAAAAGAGTTAACAAAATTCAAATCACATCAAAAACAAAAACACATAAAAAATATTTTATTATACTCATTCGAAATTAAAAATAATAAAATTTATATATATTAATTTCATTAAATCAAGGTTAAAAATCTCACCGGAAAAATAACCTCAGTGTGATAAATTTATCACCGGAAAAATTTACAATAAGGTTAATACCGAAAATATCGAAAAATCAACATTTAAGGTTAATTTAAGAGTATGCACTTTTGTCACCTACTCTATTCAAAAATTGGAGAGCTTCACCTTTAAATTTTTGTTTCTTCTTCCTTTTAATACAATAATATAAAGGAGGAAGTCCTTGTTTATCACGAATATTTGGATCTTTAAACATCCCTTTTGACTTCATAAACAAAAGACCTTTAACAAAATTTCTTGCACATGCAATATGAAGAGGGGTAACTCCATCATTATCTCCCCTGAAACAATCATTATTAAATTCGTAAAGCATTTTCATTATCTCAAAATATCCTTTTTCGACAGTATGCCAGAAAGCAGTTTGTCCCTTATTATCAGGAATGTTAATATCATTTTTATCCGTAATTTTATCTTTGAAGACAAAATAAAATAATTTAAAATGATTATTCATTGCGATTAGTATCAAAGGCGTCCTTCCATTTTTATCTTTTGCATTAATATCAATTATCTTATTTTCTAAAATATATTGTGTCTGCTCTTCTGCTCTATTTTCACATGATAAATGCAAAATCGTTTTTTCTTGAGCGTCAAGACAATTTTTGTCAATTCCTTCTGTTTCAATCAGTAATTCAAAGATTTCAAATTGCTCGTATTTCATTGATGCTAAGTGTAGTAGTGTTTGGCCATGTTTATCATCAACAATATCATTTATATTTATATCATCCTTCAAATTTTCTAAAATTATTTCAATAAAATCTTTCTTATTGGATAAATACGCATAATGCAAAATGTTTTTCTTCGAACTGCAAGTACCTGTTATATAACTAAAATTGTAAACAATATTAAATAAATCTACATTATTATTGTCAATCAGATATTCTAATACAAATTTATCATCGATTTTAATGTTTCCTGGATCTTCGCAATCATGAAAATCATATTCTCTAATTGTTTCAAATGCTTCTTGATTGATTCTTTCAGGTTCAGTGTCAACCAAATATTTTATAATAATTGTGAAAGGGGATTCATTGTCCGAGTTTAATTCCCACATGTCAAGATCAAATGAATGAATATTGTTAATGATTTTATTGAATAATTCAAAATTCTTGGCTTTTGCAAGGAGATGCAATATTCCGTTCCCATTTGCATCATGTACTTTCAAATCATCACCTTTATCTTGAAAATTTCGAAGTGTTTCAATTGAATAAAATAACAAATTTTCCAGTGAAAAATGATTGATATCATCACTCTGAATTTGATACTGTTCTGCTGAATCACTCGAATTTTCATCAATTACATGACAATTTATTTTTGCTTCATCACTCTCCTCATTGAAATGAGTCATTTCCACATCATTTTGCGTGTCAAATGATGTTCTATTATCACAATTTGATCTTAATGAATAGTAGTATATGTTGACGGGTTGTGTGACTTTTTTTGTAAACGTAAGAATTCATACAATATTGAACGATTTTGTATCATTTTTTTTAACATATGAAGTAAAAAATGTATGATTCTTACGGTTTTTATTCTTACGTTTTTGAATAAATCAAGATTTAAAAAATTGACTTCTTACGTAAAATTAAAACTAAGTTAAATTTATTTTTTTTATTTAATGATAAATGAGTATAACAACTAATTCATTGAAATCTTTAAAGTTCACTAATTCAGAATTAGAAAATATTTTAGAAAATTTTGGAGACGGTTCTTATCCAACATATATGCAGAATGTGAAAGAGTTTTCCAGATTGTTGAATGAATTTAAATATAACGGACCAATTACTAAAAAGGCTATAATGAGATATTTATATCCCAAAAAAGTTGAAAAACAGGAGAATATTCCTCTTTATGGTCCAGAGGACCTGGGCTCAGAGAGCCTTGAAACACCTCCTGAATATTTTGAAGAAAAAATTAAACAAGATGAATATTATAACGATGAGATTGAGAAATTGGAACAATTAAGAAATGAAATAGATGAAAAAATTAAGGAATTGAGAAATGCTGAGAATGAAGTAGAGGGTTTAATGAATATCCCAGCTTCAGAATCAGAAGTTCAAAAATTACATGAGGAAAGATATAAAAATTACTTTTTGGAATCTACTAAAAATTTATTAGATGGTGATATTGACGAAACACTTTCAGAAGAAGGCACAAAATTTATTCATAAACATAAGTTACAATTTATTGACGATGGAGATTATCCATGTATATTACTTTCGCCTCCTCTTGATTCTGAAAAATTCAAAAAAGCACTGAAAAATGTAACATATGCAACAAATACGATTAAGAAAGAAGACCATGATATTTACACAAATTATTATTTAAATAAATGTACAGGTGTTGATAAAGTTTTTGATTTGTTAGATAAAATATCAAAAGAAACCATTGGAACCTATAAAATTTTGTGTGATTGTGGTTTCATTATTGAAGATACCAATAATGTTTCATATGAAAGAACAGCACCGAAGGAAGATGAAGTTGAAAGGTCTATACCATTCGTTATTAAGAATATAAAAGATATGAAAACGTATAAGCATTATATTTATTCATTTATTTCAGAAAAAATGGAAGCAACCCATAAAACATCTTCTCATCATTTTATAGCTATTCATACATTCCTTTTCAAAGTTGTGAAATTAAATAAGACAGGAATTAGATTTAATGTATCAGGGTACACATTCTTGAGTAAATTAAAATGTATTCGTCACGTCGCAGATGATAAAAATTTATGTGTTCTTAATTCATTTTATGGACTTTAGCCCTGGACTCTCTGAGTCTCGGACTTTAAAAAATAAACTTTATTTTTATTTATTTTTTAATTTTTATTCTTACATAAATGAACAAAAATGGAACAGCTAAAATGAATGATAATCAAATAAGAGCCGAAGGTAGAAGGTTATTTAAACGCTTCTATAACATTCCTGATGGTGTTAATCCTAAAACTCGTAGAAGTTATTTAAATGAAGCAATAGATGCATATGAAGGATTTGACATTTCATCAGAAAGTGAGAGGTTAGCAAGAATGTTAAATGTTAATATTGATTTCTATTATTGTGATCCTCAACCAGAAGACGTAGACATTAACAAGGTAGACTTTCCATTAGTGGATTCAATAATGATAGATCCAGAATTTGAAACAGTAAATATTTTATTAACACAGAGTCCATGTGGAAAACTTCACGCTGACAGAATAACAGACGTTGAAGCACTCACAGGATATAAAGTTTGCCCCTTTTGCAAAGAAGAAGTATATTCTATCCGTGATGATCCAGAAAGGAAAAACCAAAGAAGATTTTTAAAACATTGTGAGAAATGTAAAGAAAATAATGGAAGATTAATTCAAGACGTTCAATTGCAAAACACACAACAACCATATGCACCACATATTACGAAACAGAAGATATATCAGTGGTTATTAGCTCACAATTTGCAGAAATATTATCAACCGACAAGATATTATATTACTTTTGACTTTGAAACATTAGAGACTAAAGAAGAATTACAACTTTCTGAGTGTGCAACTTTAAACGCTTACTTAAAACCATTCATGGTATCATCAACGGTTAAATTAAACGATAAAACATATACGAGGAATTTTTGCTTAACTTCGAGTGATTCTTTTATTTCTGATTGGATTGAGTTTTTATTTTCAACCTGTTCATTAGTTGCTAAATCAAATATTGAACAATATGAAGAATTAATGAAGTCGCAAACGGACCAAACGGCGGGGACTTTGTCTCATACATTAAATGAAAAACAGAAGGAAGCATTTAAAGAGCTTTTAGATGAAGAATTTAATAAAGTGAATATCATTGGTTTTAATTCAGGAAAGTTTGATTTAAATTTAATTCTTCGTGATTTAAACACTGCAAAATGGAAAATAAAATCAATACTGGGTTCATCTTCACAATTTAAGCAAGTCATAGTAAAGAAAACAAACTGTCCATATGAATTAAGATTTATTGACATCAGAAATTATATAGCGGGTGGAACATTAGACCAATTCACTCAAGATTTCGGAAACAATAAATCACGTGTTAAATCCTTTTTCCCTTATCAATTCATCACATGGGAGAATTACGAAGATGAATTATATAAAAAGGAACCATTCACTCAAGATTCATTTTATTCAGCATTAACACAAGAAACAATATCCGATTCAGATTATCAAATATATCTCAATGATGCTAAAAATTTTGAGAATAGATTAGAATATTTTATTCATTATTGCAATAAAGACGTTGAAATTATGATTGACCCAATTGATAAAATTATCGAAGAAACATTTGTTTATAAAATTGACATGCTTCATAATCTTTCTTTATCATCGAATGCATCAATGATTCGTTACGCGTTAGCATATAAGACTTCAATCCTAACGAAACATATCCAGAAGAAGAAAATGTGGAATCAAGTTTTGAATTAACAAAAAAGTATTGGAAATATAAAATTGAATCATATAAGAAACAAGATGAAAAAGCAGAAAGGGATACTAAAAACAATGTTTCAATGGATGACTATCAATACTATCACGATTTAATCCTTTCATCTAAATGCAAAATGTGTGGTAAAGCGTTTACATATGCAAATAAACCAACATTGGATAGAATCGATAATGAAAAACCACATACCAAAGAAAATTGTCAGTTAATGTGTTGTTATTGCAATGTCGTAAAATCAAATAAAGATGAAGATGTTCAACGTTTAAGAATCAATTTAAGAAATTATGCATTAAAAAATAATTTACCAATGACTTTAGATTCAGTTGAAGCTTATCACATTCTCCGTAATGGAATTACTGGTGGTCTATCAAATGTTCAACATCGTGTTAATCTTAAAGGAATCACGCACATTAATAAACTTTCATATAATCCAGAAACTAAAACTGTATCAAATGAGGACACCACCAACATTATGACTCATTTCGTTGGAGTTGACTTTAATTCATTATATCCTTCATCATTTTCATCTAATCCTCATGATTTCATTCAATATACTGACCATAAAATGTATATGCCGGGAAGATTGAATGGTGTTATCATTTGTGATACAGCAACAAAGAAAGCAAAAGCACTGGGAATTATTAAGAAGAAAAATACTTTATTCGTGGCTGAAGTAAAGGGTCACATTGATGAAAAATACATTAATGATTACATAAACTTTTTACCGATAATAAGAAACTTAGATATTATCACAGATGAAAAAACAATTGGCAGTTTTATGTATAATTACATGAAATCAAACAATCTACCAGTTGACCAGAAACAGAGAAAATTAACTCAGTTAGCATCAACACACAACCAATATCAACCATTTTCTTCTTATTATCTTTGGTATCTAATAGACAGATTTCATTTTATCATCGATGATATTCAATCAATTTTAACATTTACGAAAAACACTTGTTTTAATGAATTTGCGAACAAATTTATGAACGAAAGACAAAAGGCTGAATTAGAAGGAAATAAAGGAAAAAGTTTATTTTGCAAGATTTCACTTAATGGATCATATGGTTACGATGCAATGAATACACAAAATTACGCAAAGACTAAAATAATGAATGCACAGAAGTCACGCGTTGCATGTATGTCAAATAAGTTTAAAAACATAAGAGAAATAGGAGAGGATACATATCAAGTGATGCTTAAAGATAGATTTTATAGATGTGATACATGTTTACAAGAGGCATTCTTCACTTTAGATAATGCTAAATACTGGTATTTGGTTTTCATTTATGATTTTATGTATAAATGCTTGAATGTTAATCGTTTTCATTTCATTGAAGGTGATACTGATTCATCTTATTGGGCAATCGCTGGCGACCCAAATCTTCCTAACACTCAAGCATTTCAAGCAATTGTTACCGATAAACAATTTTATGATAAAAACATTTTCAAATTCGCACCTTTTGATTTCTTCTGTTTTGATGAGAAATTTAAACCTAAATTAAAGAATAAAGCTGAAGAAAAAGCACATGAGAAGAAGTTATTGGGTTTAGCAATTGAGAAACAAGGTGATAACATGGTTGCTTTATGTCCTAAGTGTTATACATCATTCAATGGTTCAATTGATGGAAGTGATTTTAAAAAGATTGCACAAAAAATGAAAGGTGTTAGTTTACGACAAAATAAACAATTAACACCTAAAAATTATTTGGATATAATAAATGATAAATTGATATTTGATGGTCAGAATATTAATTTACAACTTAAAAATGGGTCAATGACTCGCTTAACAATTGGTAAGACTGCATTAACAGGAGCACACACTAAGGCTGTATGTTGTGAAAATGGATGTTGTATGCCATTTATTTAATAAAATACCACAGAAGAGACAAAAGGAACCGTTAATGATGGTTTTGATACTATGATTCAAAGAGGTGGGCACCCTTAAAACATTGATTTTATTTTTATATAAATGAATAACACAGATTTAAAAATTTTAATTGATGATTTAGTATTTAATCAAAATTTTCTTAATTATTATGATTTAAAAGCATATCTCCAAAAATATAATAATAATATAACGGGTGATGATATGGAATATTATTATCCATATTATAAAAATGAAATTTTGAAATATCATAATAAAATAATTTCTGAAATTAAAGACAAAATTAAAAATAATGAATATATAAAGGGAAAAACTAAATCACAGCTTAAACAGTTGAAAGATTTCAAAAATAAAGTATTAACAGAAGAAGATATTGATGAATTATATAAATTATATAATCCCGAGCCGCAAAAGCCAAAGGAACAAAACACCCAGGTCCTTCAGACCATAAATGATGCACAAGCTTTAATTTATGATTCATTAGTTAAACCATATTCAGCCCGACTTTTAAATGAAGATCAACTTTTGGAATTCATCCTTCAACATAAACTCGAAGCGGGAAAGTATATCAAACCTTTATATACAGCATATTTAAAACAAATGAATAAAATACATCCAGAATTAATGAAGGGAGGATTGAATTCCAAAATCAAAGCAGATAAAATTAAACCACTTACAACACCAAAACCTCCAACAGTAGTACCTCCTCCTTCAGTTAATCCTTCATCATTCACTTTATTATATCCATTTCAAACATTTAAGAAGCAAAAAGATTTTAAAAAGGATTTCAAGATATTAAATAAACCAATTGACCCGAAAATTCAACCATTAAAGGAAAAATTTAGTCGCCCTTCATTTGCTCCATATCCATATTCATACGAAATCGATCATCTGGAATATTCAAAAGGAAACGTTACTTATTTATTTGCCATTAACATTAACACTAGATATTTATATTGCATTCCGGTGAAAGGGAAAACAGAACAGGAAACAAGAAAAGCTATTCAATACTTACTAGATCATGAAAGAGTAGATAATATCAGGGGTGATGGTGATAAAGGATTTCAGGCAGCTATGGCTCATTATTTCCCACAAATTAATTTTTACTTTTCATCCTCTCCATATACGTTTCATAATAAAATAGTTGATGCGGTAATGAGAACTCTTAGAGATGCGTTAGGGGTTAACGGTCAGATATACTGGGATGGAAATCATGACTCCATCATACAGCAGTTAGTATATTATTACAATAATACATGGCATAGAATATAAACATGAAACCGGTGGAAATGAAAAATGATATTTCAAAAGAATGGGAATATATTAGAAAGCAAATGGAAAAGTTAAATGATGTTAAACGTGAACAAATTAATTCGGGGCTCATGAATTTTAAACAAGGAAATAAAGTTTTAATTCATCTCGATTATGGAAAAACTGATAAATCAATGACAAAAAGAAGACGAAGATTTGACACAATAGCTGAATTTGTTAGATATATTAACGGCAATGCATTAGTTGAAGTTGACAAGAAATTAATAGAAATTCCGATTTATTTTATTACTCCATTATATTTAAATAATATTTAATTTTTTTTATTTCGTAAGAAATGAGTGACAACAAAGCAGTCAAGAGTCCAGACAATGAATATAAAAAGAAACTAAACAGAATTAAATCAAAAATATGCTATTACAAAAAGAAGTCGCAATGCGGTGGGGTTGAAAACGATGAAAGAAATAATCGAAAAATTAGAAACTTACCGTCAATCATTAAACTGAGTGAAGCAAAAATAAAAGAATTTAATAGAATAAATAAATTGGTTGGAAGAGATGAATTTAATAAAGATGAATTTTTAAAACTCAATCCAAATTTAATTTTTATTCCTCTTCGAACAACATCTCTCTTTCCATCATTACTGCATAACCACATTTTCTCAATTTTAGTGGTTTGTTATTTTTAACATGTTCTTGCATCATTTTTATAATTTCCTCCCTTGTTATGATTCGTGGTAAATTTTGAGCTTGTGGGGTATTCATTTATGATAAAAATAAAAATTTAAATTATCCGTTCTAAAGTTTGTGACAACATGACATTTTGACAACATCATGGTTATTCAATAATTAATTATTTTTGAAGAACTGAGGGGTCACCAGTCACCAGGTCACCAGGTCATTTAACTTCTCTGAAAAAATGTGACAACATGACATTTTGACAACATCATGGGTTATTCAATAATTAATTATTTTTGAAGAACTGAAGGGTCACCAGGTCACCAGGTCACCAGGTCATTTAACTTCTCTGAAAAAATGTGACATAAACATGACATTTTGACAACATCATGGGTTATTCAATAATTAATTATTTTTGAAGAACTGAAGGGGTCACCAGGTCACCAGGTCACCAGGTCATTTAACTTCTCTGAAAAAATGTGACAACATGACATTTTGACAACATCATGGGTTATTCAATAATTAATTATTTTTGAAGAACTGAAGGGGTCACCAGGTCACCAGGTCATTTAACTTCTCTGAAAAAATGTGACAACATGACATTTTGACAACATCATGGGTTATTCAATAATTAATTATTTTTGAAGAACTGAAGGGGTCACCAGGTCACCAGGTCACCAGGTCATTTAACTTCTCTGAAAAAATGTGACAACATGACATTTTGACAACATCATGGGTTATTCAATAATTAATTATTTTTGAAGAACTGAAGGGGTCACCAGGTCACCAGGTCACCAGGTCATTTAACTTCTCTGAAAAAATGTGACAACATGACATTTTGACAACATCATGGGTTATTCAATAATTAATTATTTTTGAAGAACTGAAGGGGTCACCAGGTCACCAGGTCATTTAACTTCTCTGAAAAAATGTGACAACATGACATTTTGACAACATCACAGGATTAATGCAAAAATAAATTCAAATCATACTTTATAAAGCTTCATTCACAGGTATTTCATCGTCAGTAAATGATTCCTCATTATCGTTTGGTTCAATTTGTTTATATAATCCTTTCATTTCTTCTTTCAAAACATAATACCATGTTTGTTTACCATCTATTTTTCTTTGTTTCCTTTCACATTTATCCTTAATGCTCATTTGAAAGTTTTTGTCTTTCATGTCTGATGGTTTGCAGAATAGAGCATTTTTACACGTCATACCTGCACATAATTCATCATAATGTGTATTTATCCATTCATCTAAAGGATTTGTTGATAATTCTATTAAAATCTTGTTTGGCTTCAGTCATCGGTATGATTCGTACATTAAATGATGAAAGGTCATATTGCATAAAATACGTCAGTAAATTATCATAAAATTCCTTAGTGCATGAATCCATTAAATTCTTGAAGTAATCAAATTGACCCTTGAATTTACCATTAACCCTTAAAACTACGTATCTTCTGTCTCCAACTTCAATTTTGACAGGGTAGACGTTGTTAGTTACGAAAATGAAGTTTGCAACGTTCTGTGCTGTTCTTCTGGGTTGATTCTTTTCATTAATTCTAATCTCATTATCCGTAATAATTGATTTCAAAGCGTTGAAGTTTGCGAGTCTGTCTTCACCTACATTCTTGAGTTCATTAAGTACAAGAAACATTTTATTCTCAACTACTGAATTGAAATTACCCGTTAGCTCACTTATTTCGGTAATGTTTTTACATGAATAACCAGCGAGAAGTTCAGAAATAATATCTGTAAATCTGTTTTTACCTGTTCCCTGAAGTCCTTTCAAAATAATTGCTGTTCATTCTTGATTCCAGGATGTTGAATCATTGATGCAATCCAGCCGAGAAGGTATTTATACACTTCATCGTTATTATCACAAATGGCTTCTTTAATGAAATTCATAAACATCTCAATTTTTGAGTAATCAGGCTTTTCAAGAATGTTGTATTTATAACCCTGAAACGTTGAGAAAACATCTGGAGAATCAGATTTAAAGCAAACACCCTTAACGGTTAATGAAGACAATTGATTTAGTAGTACATCCCATGCTGTTATGGTTTTTACCTTCTTCTTTAAATAATTTAATCATTTTGAGTGACTCTTTCATGTTTGACTGAAGAACAAATGATATTTGATTCATTTTGTCGTGTATGTTGTAATCTTTCTGAATGAAGTATTTGTTTCCACAATCTACAAAACGAATTACACGTGATAAATCCTCAATTACTTCAGAACTGTTTTTATACTGATGATTTTCAGCCTTGCGTCTAATATCTGTTATCAAAAACGAGTCATCAAGTTTGATATCAAATGTTATTTTGGCTTACGTAATAAAGGTAAAACATATTCATCATAATATTCCTTTTGATAAAGTTTTAGAAATCTTCACCAAAACAAATGGAGAAGTCATTAAATGTGCATATCTACTACGTGCTTTTTTCAAAATTACTTTTTGCATTTTCAGTTAAATTGCAGAAGTTATAAACGTTATCGTATGCTTCATTAATCAAATGATTAGGTAACGAATTAATAGCTTGAAACAGTGTGAATAATGTTATTTCTTTTTCTAAATTCATGTTTCCACCATCATTATGTACTTCAAAATCACAGATGCCATCAACTATGCTCTGAGCTAGTTTATCGTCAATGTTTACATCTTTGTTTTCATTCATTATACTCTTTATTTCTTCGCTCTTCTGTTCAACTCTTACCTTAATATTCAAATCATTTAATATATCATTCACTGTTCTAGTTAATGTTGAATCATAACTTCCACGAATGAATGAGTATGTATTGATTGGTTCTGTTGCATTCTTTCGAACTCTTGAATCAGCCATAACCACTAAAGAACGTTTTGAATCATCCATAGAAGTCATTATGTCAATATCATAATCATTGCAGGAATAACATTTAATCATTCTGTTCGAAACTGCATAGAAGAAATTAGTGTTGCAATAAATGTGAAGACCTCCTGAAGCGGTTTTAACGATAACATCTTTATCCGAAAGTTTTGATAAAATGTCTTTTCTAACTGTTTCTTTAAGTTCATCATTGTACGATTTATTGATATCAACATCTATAATCGTTAAATTTGAAATTTTATTTACTAATAAAGCCATACCAGTTTTCCTTCCCCTTCCTCCATCATGTTTGAGGTAGTTATGTAAATCAATCATGTTTTCACCAATTCTTTCGTTGAGGGTTTTAGTTTCTGCCACAACTAATTCCGCAACTAATGAATCAATAACTTTTTCATCAGAAACGATAAAGTTGCTGTTGTGTTTGTTGCTGTCATTTATATAGGAATAAAAAAATAAAAATAATTTTAAAACTAACTTTATTTTTGGACTGCATCAAATTTTCTGTGATGTTGTCAAAATGTCATGTTGTCACATTTTTTCAGAGAAGTGAAATGACCTGGTGACCTGGTGACCTGGTGACCCCTTCAGTTCTTCAAAAATAAGTCATAACTGCCTTCCTCCTGTGATGTTGTCAAAATGTCATGTTGTCACATTTTTTCAGAGAAGTGAAATGACCTGGTGACCTGGTGACCCCTTCAGTTCTTCAAAAATAAGTCATAACTGCCTTCCTCCTGTGATGTTGTCAAAATGTCATGTTGTCACATTTTTTCAGAGAAGTGAAATGACCTGGTGACCTGGTGACCCCTTCAGTTCTTCAAAAATAAGTCATAACTGCCTTCCTCCTGTGATGTTGTCAAAATGTCATGTTGTCACATTTTTTCAGAGAAGTGAAATGACCTGGTGACCTGGTGACCTGGTGACCCCTTCAGTTCTTCAAAAATAAGTCATAACTGCCTTCCTCCTGTGATGTTGTCAAAATGTCATGTTGTCACATTTTTTCAGAGAAGTGAAATGACCTGGTGACCTGGTGACCTGGTGACATTAACGTAAACATATATTTTTGGTCGTTTATGATAAAAATAAATGGTTCATTTACTCACAATATTTTTGTACAAAACGTCCCCAAACTTTTAACTTCTTTTCTGCAGTTTCTAATGCTATCTTAGCGAGTTCATATTCTCTAAATTCTCTCTTTAAATCTTCTTGTTCCCATTGGTCTAGTTCGTATGAAGAATCTCTATAAACATAACATATCTCACGTTCATGTTCTAATTGTTTTTCATGCATTTTTCTAACTTCTTGTTCGAACAAAGGTTTAGCATTTTCAACTGTATCTTCGAGTTCTTCTTCATCTAATTTCTCATGAACTTTCTTGTCTATGGAGTCCATAATATCTTTGACATAAAATGCATACTTTACAGAGCACCATTCAGCAACAAAATGAACGAGGTCAGGATGTATGTAAATACCTTTGAATTCATTCATAACACCCTTAGTAAGCTCATAAAAAGCTTGTTTTGAGGTTGAGCCACTTTTGGCTCGACCGTATTCTTTCAACCAAAACTCAAGAATTTCCTGCATTTTAGCACTATTGAGAAATCTGTTTAAATGGTTTAACCTTCCCGCTTCTCTTGCCATCTTTGTTGCATTAATGTAACCATCCTTGTCTCTACGTAAGACTTCAATACCATTATAAGTGCCTTTTGTGAATGTTTCGCCATTAGATTTGTTTGTGAATGTTTTTGCTTCGACTGACATTTCTGTTCTTACATACAAATAAAAAAATAAAAATAATTTTAAAACTAACTTTATTTTTGAACTGCATCATATTTCCAGGACTGTTGTCAAAATGTCATGTTGTCACATTTTTTCAGAGAAGTTAAATGACCTGGTGACACATGGTGACATAGTGACACCTTCAGTTCTTCAAAAATAATTAATTATTGAATGACCTGAAAACATTAACATAAACATTAACGATAAAATTTATTTCTGCAGTTCATCCATTACTTCATTACCTAATTAATTACAGACATAAAATATATTTAGTTCATTCAATGAACGCGGTACCATGCGAATATAGTCATAAATGGTGGCATATAATCTTTACCCAAGCCTGTTGGATTTGTTGTGAAAGTGTGTGAATGATTTCCTCCTGGTTCAGTTGGTCGAAAAGTCTTTTTTGCCGAATGGTTATAATCTGGAGATAAAACGTCATTGCCAGCATAATATTCTGAGTTGTATAATGGGTGGTCTCTTAATGAGTGGCTATGGTCGCCAGAAAAGTTTGTAGTTCCTGTATGAGTGTGCGATGGAAGGTTTGCTTCAGTAATTTTCTTCGAACCTCCTGTTTGCTTTGAAGAGTTAGCACAATAAAGGAATTTATCTACAATCTGTTCCCACGTACCGAAACCCAGAACTGTTGCTGGATTTGTTGAGTTCATTGACGTATAAATAGAACCAATGGGGTAAATCATCTCAAGAATTGTATTTAATCCATTATGAATATTGAATTTATTATATAATATTGAATATTGGTGAGTATTTAAAACTGGTCTTGTTATCAATATTAACGTATTATTTTTGAAAATTGCTTTTCTAACATCTTGAAATTTTGTGATTTCAGACCAGTTTCTTCCATCACTACTGATATTTACTAAATCACCGCATCCTAAAGCAATGAAATACCCATCAATATAAAATAAATTTGTAAATCTATAATTTCGAGTAAATTTTGGAGTGAATGAATAAACCAATTCCCAATTTGATAAATCCTGTGATAAATAAATATGTCTGTTATAACTTACAGGATATGAATAGACCATTCTACTTGAAACGAGAACATAAACATTTGATCCATAACATAAAGCTTCAATGTCTCCATCAGCTTGAAAAATTCGTTCAAATTGACCTTGTGATATTGAAGATGATCTATAAATTTTATCATTTTGTAGGATAAAATACATGTTGTTAATGTAATACCACTTACTCGTATAATCAATTTTCAAATCTGATGACATCATACTAAACATATAATAATTTATCCCATCCTCACTAATGAAAATTTGATTGACTTCATAAATTAGTACCCATTTATTATTAACACATCTAATAGGATTATTTGGATATTTAAATTTAGCATCTTGATTTAAATTACATTTGAACCATTGGATACAATCGAATGAATAACAAGGGTAAAAATCATCTCCAACCGTTATCATTCCCATAAATTTACCGTTATTATATTCAACATATAAAATTATTGGATTAATGATTGGCTCTCGTGTATCAGGATTCAAAACAGATGGAGTAAATGATTCATAGTTTTTAAAATCATTTGTTTTAAAATAATAAAGCACTCCAGCTGTATAAAATAAATACATGGTCACTCCATCGAAACATATCCATTCAAAAGAATCTATATCAAAGGTTTTATCTGATGATTTCATAAAATTTAAAAATGGTGGAGTAAAATAGACCTCTGATTGTTTTATTTCTTCATTAACAAATGATATATCTGCCTTCTTCTCTAACTTACTAGCCACATATTCCTTATCCGCTTTCTTATTTAACTCATCGTTAACATATTCCTTATCTGCTTTAAGGTCTAAACATCCTGAAACCCATCCTGTATCAGCTTTAGTTTTTAAAATCTTTGATGTCCGTTCATGATACCATTCAACCATTTCTTTAATTTCATTATCTTTTTCATCCACATATTCCTTATCTGCCTTCTTCTCTAACTTACTAGCCACATATTCCTTATCCGCTTTCTTATTTAACTCATCGTTAACATATTCCTTATCTGCTTTAAGGTCTAAACATCCTGAAACCCATCCTGTATCAGCTTTAGTTTTTAAAATCTTTGATGTCCGTTCATGATACCATTCAACCATTTCTTTAATTTCATTATCTTTTTCATCCACATATTCCTTATCTGCCTTCTTCTCTAACTTACTAGCCACATATTCCTTATCCGCTTTCTTATTTAACTCATCGTTAACATAAACCAAATTTGCCTTCTTCATTAATTCACTATCCACGTATTCCTTATCTGCCTTCTTCTCTAACTTACTAGCCACATATTCCTTATCCGCTTTCTTATTTAACTCATCGTTAACATATTCCTTATCTGCTTTAAGGTCTAAACATCCTGAAACCCATCCTGTATCAGCTTTAGTTTTTAAAATCTTTGATGTCCGTTCATGATACCATTCAACCATTTCTTTAATTTCATTATCTTTTTCATCCACATATTCCTTATCTGCCTTCTTCTCTAACTTACTAGCCACATATTCCTTATCCGCTTTCTTATTTAACTCATCGTTAACATAAACCAAATTTGCCTTCTTCATTAATTCACTATCCACGTATTCCTTATCTGCCTTCTTCATTATGTCATTTAGGAAACCTTCTATGAATTCCTCATTTAAATTAAATCTTCCAATCTTCAAAACTTTAGGAAATGCATTTAATGCGTAATATCTCTGTTCTTCTGGTGGAATTGATGTTATATCATCCGTTATTCCTTTAATTTTTGAATTCATAAATAAAATTTCTTTTATATTTGATATCACTGCACCACCCTTGCAAACGAATTCGAAATGGTCATTTTTCAATACTATCTCCAAATCTCCATATTTCAACCTTTGCGTTTGTTCTGCCGTCTTTGAATTATATGCATATATGGCGTATGTAATGGTCTGTGCCTTAAGTTGCTGTGGTTGCTGTTGTTTAATCATTTATTATGATTTAAAAATAAATATTTAATCTGTTATCTCATCAGCTATTTTTTCTATTTGAAATTGCCATAATATTTCATTCATGAATTCTAAATCACAATCAAATAGGTCAGTTACTCTAAATTTAATATTTGATAAATCTTTTGAATGAAGAATAAATGAATTCCCGGATAATTGAAACGGATATGATAAAGAAAATGTGTTTAAGTTGATGGATAAAATGTTTTGTATTGATGGGTAAGAGTTAGGGTCTAATGTTTGATGTGAAAATCTCATTGGGGTATTAACTTTATCACATTTGATTAAAATGAAATTGGAACCAGTGTCAGAATACAAAACATCCCCAACATCTTTTTCAAAATTTAATATCCCCAACAATGAACGAAGATGAGGAGTACAAAATTTAATTTTCAGCGGAAATTTAATAAGGTTATTTATTTCATCAAGTTCAAAAAGTTTATCAGGTTTTGATTTAAAATTTTCTTCATACCATACGATAAATGATTCATTTAAATAACTTAAAATCGTGTTAATATCCCATTTCGCTATCACATTATTTATATACATATCATACGTTTTTTCATGGTCATCTTTAATAAATGATATATAATCTGAAGGGTCTAAAAGAATGGGATTAAATTTACCACTCACAGAAACGAGAGTAACATTATAAATTCCGCTAACTGTTAAATTTAATTCACAGCTATTATTCGAAATAATATTGATAATTGACATTTTTATTACGATTAAAAATATGGTAAAGCGTTATTTTCCAGTGATAAATAAAACTAGAATAAGATTACCTCAAGAATTCATAAATTCAACGAATAAGAAATTCATTCATGTTATAAATTTTAGTGTTTTCAGAAAATATGAGTCAATGTCATATTCATCATCAGGTTATATTTCACTTCATTCAAATTTAGTTCAATCAAACTCATATAATGACCATTTCATAAGATTTTCAGATGGTATTAAAAATGTAATTGATAGATTAAAATATGAACAGATTGACAATATCGAATTTTTGGAATTTTGGTTTAAATATCCCGATGGAAAAAAGATTGAAGTTAAAGATAAAGCTGATACTATAACAAAAACAATTACAATGACCGATCCAGATAGTGGGGAACAAAAAGAAATAAAACAAACGATAGAAACTGGTGAAAGGTCAATTATTATTGATTATGATTCAAAGGATTATTATTCGATAATGTTAATGCTTGAATATTAAATGGCCTTAACAAAGAATTTTTCAAGTGATATTTTATATTCATCAACTATTTTATTGTATATGTTATTATAAGTTAAATGTAGTTCAGTTGTTGCTCCGTTCTTTGATATCTTAATTGTGCTAATATCCTTTATAGGATTTATTTTTGCAACTGTTCCACAGCATGAAACCTCATCATCTATGAAAAATTGAATCTTAACGTCTGAATCTTGAACATCACAAAGAATGGCGATAATGTGAATTAATGATTCATAAGGTAAAATAATTAAACCAGATTGGTCAATTAAATTTATTATTGAATCATAATTATTAATTATTATATCACGGTAAATTTTCATTAATTCAGAATTAATGTCTACTTTATATGGCGCATTGCGACTGGAATCGTAGATTCCTGGGTTCTCGATGTTTGATGAAAGAGGCGGGGGGTATGTTGGATAAGTGGGAATTTCAACGGGTTCTTTACCGGGTTCAGATAAAATGATTGGGTCTCCATCTTCTTTATTTTGCTCCTCCTCCTTTTTCGGTAAGTCACGAGTTAATAAATTTGGTTGAGTTGCTGACCTTGTTAATTCAGGACTAACATTAACTTTAACATTTTGAATAATTCGTGATTTATCATCATTTACGTTATAACCAACCGTAATCTCTGCTTTTGCGTTAGTGTTCTTTTGACTAGTGAAACGCCTTCTCATTTATAATCGAATAAAAAAAAGAAAAATATATTTAAAGTTTTATTTAGTTGTTACGGTAATATCCCAAGGTTCATCATTTGTTTGCTTATACTTTCTTTGTAACTGCACCAATTATGTTATTGATATTGCTTTGAGTTTCTTCCAGTCTTATTTTATCATTTACAATATCTTTAATCATTTCATTACATGCATTCTTAAAACCATCTGATTTTTCTAATTTACGTCTATCACTTTCTTTAATTAAATCAAAGTTATAACCTTGTTGAGAATAAAGTGGTTTCTTTATCAATTCCTTGAACGCTTCTGAAAGTGAAGATGAAGAAATTCTTGCCACTTGAATTGGTTTAAATTCTGCTTTCATTGCTTCTTTCTGTTCATTGAACACTGGATCGAATAAAGCAACTTTAAAGAATTTCTTAGCTGAAATTTCAGGTCTCAAATTTGCATATTGACCATCAAACTGATTAACATATCGTGGTAATCCATCCGGTCCCTCTTCAACAGCATTTAATTTTTCATTGAAATAAGAATATGGAATAAGATGGTATGAATACATTGGACCATTTTCACCTTCTCCAATGTATTGTTTAACAGCTTTTCCATTTTCATCAAATTGCATAGGATAACATTCATTATATGCTTTACGTTTAGGATAATCCGTCATTGTTAATTTATACCCATTTATGACTTTAATATTTCCTTGACCATCAGTAACGAAAACTTCATTTATACCATCAGGCTTTCCATTTGGTCCTGTAATGTCTGCTTCATGTGCTTCCCAATTTGGTCCATGACGTTTGGCATATGCTTGAGCTTCTGGTAATGTTAAAACGTTTCTCATTTGTTTAACATCCTTTTGAAGACCGGCAACAATGTGGACTAATTCTTTCATTCCGTCTGGAACTTTCATAGTTCTATTATATGGACCCTTTTTGTTTGTCCCTTGTTTTAATGGAACCTGTAGAAGATTTGCTATTTCTGTCATGTTTAATTATAAATAAAAAATAAAAATTAATTATAAAAAGTTATTCGAATTTAATGGAACCTTTATTTAAATCAACTATTATTTTTCCATGTTCACCTAATTGTTGATATTGTGTGTAAAGTTCATTAATGCTCATTGGTAAATTCACTTGATAAAGCATAACGTTCAACTGTTGACGACTAAACCCACTGAAAATGAAAAGTGTTGATAGATTTGATTTAATGTTTGTGCTTAATGCTTTGAAATATTGAACAGCCATAAAGAATGAACACTGAATGTGTCGACATTGAGTTAATAACTGATTAAAATATGATTTCTCATTTGTTATTAGTTTTGATTTCACTGCATCATCTAGAAAAATGAGTGAATGCAAAAATTCTCTATCAAAATTTGAAATAGAAAGTGTTTCAAATAATTCATCCCTTTGTTTATCAATAATTTTATCCTCTAATCCTTGCTTCTTGATTGTATTATATAATTCTTTATACATTAAAAAGTTTTTTAAATAATCTTCTGCTTCTTCTTGTGATAAATAAATAATTGGAATTTTGATTAAATGCTTTAAAGATTCAAATGTATCATCTGAAGGTGAACCTGAACGGTTGATATAAATTAACACATGTGAATAGGGGGAAGTGTTAGCAATAATGATAATTTGTTTTAATATCGTTAATGTTTTACCTTTATTTTGTTTACCAATTGCTGCAGTGATTGAATTTAAGTAACATTCAGAATATGGAATTTTCATTAATTTTTCCTTAGATAGAGCATTTCTATTATCACTCAATGCTTCATTAATCATATCATCTACGTATGTATTATATACTCCTGCTAATTCTTCATAAGGGGTGGATGAATTTAAATCCATTTAATCAAAAATAAATTTATAATTTTAAACATTTCTATTCATCAATATTTCATCATATGAACTTCTATACTGTGGTGGTGTACCTGTTGGATGATATTTCAAACCTTCATCCGGTGTCCATGTCCAATATGTAGTCCTAGTAAACCAAACCTGAGGAGGATTTGTCACCTTTGAACAGTAAGTGTCATTTTCACCCTGAATGATTGGATAAGCTTTCACTTGTACTGTAACTTGTGAGTTGAAAGTTTCTAATCCATCAAAGAATATACCCGCTCCATCACGTTGAACTGGAATAGTGCATAAGAATGAAGTTTGGTCTTTCCATGTTCTAGCTAATGGTGTGCCATTATCATCATTCAGTGGTCTAGTTAATGAGTCCTCGTATTCTTCTGTGCATTCATTCACTCCATCTAAATCAGAAGCTTGAAGCATACGTGTAAAGAATATGTCACCCACTGTGGTCATCGCTTGATCGGGGAAGTTTCTGGAATCTATAGTGACCTGAAGACCTCGAAGCATTGGATTTTCTAAAACCGTTCTTTGCATTGCATTCTTCGGAAATGTTAACACAACATCTGTAACATTATGAAGGGCGTATGAGAAATCTGAGCTGATACCTTCAGGAGAGATGCAACCTCCATTTAGTGAACGAACGTCAATATGTTGAGCTGGAATCATGAATGGATCTTCCTTACTAAATAAACGTGGTATTGCTTTAACTGATTCTTCAATTAAACCGTATCCTGGTGTAATGCATTTATCCTCTAAAACTTCCATCTTTGTGCATGAAATAATAACGTCATCAACTGTTGCGTCAGCAGATGTAGCGACTAAGCTTGTAATTAATTTGGCAGGAAGTCCGATTTGTTGGAATTTGCGATCATATTTATAAACATGATTCATAATCTTTTCATAATTTTCATCAGTTATCTTTTCATAAACGTAATTTTGTAAATCAGCAACTCTTAACGGGTCAACCTGACAAAATACTAAAGTATCCCTGAAAACATAATATTTAAGAATGATATCACCAAATGATTTAGGATAATCATCGAACGCCTGAAATGCTAACAAATCATTTACCGGAATAATCATATCAAAAGTGATATCAACTTCTTCATTTGCTTTCTTGAAAACTTCTGAAGGGTCAATATATTTACCACATACTGAGTTATCATATTTTTGAACATTATTATATAACGAATGAACAAACTTTTTAACTTTCCTTTCTGATTTTGGTTTATATGTTGCAAATGCGAAAGATTCACGGGCGCAATCCATCTGAAGATAACCGGCATCACCTCTTTCGGTTTCTACTTCTAATTGTTTAAAGTTTTGATTTGATGATTTGTAACCAACGAATAAACGCATGCATTTAAAAGCGGCATCACATGTGAAAGCTTTATTTGAAACTAGAGTTGCTTTAACTTTGCGTTTAATATATGTGTCACCTAATTGGTTCACATCATGAGCTGGGTTTGTAATTCTTAAATGAGTTTGTTTATCATCAAAATATGGAGTATCAGAGTCATAGCATGAACTTTCAAGTTCTCTATAATATCTTCTACCATCATTCTTCGCGAATATTTCATTTATCTTTTCGAATGAATGAAACACATTTCCATTAATCGGTTTAGTGTTTGGCACCAAATAGTTAGTCGTCATTTATTATTAAATAAAAAATCAAAATTAAAAGATGAAAATGAATTTTTAATTTTAATGAAATAATCAACTATGGCTGCAGGTATATTTAAGAAACTGTGGGATAAAGTAAAAAGAGGAGCGCATAACGTTTGGGAAACAATGAAGAAAGGAGCAAATTGGATATTTAAGAATAAAGAAGCAATTAGTGACGTTGCTGAATCAATAACACCAAAAGCCGCCCCAATAAGAGAAATATTAAATAAAGGAGAAAAAGTTTATCAAAGACTACAACCGATACTAAGATAAAAATAATATTTATTTATTTTTCCACTATCTACCTCCTATTTTATTAAGTATTCCTTCAGCTATTCCACCAATTGCGTTACCTGCTTGTGCTCCCATTGCCGGATTACCTGCTTTTGTACCTAATACTCCACCTATGATAGTTCCTGCCGTTTTCGCTACTGGTGCCAAAAAGTTTGCAATGGGTTTAATAATCTTTTGATGAACCCAACCCGCAGCTTTCTTAATTCCTTCCCATAATTTTTTAAAGAATCCTGCAGCCATTTCTGATTTAATATTAATTAAAAAATATATTTCATCACTTATATTCTAATTTTTATTTAATGATAAATGAAACCAATTTTAAAAATAAATGAAACAGAGGAGGAAGAAATAAATGAAAGTGAAAATGTTCAACAAAAAATAAACGTTGTTAAACCAATTACTGAAACAAAAATTTTTTCATCTGTTGAAGAATTTAATGACTATTATGCTAATAATAAAAAATTATTTGAAGAATTGACAACATGTAAATTGAATAAAATGTTTAAAGTTGATGGATTCAAAATTTCAAAAATAAAAGGAGTGGTTAGTTTGAAATCTATTCCTCAATCAAGAATCACCTCATTAATGAAAATAGATGATTTAACAAAAAGAATAGAAATTATTGAAGAAAGAATGAATCAAATAATTGATTTCATAAATCATGACTCGTTGAGCCCGGGTCCTTAAAGCCCAGGACTTAAAGTCCATCACTGAGTTCAAGGTTATATTCATCAAATATTTCATTATTAAATGCAACTTCTGCTAGTTTATTTATTTTTTCAATACGATCATTTGAAAGTCTATCGTTTAATTTTTTCTGAAGTTTTTCATTTTCTAGTTCTGAAACTTTATTTGGATGATATTTAAACCCGTTAAATTCTTTTTCCTCAGTTTTGATCATTAATTTACAAAGAACTTTTGTGGTTGGAATTCGTTTAAACCATTTATCATTAATATTTGTTATAAATTCAATATTCGGAATTAATTCCCAAATTTTTGCATTTTCAATTAATTTATTATCAAATGCAAAAGCAATAGGTTTAATATTAAACTTACCTTTATAATATAAACTTTCTACATAATCATCGAAATAAACATCTACTTGTTTAACATTTTCAAGAATTGGTGAAAGAGCATCCATTAATTGATTGACGGTTACGAATCTTGATCCACTCATTTTCTTACGAATTAAAAAAATAAAAAAAATAAATTTAACTTAGTTTTAATTTTACGTAAGAAGTCAATTTTTTAAATCTTGATTTATTCAAAAACGTAAGAATAAAAACCGTAAGAATCATACATTTTTTACTTCATATGTTAAAAAAAATGATACAAAATCGTTCAATATTGTATGAATTCTTACGTTTACAAAAAAAGTCACACAACCCGTCAACATATACTACTATGAATCATCAGTATATTCATTGATTTCTTTAATTTGATTACAGTGAAAATCATCACCAATTTGTATTTCTTAATCAATATTTTCTGATTCTGAAGAGAAAGAAATTGGAGAATTTTGAAAATTCGGGATTTTTTCTTCATCTTCACTGTTATCAAATTCTTCCTTTATATTGGTATCAATTTTATCTTCAATTTTGATGATTTCTTCATCTGACATATCAATGAAAAAAATGTAAAAATTCCACCGGAAAAGTGACAAATAATTTTATTTGTTTGTTTGGCTGCATGTCTTAAAATGCCATTACTCTTTTTTATCTATCGGCTTGTGATATCAAACCGATTTTAATTGCCTTTATAATATTTAAAATTATGAACTCCATCTACTAAAATTATAAATTTTTTTACTTTTCAGTTATGGCGTTAAAAATCACCTGAAAATATACAGATACAAAAAACTCTCGTAATACCACTAGTAATTGCAAGTAGGCAAGAAATTTTATCAAAAAATTTAAATTTTCTTCTGTCTTTATCATTTTAAGTATTATATATCAGCATAAAAGATGTACTGCACGATAGTATTCAAGTTTTACATGATGTTTTCGTTTTCTCATGATATTAATTATTTTTTTTTATCTATAATGAAAATACGAGTATTGATTAAACTACATGATATTTTAGATTTACTTCATGATTTAAACAAGAAATAAATTTATGCTTCCGCATGAACTCCGAAGGATCTTACTAATTTTCGAATAGGAGTAGACTTATCGAGTTTTGTAATCTCATTTTGTCTTTGAACATTATACTGAGATAATTTATCCTTCAATTGTGAGTCATACTTCTGATTTTCAAAATATTTGTCAAATGGAATATTATTTTCCGCAGATTGAGCCAGAGCGTCCAAAGCCAAGCTCTGAACCAAATCTGGCCTAATCTGGGCAATAAGTTTGTCTCCATTGATTCCAGTTTTCGGATCTGAGTAAAATGAGGAAAGTTTGACCTCTTCAAGGTCTTTATCATTAAGAAAATGATTATTGGTCAAAGGAACTGTGTTATCATCTCCTCCTTGTAAAAGAGAAGTGATTGCCGGCGAAACTCCGAAATCATCAACAAGAACTTCATCAGGACCTTTCTTTGATCAGTCAATCCTAGAAAGTAAGGCAGGAATATCTCTCTGGAGCTTCTTAACCATATTATCGTCCTCATCATCGCTAACAAATACTTTAATATTACTAAAATCAGCTTCTGGCTCAGAATAATCAGAATAGTATTCTTCAATGATAGTCTTCTGCCTTTGTACTGGCTTTCTTTCACCTTCATCGTCACTTTCAAGTACAATTTCAGTAATAATTTTTTCAATTGGAGCTGTTCTTCTCCTTCTGCCTGATTTCGGCTGTATAAGTAACGAATCAATCGGTTCAACATTAATAAGAGATGCTGTGGCTGCAGATGACTTTCTTGAAACTTTTTGAGGAGAAGATTTCTTCATTAAGTCTGCAATATTGCTTGTAGAGCCTCTCCTGATTGGTCTTCTAGCTGTTGAAGGACGTCTTGAAGCAGTTGAAGGCCTTCTTGCGGTTGAATTTCTTCTCGAAGCTGCCTTTGAGTTCTTAAGGCCGGCAGTAGTATTTCTATGAGCTTTGGAATTGGTTTTCTTCTTCAATTGGTCAAAGAAGATTTGATCATCGATCGAATCAGATGATGAAGAAGATTCGCTCAGCTCGATAGGTACTTTCTCTTCAACCAATTCTTCTTTGCCCGTGTTTGGATTAATATGCTTTTTGATAACAGTAACAACTTGTTGAACAACTTTTTTCGGATCTCTCCGTTTCTTGACTCGGATGACTTGCGTCTCTGGTTCCGATGTATCACCAGCTTTTGTAGTTTTCGGTTTACGTTGTTTCTTAATAACGGTAGTTTTCTTGACAATCTTTTCGGTTTCCTTTTGCCACCGCTGTTTTAGGACGGGATTTATCTTCGGATGATTCTGAATCTGATTCATCGTCGTTATCTTTCGAATCTGATATTAATGGTTTTGCATTCGAAGGACGAGCGCTTGACCTATGTTTGGCGCTTGATTTACGTGGGCTTGATGGCGTTGAGTTGGATGAAGGCTCTTCATCTGATGTAGGAACAGCAATTTGTTCTTCGTAAGTTTCTTCGCGCCCAGTTTCTTTATTGATTCGTTTCTTGATAACTGTGACATATTGTATCCGTCTATGACGACGCTTTCGTTGTCTTTTCTCTTGAGAGTCGTTTGGATTATCCATCGTTTCGTCGTTGTCTTGAGTTGCTTCTGCTAAAGCTTTCTTTCTTTCCTCTGCTTCTTTCATTTGTTTTGCAAGTTCTTCTGGGGTAACCTTTTCTTCATACGTTTCTATTTCACCTGTTACAGGATTCTTTCTTCTTTTCACGATAGTAATAAGTGTCGGAGGTGTAACTGTAGTATCCCTGTGATGCCTCCGCTTTCTAATCCTATGAACAATAGTTTCAGGTTCCTGATCTTGTGGTGGTTGATTCTGATTATTCTTTTTCTTCTTAACAATAACTTTCTGGATGATTTTCTTTGGCTGTTTCTTCACTCCTTTCTTCTTTCTGATGATAATTGGATCTGGATCTTTTTCCGGTTCAGCCTTTTTTTTTCGATCTGTGCTTATGGATAACAACTTTTTTGACAACTTTCCTAACAATCGGTTTCTTTTTTCCTTTGCGTCGATTCGCTGGGGCTTTATTTGAATTAACGGGTTTTCGAATTGGAGCTTTTTTCTTGCGCTTGATAGTAACTGTCTTTGTAATCGTAACAGTTTTTGTTTTATCTTTCGATCCTAACGCCTTTCCGAGCGTTTGAGAATCTTTTGTTATTTTCGTTGATTTGTCTTTAGATTTTTTAGATGCTGCATTCCTGATTGCTGCTGATGCATCCATTGAGTCCAACCTTTGTCTTTTCACTCGTTTGACAGGTTGAGCTGCAACTTCATCAAAATCAACGCTTAATGGCTCATCATCATCGTTGTCAGCAGCTGTTGGTTTGTGGGGACTCTTTTTAGGAGATTTCTTCCGCGCATTGGAAGGCTTAAGTGACATTACGACAATTTGACATAAAAGGTGACATCTAAATTGAAAGGGCGACTCAAAAGATTCAATGAACTGATCAGTATGAAAAGCTAAGTTTTGGTATGATTTTGGGTATCCAGTTTGGAGAAAAATCTTCTCTAAAATTCAGTTTGGAGAAATTTTACAAAGTTGATTTAAGCTTATATTTTGGATTTTGGAGATCCCGACCGTTATTTCTCTAAACTAGATCCTTAATAATTTTTGTTCATTATTTTCACTTATTTTTCACATCAGTTTTATATGACTTATATACATTGTACCCATCAATATAAGTTTTAAGTAAGTAGATAATTTACATACAAACAAATTAAAAATAAAGTAATATAGCTGTTCAATCATAGATTGTATCACCAAACAATAAATTGTCTAATCTTTCCTTTTCATATTGCTCAGCTTCAAGTTTAGCTGTGTTCTTCTTCTTTGTCTGACCGATGACAATTCTTTCAACCAATGGTCTTCCATTTCTCTTCTTGACTGGTTTAGTTGCTCTTTCTTGCATTGCAAGCTTCTTTTCAAGCTGGATCTTCTCATTTCTAGCCTGGTTCTCCAGTCTGTACTCTGTTCTTCTTTGGTTGTTCAGTTGCTTGACCTTTTGAGCGATCATTTCTTTATCATTAATCAAATCGAGCCTCTTAATCATTGTTTCTATCTCATTTTCAATCATACTCAACATTGTTAAGGAGTTTTGGTTATTTCCAGCTGCTGGGAAACACTTAACGAATGTTTTCGAGATTGAATTTTGTAATTGCTCCAGTTTATCATCAAGATCTACAGAATCATGGTTCGATTCATTAAGTAGCTGTATCGAATTCTTTTGTTCTTTCAGTTTTTCTATTTGTTGTTCAAGGTCATTTATGTCTTTCTTTGTTTCTTCAAGTTCTATTTCAACTTCGTATTGAGAGTTCTCATATTTGCTGGCTTGTTGCCTAGAATTTTGTATTAAGAAAAGATTCTCATGCTCTAATCTGTCGAATGCGTCAATAAATTCGGAAATTGTAGAGGGACGAGTGCCATAAGTTTCTTCCATTTGATCCAATAGTTTTCCGTACAAAAGATAATTGGCATTCTTCTCTTCAAGTTGATTTAGTTCCACCTTGAGAACATCAACGTTTTGCCTTTTACGTTTAACTTTAACTTCTATCTCAGTACGTTTACGCATCTGTTCTTCTAGCATTAATTTCTCACGATCACGAGTCATTTCGAGTTGCCTTCGGACAGTTTTAAGACGATTCTGATCTTCTTCAAGAGTAAGTTGAAGTTCATCAAATTTAGCTTTGCGGGTCTGTTTAGTAATGTTAATTCTATCAAGTTCTCGCTGATGGCAGTCTATCAAAAGATTTGCTAGGAAAATCTCACGCTGTTCTTGTAAAAGTTGCGTTGTATGTTGCTGTCTTTGACGAATTTCAGTAACACCCTTAATATCGGTATCTTTATTCTTTTCAGGTGATCTGAATTTCTGCTCTATTCGCTCTCGAATTGATCTTTGTGATGTTACCTGTGAAGGAAGCATTTGTCTTTGCTTAAGTGTTAACTTCTGAGCTCCTTTGATCTTTTCTTGACGTTCTTGAACAATTTTATCTTGCTCTGCAAAAACGTCGGTAACGTCCGGGATATTAAAGGGATTATCTTTATCTCTTTTCGTAAATTTGGAGTTACGACGTGCTGAAAGCGGTCGAAGATGTGAAAAATCAGATTTAACTTGTTCTAATACTTGATCTTTTCGAATTCTCATAAAATCTTTATTGTCAAATTTTAGAAACGTCCAAAATTTTAAAGATTGATGAATGCTAAGATTCATATCATTTAGCTGATGTACAATTGTGCGTTCTACAAATTCGCTCTCAAGCTCAATCAATTGATTTTCTGCGCACAGGCACCATGAGTTTTTGCCGTGAAATTAATAGCACAGGTAGTTTCCTCATATAGAGATATCCTTATGCATAGAGCTTGAGAGGAATCTAAAGTGATTTTTTTTTTTTTAAAAAATCTAGTGCAATCTCAAAATCATGAATAAACCTCGAATCTGGATCCAATTTTTAAGGATCTCGTATGGAGAAAAATCTCCTCCAACTCGAAAATTCAATTTGAAGATCTACTTCATCTGCTTGGATCTATTAATAATGAAGGTATATTCTGATTAATTGCGAATACTATTTTCGTAAAAAAAAGTTTTTAAATACTATATATACCAGTATTTAAAGATGTACCGGAGATTCGGACTGAAACCTCGTATTCGCCAAGATATGACATTCCAAAGTTGAAAATTTTGAGAGGAGATAGGTGGTCGGTCGGAATTCCTTAATATGATTTTCGGTATTCTTATTCTTTCAAATTTTTCATAGGAAAAATTTATTTTTCTGTTAACTAATAGAATTGTTTCATACCTCAAAATCCTTGAAAGATCAATTTTGTTTCTTTTCAATACATAAACATTTTTTTGATCAAAATTTTTAATGTACTCTGAACCAAATTATTTCGAGCAAATACCTAGATTTTTCAAACAAATTTATTTGCATTTAATGTATTTATATGATTCATACATGATTGGTTTGCATCCCGAACGTAAAAATTATCCACAGTCCTATGAAAGTTTCTTAGCTAATAAGCAAACACCTGAAATAATAAAAAGAACAGCTATCAGGAAAAATCACGAATATTTCTTATATTGTCACATATCAAATGCGTATGAAGAGTCATTTCCCGAGTATTTTTCTGAAACATTATGGAAAGCGAAACAATTTCAATTCAGAGCTGCAACAGATGATGATTTTGGATATTGTGATGTATTCAAAGATCATATGTTAACTAAATACATTCCATCGCGTAAAAATATTTTAGATCAAAAAGAGTTACAAGATATAAGAGATTTTGTTGATAAAGCTAAACCAGAAGACTTCTTAATCATGGATCCAGATACAAAGCGATTTGTTTAATACAACCCTCGAACACTCAACCGACTAAGAATTTATGTGAGAGACACAGAGCAAACACTGTTTTTTAGGACTCATTTTGTTGGAATACTACCATACTTTCCTCGTCTTGGTGAGAAAAAATCTGAATGGTATATAAACATTTTAGATTGCGTAGAATAAACAAACTCTTTAAAAAAATCTCTAAATTTACTAATGATTTGAAAGAATGGAACCTATCTTGTTAAAGACACAGTCACTCTTTAACCATAAAATTAAAAAAATATCTAGGATATTTATATACCATTAATATCTCTAGAGAGACCTTTGATGGGATGAGGCAGCAGAACATAGCCATCTATATTTTCTCAATGCACATTGATTCGGATGAACCTTCTTCAGGTTGAGTATTTTTTGCAATTTCAAAGTAATAGAATAGCTTCTAAAATGATTTACATATACATTAACATACATTAGAATTCGATAGTATCCAAAATTTTTGCCGTCACTCCGAGGTGTTACCCCCTGCATTTTCTTTCGTTGAAAATTCGGTGTTATCTTGGTACATTTATTGAGCTCGCATAGATATTTAGAGAACAGTTGATATTGATGATGTATTGTACATGACACAATGTATAAATTTATTAAGATTATTAAGTTCAACATTGTTATTGGAGATTTCTAATATGTTTATAGATTTTTGATTTTTTAGTCGGAATTACTCACGCAAATGTATTTTACATGAGAAATATGAATGCATTTCAATTTTTGATTTTCAATCATCTTATATCTCGACTTTGGCCCTGGGAATTTCAATAAGATTCTATATATTATTAGATTATATGATATTATTAATTTATACAAAATTGCAGGAAAAGTTGTGCTAATTTGGTCAACTTTACTGCACAACAAGAAAGTGCTGCACGCCTGTATTTCCCAATAAAGTTTTCATTCTTTATTATTTGTGAAATGCATTGCTTAAGTTTTGAACCTTCGTACTCTGATAAGTTTTATTTTGTACGGGCAGACTATTGCATGTATTAGTTCAATAAAAATTAGAAAAATGAAATATCAAATTTCAAATCAATCAAATTCAATAAATACATTATGTGCTATTTGATCAAAATATATTTTTGAGCTAAACTATTTAAGTCAAAATCGTGTTTTTATTATAAGAAAAATGTAAATAATAAATAAATAAATATATAAAAGAAAGCCACATAAATATTTGAAAATGTAAGTAAAAATGGAAACGACACCTGTTTTGTACTGATTATCATAACGGAGAACCTCTCTTTTCGTGATAATAAGGCTCAGCGCTTTTTATGTTACAGTACGCAAGCAAGTAAAATGACTTCACATCTACTTCCTGAAGTGGTATTTCTGGAGAAATCGCTGCGCGACGAACAGAATTTTTGGTTTCATTCAATGAGTAGAACTGATTAGAATAGACCACAGTAATCTCGAATTTATTATCGTCTATGCGTAAAGCCAAAAGATTTGCGCATGAATAGCCACGTCGATTTATTAGATACCAATTGAAATCACCAATGACGATGTAACTGTATCTTGGAATGTTGTGCATTTTCATGATTGCATCAAAGTACAAATTGAAAACATGGCCATTAGATCCGTCTAATTTTCCTCTGTGATAATCTGTTTGGGCATAAACCGTTATTAAGGGGCGCCCCCTTTGTTAACTGCCAAAACTCTGTTTTGTAACTGTTCAACGTCCGCTAAGGTCATATTCTTATTAGTCGTCAACAATGGACTAGAATCTTTCAAGGTCAAAAGTTCATACAGTTCGTTTCCAGAGTATCCGTAAAACAGTTTCCTGATTTTAATGAACGCATCAAGGACAGGAACATCAGAGTAGGCATCTTGCATCAGGTTTCCGAGGAATAGATAAGACATGCTGATAACCGGAACCTTTATTGTATTGCCATTCCTATAATGTATATCTTCCCTCATTCCTGAAAAATGAAGCAAGAAAGTCTGATTGCAATTCATCATCGGATTCTTCACTTAAACATCTATGTACAATTTGCCAAACTCATCATTAATTTCTTGGATTTCCATAAAGTCCTCATTACTTCCCATGTAAAGCTTAGCGCCATTAGGCTTAGTTAGTATGTCCAAATATATTTGGGCCAACCTTGCTGGCTTGTTCATGGCTTCGGCTATTATGATAGCATCCATGCTGCACGTTGGGAGGTCAATCTGGCGATGTATATATATCAATTCGGAGAGTAGGAACTGAGGTAAGGTTAACGGTACTACTGATTTGTTAAGATATTGGAAAATTTGCTTTCCTTGTTCGCTAAGTCTAGCATGGTTTGACTCTTCCAATACTTCACGTAATGACTTGTTCACATCTTTGCGAATACAAATTCTGTCGTCCATTTTCAATAAGCAAGCTTGCAAATTATCGAAAATTTTATTAACTCCAAGCAAACTCTGATTATTGCTCAAGTTTTCAATCGCTGCTCTATCACTTGCGAAACTTAGAAAATTTGTTTTACTTTTTTCTATGCACTTACCGTCATTACGGAAGATGTATGTTACTAATTTGGCTGAAATTGATTTCCAGAAAGGAATGAGCCTATCCAAAGAGCCTACATATTTATTAGATACATAGCTATTTGTGATCTCATTACTAATATCCTCAATTATTTCTTTGAGTCCATTATCGAGATATCCAGCCATTATTAAAAATTTTTAATTAAAACTTGATGTACCAAAAGTGACACTTTTGATGTAATTTTCATGGAAAGTGTTTTGAGGGAAAATAAGAGGAAATTCAAAATGGGGTAATTGATCTATTCATAGCTCCCAAGTTTCATGCAGCAAATCCGAAATCAAGTCCAAGATTATCAATAATCTTTGTACCAATATTCGGTGTCCAGCAAAATAGACATAGTAATATGCATTTCTGATGCATATAGGATTGATACTCTGCACATTTTTTGAATAAACTATTATTTCTTATCTCATTTTATTTTATATTTCATATTTTAAAACTCAAAATAGGAAAAAATACCTTACATCATTAATGTGCTGCACCAATGCTTGATTTTTTTGGCATATAGAAATGCTGTAAGTTTGTATCTTCAAACTTTAGTTCACTAAACTTTATTCATCTCCATCGGACTTAAAATAACATATTGAATTACTAAAAAATAAGACATGTGAAGCTTTATTCCTAGTAAAATACCATATATAGGCTTGGGAAATGAATCCATCTAAACTTTCATCTGCTAATCAAGAAAGCAGAATCTGATTTTTGACTTTATCTATCTTTCAATGTATTTGTTATGGCATTGTACGCCTGATTGAGAACAAAGATTTTAAGAATATTTTACACATACATTGCAAGATGATTATCTAAATTGACGTGGTTAACTGTGTGTTTGCGAAAAATTCATATTAAATTACTTTTTATATACATCAACAAATTAATATGTTTATTAATCTAGTGCTTCATCATAATGATATGATTTTATAATAATAATTACAACTTATAGGAAAGACAATTATGTTTGTGGGTTATGGGGTTGAAACAGCAGTATTCATGCTTAAAAACTTGATATGATTTCCAAATATAGTAAACGGGATGATATCGCATAATGCGATATTGCGTTTATTGTATACTTTATATTGGTACATGTTTTAAGCCTATATATGAATACAGTTAAAATATTCGTTCATAATTTAAGGGTAATCATAACAATTTTTTGGGTAAATTTCATTATAGTTCGCAAACATTGAAATGAAATCAGTCGTAATAAAATTTATGATAAATTTGTAAAATGCATTTTCAAATTTTGAGAAAAATCATGTATTGATATAATGATCGGTCGCACATAAGCCGGATATTTATTTCGGGCTTGTTGGGATTTTCAAAATTCGATAATTTATAACATATCCTTTTTACCTCGTATTCGTCTTGTATATGATTCACGTCTTAGTAATTTATACATTACTACAAAGACTACTATGTGAACAATAAGGAGAACAATCGCAAGCGTTAATAACGCGCGATGCAACCCCATTTCCCGATACTGAAATGAAGTTCTTCGGTATTTTCCTTTTGCATTTAAGATAATTTTGAACCGTTTTAATGAATTTTTTTTTCATAAACTTTCTAATTTAGATTTTTATTTTTTGAAAAATTAAAAAATCTCAGAATCGGTGTTGTTTTAGTTGAGTATATCAGGTAAGTTTAATGGTTACCATATATAGTTTAAATTATATTCTAATTTTATTAAATTCATTCGTTCACATCGAATTCTAGTGACCATTTCTATTTAAAAATAGGTAAACGATTAAGATACAATATAACCAAACAATTTATTCGTACTGATAGTAAAAACCAGAAAATTAGAAAGGATTCAGGTTTCTAAGGACTGAATACCATCTATTCTTAACGGCACAAGCTGTCCTACCAGGTAATTTGTTTGCAATTAATGTCCATTTATTACCAATTCTTCTCTGTTCTGAAAGAATCAGTTGATCTTCCCATGTCTCAAACTTTGACTTTTTAAGATCAGGGGCGAGTCTATACCGCCATCTTTCTCTGCACTGTATAGCGTTCCTACCTGGAACCTTTTCTGCCACAACATCCCACACAATTGGATGACACTCATTTACTGCAGCAACCAACAATTTGTCTTCTTCTGCAGACCAGAGACCCTTAACGACTTTTGTTTCCTCTGTGCGGCTCTGTGGTGACTGATTTTCTGTGAGACTTTCTTCCAAAAATTTCTTAGCTCCCTGCAAGAACTGAGTTTCAGGTGCAGGAAGTGGAAGATCAAGGATACTTGGCAGATGGAAAAAGCTTTTCATCTGGCTCGGCGTTTCTAACATCATTTAAAAATATGAGATTTGAGAAATTGAATTGTTTTCCCAAATCTTGAAAATTGAGAGAAACTTTCTAAATTTCTTCTATTATAGTTCCATTACATATTTTCATCATTATTAACTTTAAATTGTATTGAAAAAATTCTATGTGGTTATCTCAAATTTATTAAAAAATTTCACTTTCAGATTCTTTTCAAATGGTTTGAAATCTTGATCGCTATTTTGAGAACCAGTGTCAATCGTTGATCGCATCCCGAATGATCGCCAATGTCCGCATCATTTATCGATCTTTAGTAATATCAATGATTGCATTTAATGCGAAAACGATTAAATAAAAGAAAAGATTTATTTTTGAGGAAAATGTGAATCAAAAGGTGTGCCATTCAATATTTGAATAGTTTACATTTCTAATGCTGAGAGTTCCTTCACTGAGAGTGAGGAAAATATTAAATCTGAGCTTGTATAAGTTGCACTAGCAGCATGTAGAACAATATATTCTAATTATGCTTAAATTCCTAATTTCAAGTCCGAATTTTATTTAAAACTTGATAGAAACATAAAGAATCATATACATTTATTTATATACCTGCTTTAGCATTCTGTTTTAAGTGTCAAAGAGTGAAGATTTACATAAAATCGCTTTTTTGCATTCTGGTCAAAATCATAAAAGAAGAGTCACAAAGAACACCCCTTTTGTAAACCATTTTTTCGCATTTTATTTTTTCATAGCCTGCACTATACTTTTAAGACTTTCCGGGAGCTCCATAGCACCCAACCCTTATAAAAGAAAGCTATAGATATCCTCTGATCCCACTTCCAGATGCAGCTATCTAAAATTCCTTCTATTGGTTGAAAGAATGATAGATAGCTGCATCTGTTTGAATTCTTTGGAGGATTTAATCTCAGAGGCCTCGGATACTAGTGTAATGTACCGGGGTCTCAAGTTTCTTCTGGAAGGAATCAAAATCCACTAATAATATAAATGTGTTTCTTGAATATATTTGAATTCGCTGAGTTCAACCTATTGTATGCAAATATTTATTATCTTGTTTCTATGAAATAGTATAAATCCAAATCAATTATAGGCTTTATTTAATGAATGAACTGTCCTGAATCAATGTTTCATATTGATAAGATTGGCCAACTCATTTTTGATAGTTTTAAGCCATTTTGGAATAATGTTTAATGTATTGAATTTGTTTGCAAAAAGTGAAGGCAAGAAACAAGCAGAAAACAAAGGGTTATTTAACCCTGGAAGTCAAGGACTTGTTGAAAGCCTGAAAACAGAAGTTGAGCAATTAACAGAAGATCTTGAAAAATATCGCAAAGGTAAAATCGAGCAAGATCTCCTCATTGATGATTATTCTGGAAGGATTAACAAAATTACATCCCGTTTACCCCCAAATCATGTTCAAATTCTTGATGAAGCAACAAGTGAAGTTAAAAGATTAGAAAGCGAAATCAAAGAACTCAGAAATAAGTATATATCATTACAAAAAGACAATCAGAATCGCTCAAATCTCATTGCAAACATGAATAATGACGTTTTCTCAGAAATTCAACATATTAGAAACGAAAAGTATAATATATCATTAAATCCCGAGCAAGTATTACGCGATTCAACAACGGAATTATCTGTAAAAAAGAATCAACTCAATATGTTAAATATGAAAATCGAATTATCAGCAGAAAAAGAGTTAAACATTTCAAACATAGAAAGAGACTACGAATATATGAATCAGCGACTTGAAATTGTACGCAAAAATCTTGAAAACTCCAAAAATTTACCAAAAGAAGAAAAAGAATTGATATCTAAACTCGACAATCTCAAAAAATCATCAGAAAGAACAAAACGTATCCAATATTATCGCGATCTTAACGATTATGAAATGAAATCCACTCATTCTCAGACATTAATTGAATACTGTCTAGAAAATTCCACAAACAACATCAAACAAACTATCCAATGACTCCAATTTTTAAAATATTATATTTAATAAGTTATTCAATGAACTAGATGTCAAAATTGTTAATGAAACTGGATACTTTGCCAGTGATACTATAAAGTCTAAGTTCAGCAGCGTTGCTGTGAGCTTTCTTGAATACTTCACCAACATTTGTACAAACATCTACTAAAAGTACATCTCTATTCATCCTTCTTCTCCTTCTCAGGAAGGAACAGCCAAACCTCTATTAGATATTTTGACTATGTTTAATTATTAAATTGTTTTTATAAATAATTATGCTTTTGTAAAGTGTCAAATTATAATTTTTGACAATGTAAAGTGATGAAAAAGAGAAATAATCCTGATATAGAGAAAGTTATCAAAGTTATTTCAGAAACTTCAAATGATCCAGACAAACAGGATGAAAAATCAGTTGAATCAGTTGCCAAATTCATCGAATCTCCAGAATCAATCAATTATTCGATTGGTTTACTCAAATCCGGCCAAATCAATGCTCAAATTGTTGCGTGTAATATCATAATAAACTATCTTTCAGCATCTGATTCTCAAAACATTGAATTACAAAATCAAATTCGAAATTTTGCATTTTCTCATGCACAATCTTATGATTCAATAATAAATAAACAATTGATTACTATTGTAGCAATGATTGCTATTAAAGATTTCCCAGAAAAATGGCCTTCTTTCTTAGATGAAGTTCTTTCTTCACCTGTTGTTGGTTTACAGATACTACATAAATATTTTACACTTTTAGTCGATGAGAATACGAAAAACATTGCTCCATCTCGATTTAAACAAATTCAAACATTTTTCATCAAAAAAGAAAACGATTTAGTCAATCTTATTAACTCCTCACCAAACAAAACCCCAAAGAAATACCTGCAAACTATGATTTCCAACATTTACAGTCCAGAAATGACAATTTCAAAATTAAAATCTTCAAATAAAAGTCCAAAACGGCAAACAACTGCAGCAGACGAGTTTTCAGAAAGAAACAAAGATGCAATATCCCAATTGCATACAAAAATTCAAGAAAAAGAAAGGAATATTGATTTTATGATGAATGAAATTGCCAAAATCAAGAATGACTTAGAATCAAGGAAACTAGGCTTCGATGGCAAAGTCCAACGTAAAAGGGAAGAGATGAAAAACCGCTACAAAGCAATGATTGAAGAATTACAATCCAGAGCAGCAACACAGCTTGCAGAGAACGAATTATTGACATCTAAGATATCAGAAATAACATCTAAGATCAATGACATTGTTAATGCTCCAATAAATGTAAAAAAAGTGAAATTAAATTTTGATTTTTCAAAAAATACTGAAAAACTTCTTAAAGAGCGAGAAAAAGAGATCAGAGAACAATGTAGTAAAGAGTTCTACCCATTCTTCCTTAAATTGCAGCAAGAACATGAAGAAAATATTGAATCTTTGGAAATTGAACACGAAAACGAAATTAAAAGGATTCATGAAGCTGCATTTGATGAATTAAAGATATTCAAGCCGAGAGTGTTCATTTCGCAAGAGGAAATCGCTGCCAGACAAAAATTTGAAAAAATTCAAAATAATTTAAATTCAGAATACGAAATTCAGAAAAATGCACTTCTGAAACAGATTTCTGAGATAGAAACAGATAGGGATAATAATTTACAGCAGTTATTTGAAGAAACAAAACAAAAAATTCAAAATGAAAAATCATTTTTCTCAAAACGAAGAAAAATTGTTCGTCAGAACGTTAAAAATGCAAAGAGCCAAATTCCTCAACAAATCGAAGTTCCAAAGCTTTCTCCCGAAGAAGAAAAAAATTTAAGATTATTTGTTGAGCAAAAACTGAAATCTGACTTCGAAAAGCAGTTGGAAAGCCAGGTAAATAATGTACAGGAGAACCGTGAGAACATGGTCAAAGAAATGAAAGAGATGGAAAATAATGAAATTAAAAAAGCTTCAGAGAATAATGATCTTATAATATATAACCTTGATAATGAAATATCTGATCTTGACGAAGAGTTATTGTCATTAAATCAAGAATTAGAAAAATTAAAATTAAATTATGAAAATTTAAGTGCTGAAAGAAGCTCAAATGAAGATAACTTTAGCCAAATGAGAGGCGAGAAGCTGTATTATGCTGATAATTTAAGAGATCTCGAAGCAAAATTATTAAAATACAATTTTGAGGAAGAGGAAGAAGAATCACAAGAAGTATTGGCATTGCAGAGTGAATTAGAAAAGTTTTCACATGAAATTGATAGAGAAAAAAAGAATCATTTGAAATTAATAAATTCTCTTGTTTCTCAGCACGAATCAACGAAAAACAAGATCAGTTCAAGAGCAGAAGAACTATTTGTTGTTAAAGATCAAGCAATTTCACAGTTGAAACTCAAAATTAACGAGACTAAGAAAAAGATTAAAGAAATTCACAGTGAAGTTACTTCTCTAGTAAATTAAATTATCTTGTAAAGATTTTCTATAGCTTTACCATAAAAAAATTGTAAATTTATCATTAATTGAATGAATTTTAGATTATGATTAACAAAATTATACAAAAACATAGCAATTAGATATATTATTATGATGATTGGTCTCCTCCTATTAGTTTTATAATTAAAATTAGTGCAATAAGAGCTATCCCTACACCGAAGAACTGAGAAATGGAAACATTGTTAATTCTATGCTTAAGTACATGAGTTGGAGCAGAAAATACTGTATTATTATTAGATGTTTTTTTATAAAACAATTTTGTATGATTTTCATCAAGAATCAGTTCTTGTAATTTATCACTTGCGTTTTTGTTATTAATAGAACTCGATAAAGAGTTTTGATTCGAGTAAATATTCCAAATATTATTTTCATCTAGAATAGCAAGATTTATTTGGTTGTAATTGCACGAAAGTATCATATACAGGTTGAATTCTTCATTCTTAAATTGATATTTTGAGCTTAAAATATTATTTTTCGATTTATCATAATCAAAATATTGTAAATTGGACAAATCAGGTGAAAATACTCGAATAGAATAATTTTTAAGTTCATCTATTATGTAGTTGAGAAAATCTATTGTTCGAATATATTGAGGTGAATTATTTTTGAATAGAAGTTCCGAAATTGGTTCATAATCTATCTCATCCTCTTGAAGTGTATCAACTTGTATCATAAGATCATTGATTACAAAAAGATTGTTAATTTTTGTTTTATCCTTTGATTTAACAATTGCTGCATGAATGTCATCATTCAATCCATCAATCCCATTAAGTAGCTTGAACAAACAATAAAAAATTTTCTGATGGTTGCTACTTATCATTCAATGTAAAATTAAAAATATAAAAATAATGGACGATTAAACCGCATAGAAATATATAAGGTCTATTAAATATAAATCCAATTAAATCAATGTTTACAATGTCGAAACAAGAATGAAATATTAGATAATAATATGTTCATTCATATGGATACCCAATTATATTGATATCTCATATATTGGCATGCTTAATTGCTAAATTATAACATTATTTTGCAATATTTGGAAGATTTGAATAAAAATGCTTATCAACGAACTGAAGTTGATCTGTTGTGAATACTTCGCCAAATATTGGAATTTCCTCTTCGTTTTTAGGATTCGGAAGTTTCGAATCAACGGTTATTGGTCCAACTTCTTGTGCAACTTCCCACTCTGCTGGAGTTTCGAGTGTTTCAACAACTTTTGGATATTGATAAATAGATGAATCAGTTGCTTTTTCAGTTTCTCTGCACATTTGTTGATGAACTTTCTTTTGTCGTTCTGTGAGTCCTTTTAGATTCGCACCACAATATGGACAACGATCTGATGTGCGTTTAATTGAATTTTTTTGAGCTTGAGAATCTAAACAATGATTAATATGTGATTCTGCAATCTTTGCGGAAACATGAGTTAGATCCATATTGCATATCGGGCATAACTGAACTTGGCATGGTTTTTCTTCAGGCTTTCCTTCTTTGGCTAAACAATTATTAATATGAACTTGTCTCCACATGCTATCTTGCTCTGTTAGATCAGCATTGCAAATAGGACAATAAAACCCTTCGTCATCATCAGATAAAGTCATGCAATAGATCCTAAATGAGAAATATCAAAAAGAAAATAAAAAGTTTTATCTACGATGCTGAGTTTAGTGCTAATATCAATAAGAAATTGTGATAAAGATTTGATATTTCTAGCTATATTTTTAAGTTGGAGAAGGTTATCACTTAATTTTGTCAATTCAAATATGATTTTGTTCATAATATAACTTTATTTCACAACACCACAGCATCTAAGCTGGTTGAGCAAGAATCATTGCAATAATTATTTTTTATTTGTTAGTAAATTGCTTTCCAATTTTTATCAATTTTTCATTTGCATATGAAATTTATAGGGATTATAGTATCAGAGTTTCTCCATGTATATCCGTTGAAAAAACGTCTAAAAGTAGTATATTCATTGAGATATTAATGCTATAAATTTTAGTGGAATTATAGGGGCGTAAGTGCACCCTTAAAAAAAATCGTTCCTCCGATGATAAATTTTTCATGTCACTTTTTCCCATTATAAATGTATCCAGGTCAATATAATCCGGGAAATCCAATGGGTGGAGCAATTCCTGGTGGTCGTCCAGGAGGTTCATATGGATTCCAACCAACTCAAGGTTATCCAATGCCGCAACAAGGCTATCCAGGCTCGCAAGTTCCATCTCCATACAGCTCAGGACCATATCCAGCTCCATATGGCCAGCCAGCTCCTCAACCAGGATATGGAGGCTATCCATCACCATATCAAGGCCCTGGCGCTGCTCCATATAATTCTGGACCTTATCCAACAACACAACCACCACAGCCTTTCGGAAGTTCTCCTGTTGTTCCACCACGTTCTGGAAGTGCACCAACATTTGGTTATCCAACAGTTGAAAAAATCCAATTTACAATTCCAAAGAAAAACCTTCAAACCTACGCAAATCTTTATTCAATCATTGCAGCAGCAGAAGCTCTCGGCCAACAGAAAATGGATGGATCAATTACTGATTCTGATTATGCTGAGCAAATGAAGATCTTAAAGAACAACTACGACTTCTCAACTAAAGCTTTGAAGATGAACAAGGACCAGGTTGAAGCTTTTTGCGAAACAGTTAACCTTGGCTGTTCATTTGCTTTAGTTGGCCTTTATGAAGACTTTGACACTACTCAGTCATCAAGAGGCGGTGTTACACACAGAGAAAACATGGAACTTGGCTCTTGCAAGGTCGAAATTCAAGATCATTTCGTTGTTAAGTCAAATGTTCAAGTTTACTTGCCAATCTGGGACAAGATTACACGTATTTATAAGAAGACATCATTCCTTCAGTTAAATAGCGATATGCGCCAAAGATTTGAAACATGTGATCAAATTTTGAGAACTGCCAATCCTCAGATGCCTCTTCCTGACGACAAAGTGTTCGAATTCAAGTCTAACTACTTAATTTTCGATGAAGCGTTTGTCAATTCACTTGATATTTAAAAAACATTTCCTTTTTTTAATATTTTTTCTATTTATTTTGTATTTACGCTCCACTTTCATACACCAAATGCCGAGTGTCAACAAATGCTCCTTATTTGCGGTCTTCTGGTAAATTCAACTCAATATTAATAAAAAAAAAGTTATTTTCATTGATTTTTTTATTTGATGTATAAATTATAAACTACAACAATGTGTTTTGGTGAAGATGCATTATTGCGCTCGTCAAATGTCTTCTTTTCCAGGAAAAATATGCAAAGAATTACAAAAATTAACATTCATTGTAGAATTAAAAAGAATTAAAAAGATTGGATGAAGAAACAGCATATGAAAATACCCAATGTTTGCTGACAGTATGAACGTTGTGATATCTTTCTTCCCGATTCATAAAGATTCATTTCATTGCAATGAGGAACTTTATTCTGCAGAATGTTTTGGTTTCATCATTAATAATACATCTTTTGGGAAAAAATATGATATTTTTATTCAATATTCAATATTTATATATCTCATAGGCTCGTTGTCAATGACGTATTGAAAAAACATATAACATTTTTAATTTTACAGTTCCGAAAATCAAGTTTTATTTACAAATAACAATAAAGAATAGAGATTAATTACAATTCATAAGGGTCTGAATCTGGTGATGCCTGAGGTGAATTTTGATCATTATCTGAATGAGATGAATCTTGATCATTATCTTGTTGTTGTTGAGATACGGGATCCACAGCATAAGGGTCTAGAGCTGGCTGTGGTTGAACTAATTGTTCATCATAAATAGAGGATGGTGTTTGTTGTGGAGGAAGCTGATTATCATTTGTATTCGGCTGTGGGGCATATGGATCTGAATATTGGTTCGTCTGTGAATATGGATCAGGTGCGTATGGTTCAGAAGAGTAAGGAGTTTGTACTTGATTATCATATTGAGGGTTCGGATTTAGATCATTAGAGTAATCGGGTGTTGGTGGAATATTCAGTTTCATTGCTACTGACAACTTTTCTCTCTTTTCCTATTTCTTTCTTATTTTCTTTGCTTTGATTATCTTTCATAAGAGAATACTGCAGAAGAAGAAAGAAAAACATCATAATAATTATAAAAAAAACAAGAATTGCTACGATTCTGACAAAATAACATTAAACATTAGAAATATATTTTTATAGATCGAATGCAGCCACAATTAAATTAGAATCTAAACACATTTTCCTACGTAAAGTCTCCCTATCGTTTTTCTGCCTCAATATTGAGTGAACCTCTATCAAAAATTTGAATAAGAGACTTTACAAAAGAAAAGGAGTTTAACATATTTTGGAATTCTTGCCCAAAATTGAATTGAACACAAATTAATATTAACACAAATCGTATATGTATGGAATATAATCATTTTTAGCAAAAATTACAATTAAAATATGTATAAATCTGACTTTAATTCAAATTTATGACAACTGGTGTGAAGCATCATTGAAAAACAGCCTTTAAACATATGGATTAAGTGGCACCTCATAGAAGCCTAAAAACATACTTGATTTCCCCAGTTCATAATTTTATTTCTAAACAAATATAGTTACATACAAACATACATAAACTTTAATCGCATATCTGAGCATTTATAAAATAGCATAACAATTCTTTTCTGTTGAATAATTTCATGTATTTGATCATCATTAAGCTTGAACCTAAGAAGCAAATATTTTAAAAATTGGCGGAATAATATTCAAAATTTTTCAAAGAGGACAGATTTTTAAATGTCGAAATTTATCTTTTTAATGAATTTAAATGAAAAGCATAATTACAAAACATTATGATTGAACAGAGGACAGAAATTGTAAATTAATTGAACAAAATTGATGACATAAGAATACATAAGTTTGATATTCTTGCAAAGAAGCTGCATAACGTCACACAAAGAATGAGAACGTTTATTGAAGTCTTCAAATAAACATTAAAGAAAATAAAATTATAAAACAATAATATTTAAAAGAAATGAGTAATCTTTTCGGTAAAAAAAATTTCAACTAACTTGGTAGAATCGGGCAATCACATTATCTCTTCAGGGTTGGAAATTTTGCATTATTAATTTATTATATATAAGACGTCGTTTATGTTTTCAAAATAAGAGGTAGGGCAACGATAGAAAATTTTTGGAAAAAAAGTTCGGAGATCTTAAACGTATCATATTCCCTGCATGGTTTGGTATCTTCCGCCATGCGTTGTGCCAAACATATTGACACTTTCCAATAATTAATTTATGGTATGAGTCACAGAGTTAGATTATAAAAAGAAAGTAAATAATTGCAATTAGAAATCATATATGTTGGAAATCAAATGTTGATGAGCAGAAACCTTTTACTCATCATAAAAGAGATAAATCACTAAAGATTTGTATACATTAAAATTTGATATTTGGTGCTCGAAAACTGTCTGATGGGACTCCTCCAAAATGAACCAATCTATCGCTGAGGACCAAATTAGATGATGTGGATGGTGTATTTTCTAATTCTAACTTAGGAAGAATGGGAACAAAACGAATGACGACAACAACATGTCAAACATAGATTAAATATCTATGAATCAATAAAGTATACGTGCATTGAAGGTGATAACGATCACTTGAGGCTTATAACTCTTTGACTAAATTATGCAATAATTAAATATAATCATTTTTATATTTTTATACTGATAGTAATTAATATACTATCCTGCTTAATAAATGGTATGATCAAATTTGTTTGAAAATTTAATTATGTATATGAAACTATGTCTTCTATATAAAAATCAAAATTTTCGGACGAACCTAGATTGAACCTTTATGAAAATCTATCATTTTTGTTAATTGAGTTAATATGAATCTTTTACATATGTATATATAGCATTGATAGCTTATATAATCATGGTTTATTCCATATTAACATATTTTTTCAGTTAAATTTGTTAATAATATCATGTAACAAATTAATTCAAGATTAGAATGTCTACAAAATGCTAACAAATAAGAACAAAATACGATTTCTCGACTTAAATTTTAATATGGAGTAGTTTTTCGTTTAAATCTAATTAAAAATGAATAAAAACTTATCTTGTACTATTTTCATTCAAAGATTTTAATAATGTAAATCATGCATTTTCATAATTCAGTACAGTTCTTTTTAGAATTAAAGTTGATGAGGATGATATTTGTGATTTAAAATAATTTGTTAATGTTCACCTTTTATTCATCACCTTGTGGTATGCCCTAAAGCAATAGCATTATCAATTCTGCTGAATTGATCAACTCAAAATTCCAAAAAAAATTCAAAATTTCAAAAATGAAATTAAACAATTTGAATTTTCACATGAAAAAATCAATTTCGAAAAAAATTTGGAAAATCAAAGTATTTGATAATTAGTCAAATAATCAATTTACATCGTTTTTACTCATAAAAAACAACTAATTTTTGATTTTGATATCATATTTGATAAATACTCATTCCAGAGTTGACGTAATGTATTAATTATTGTTAGAGATATTGCTTTCGCAGCAAAATTCTTATTTCATGAAAGAAAAAAAAAATGATTTTATTCCAACAAAAACAAGTAAACAGATGAATGGAAACGTACTATATTTTCATAAATGTAGTAATCAGCGTGTCAGCTTTTGTTTATCATGTTCGAGTCAAAATGTATTAACTTGTAATAAGAAATATTCGAAGATTATATGAAGTATTGAGCATTCTTTGTAGAAATATTTGTAATTCATTACTAACATATATAATAAAGTTGTTTTTTTTTCCTTATTGCAATAATTTTGTCTGATTTTAATAACTTTTCATGTATACGAGTTGTGTGAATATGCATCATAATATGCGTAAATATACTTATTTGCGACGAATAATGTGGTTGCATAATGGAGGTGCTAAATTTTGATTTTTAATATGGGGCTTTGGTATGTATAATCATGTTCTTATCTCAACGTAGGAGTATTGGTGCAATATGATTAAAATTTACGAGGTTGATCTTAAATTGAATAATTCTGGAGTATAAATCACAATGCAGCTAATTCTATGTTAAAGATAGATACAGATTGTAGTAATCAATTAGGGAGTACAAATTCATTCTTTCATTTCTGTCGTATTGAGCAGAAAGGAAGAGATCATAACCCTAGGAAAAAAAGCCCAAATTTGTCACTTTTCATAGTACGTTAAACTCAATTCGCTCGGCGAATGCCGAGCACACGTACTCATCATTCAACATAATATTCTCATTCTTTGGTTATTATAGTGCCAGACAACACAAGATTTCAAAGAATTACTTGAGTTTTCAATTAATCTTAATCCGATTTTAGATTTATCGAGAACTCCATCATCACAATCACATACTTCAGTGCGGTAACTACAATTATCCATATACAGAAGGAAGTTCTTTTCGAACAACTCATTTGGAGTCTGTTTTGGAAAGAACTTCTTTCTGTCCGACTTAATTTCATAGTTCCTGATCAACCAAAAGACAGAAACCACACACTATCTACTTAGGAAAGGAGTTCTTTCTAAATCTTCCTTAAATTGAGATTTTACGAGAGATAACCCTTCTATTGCACTTAAAAATGAACATTTTGATATCTTTAGTATCACACATGGTCATATATAGTATTTCATCTACATGAATACATTCATCTTTTGAAGTCTCTCATTAAATGGGAGGCTTCGAAAGATGAATCGTTTTATTCATACAACTTTAAATCTCGAACACATTTAGAGAGTGAGTATATCATTTTATTCTTGTTTTGAGTTTATTCTGATTCAAAATTGCAGTGAAAACAGAAGTTCACACATCATATCTGAATGTGAGCTCATCTATACTTATACGATCTCAATACCTCCACTCTAAGCATAAGAGGTGAAGTTATATAAAAATTATCAGATGCGTTGAAGTCTCAAAAGTATTGCCTGAATGCTTGTTTCATATTTGTCCAAGTAGTTTCAATGAATAAATGTATTGTTTTTTATAATTTCGATTTATTTTTAGAAAATATTCAATATAAACCTTTATTGTGTTATTTACATCTCATAAATTCTCTGTCTAAATCATATAAAAGCGCGTTTTACCCCTATGAATCAAGAAATTCATTCAATATTCATGGTATATTTATTAAATTTATACGATTTACTAATAATCAATATTATATCCTCATAAATAGCAATATATTTTGGTAATCTATGATAATCATATACAATATTTGAAATCAAATTTTCATTAGTTTAGGTTCCTTGTTAATAGTAAAGCATTATATTTATTACTAATAATAAAATCTATGTGTCGTATTGAAATTCAATAAAATTACTTATTCGGTCCAAAAAAACAAATTAGATAAAATTTTTCTTTTTTATGTAATTTTTGTTTTTCATTTTTCTCAAGATCCTAAGTTATGTTCTAACTTTTGACATCATATCCTATCATGCTAGGCTATATATTATAGTATAGATCCGTATTTTTCCCAAGTGAGCGGGGTATCTCCAATCCCAGCCCTATCGTCCTCCCAGTGTCAGTTTTCAATATAAAATCCAATTTTTTTTTGAAAATAAAAATTTCGAGAAATTTTTCTGATTTTTTTTCTTTGATTTCAATAATTCAAAATAAATTTGGGAGTAAAAAGACACTATTTAATGAAATTCATATGAGTGAATGTGGATAAATACTCTCAAAACATACAATTTATCTATTTTTTCTTTATATTATCAACTAATTAGTGATAATTTTTTTTGAATCAGATTTTTTTTCATTAAAAACATAATATATAACACAACAATGATGCACACATACGTATCTACACATCAAAATATAAAGCTTGTTTTGGTCTGGGCATCCCAACCCAAAATTCTTTAAAAATTGAATAAAATTGAATACTTGGGGCTGGGATGCCCATCCCAAAACCGAATTGAATTTTTTGAATTAAAGAATATATTTATGTATTTATAATATACATGTGATGTCTATAAAAAATACTAAATTCTAAAAAAAATTCAATTTATTCAAAACGTATACTAAGTGATCACTTCATTAGTAGGATCAGCAATCCTACTAAATGGTGAGAACGCCACTAACTAAAAAAGGAGTCCTTGGAGCTCTTGATCTCTTGTCAGTAGAGTTCATAATGAGGCATGGCATCTACTGATTAGAGATCAGAGCAATCCTACCTTACCTTCAGGAGCTACAAAGCTCCTAATCGTTACGAGAGGGAGCCTTGGAGCTCCTGAAGCTCATCAGCAGAGGCTATTTACCATTTGGCCTCTTCTGATGAAAGATGCGAAACACGTCTACGAACCAGGAGCTTCAAAGCTTCTAATCCTTACTAAAGGGAGCTTTGGAGCTCCCTGATCTCCATCAACAGAGTCCCAGATGGTAAATGTCCTTTTCTGATGAAAGATGCGAAACACATCTCCGAACCAGGAGCTCCAAAGCTCCTAATCCTTACGAAAGGGAGCTTTGGAGCTCCTGAAACTCCTTTTACTATAAAATAGGACAGTTTTCTTCTGAGGTTCTCATCAAATCTAAGACTTCAGAAGAAAGCTGTCCTATCAATGTATACTTACACTCTCATGGACTACAAGTGTACAATTTAAGGCAGAGATTATCCGAGGCCTCTCATCAAATGAGGGACCTCGGATAATCTCTACCTTAAGTAGTCAAATAACTTTTCTCACTATTTAGGAACAAAAGAACAAGAGTTGGAGTACTTTAAGGCAAGATTCTTCCGAAATCTCTCATCGAATGAGAGACTTCGGAAGGACCTTGCCAAATCCTTGAACGCCAATATCCTTGGAACTGAGCTAGAACCAGGGAGAAGTAGCATACTATAGAGCACGATGGTAATCTCGGAAATACTTATATCGCCCCAAGCACAATATTTAAGAAGTCTAACTCATATATACAAGAAGTCAGGCTGAATAGATATTGTGCATATGGTTTGCAGAACTCTCATGATATTTAAAATTCATGTTATCCCAAAAAGGTGACACTTTGGGTGTATCGTCCATCCCAGGGATGCAAAAATCACATCACCTTGGATCTATATATAAATTATAGCATATCCAAAAGGCAAGGAAATCTATCAGAGAAGCCTGTTTGACCTATCGTTGCCCTACCTCTTCAAAATAATAACAAATTAATTTTTTGAAGAGATTTCGCAAAAAAGTGACATTAAAATAAATTTAAGTATTGGTATTATTATTGTTTATAGTTTTTTTAATTTTATTTTATTTCTTATTTTCCATAAAAAAAATTGCAAAAAATTCTTTGCCAACTGTAAGAACGTTGTGATATCTTTCATCACAACTCATAAAGATTCATTTCATTGCAATGAGGAACTCTACCCTTTACAATATTTCGACTTCTTCATGCGTGAGACGTCTTATAGGAACAAATCAATATTTGAATGAAATTGTTGTGTCCTTGAACACTGTAGCAATATTGTTGGAATAACTTACCAAAAAATTTCGGATTTCGATTAGAAAGCTCATTGATGTTAAATGAATCACTGACGAACCTAAGGTTGGTACAATTGTTCTATAAAATTGATGGTTCTAAAAGAATATTATTCAGCACCAAACAAATATTTAAATTGGATGGCCGGTGAGTTTTTCGATTTGGCCTATTAATTGTTGAATTCTTGCATCTTTGAGTTCAACAGTCTTTTTCACTCTCTCAGCAATAAGAGAAAGTTCATTTTTATGTTGATCATTAATCTGATTAATTTGTTCTTGCAAATCTTGGATTTTCTTATTAAGATTGCTATTTTCTTGTTTTATTTGTTGCATTTGTTGATTCTCAGCATTTTTAGAACTATTTTGTTTAAGAATTAATTGTTGTATTTGATTTTTATAATCATTTATTTGATTATTCAGTGTTTTAATCTCGTCTCTATATTCATTACACCTGCATTTTGATATTTGAGAATTCAAATCCAATATTTTTTCTTCTAGACTGTGCTTTTCGCTTTTATCTGATTCCTTCATAGTATTTATTGTTTGTTCTAAATTTTCGATTCGAGATCTTAATCTAGTTTCAACGATTTTATGTTCTTGCTTTTCTTTTTCGAGCTGTGCTTTTAATTGATTTGCTTCATCATGGGCGTCGGCTTCTAGCTTTCCAACAACATCCATAAGCATTTTTTCTTGCCTTGACTTGATACGGTTGGCATCTTGTTCGGCTTTTTCTTGAAATTCAGCTCGAATTTTATCTGTAATTAATTTTTGCCATGCAGTTCTAGCAATTTCTTCTTCTCTTTTTGCCTGTTGCTTTGCTTCTTCAATTTTTGCATATACTTCTTCAACTCTTTTACTCATAACGTCTTTGATTTCTTTTTCACGCCCTAAGGCGCGTTCTTTTAGCTTAATTAGTTTTTGATGACATCTTTCTTCTGTGTCAGCATTTTGTTGTACTAGTATTAGACGTTTTTTCTCAAAATCGGAATTTAATTGAGCGATATCTGCTTCATATTTTGCTGAAATTGTTTCCTTTTGCTTTGCTAGTTCTGCCTTATGATCATCAAGTAGTTTTTGTATTCTTGGCTCTATTTCTTTTAAAGTATTCTTTTTACAATTGTTTAATTCGAACTTTGTTTCTGCTAATTCTTGTTTTAATTGATCATATGCTAATAGTAGAGTTTCATTCTCTTTAATAACCTTTTCGACAAAAGCTTGATTTCTCTCAACAATTTGTTTCGCCATAAAAAAATGAAGAATTTATGCTGATTTATCTAATAGTAGTTCAGAAATGTATTACATTAGAGTAAAAATAAAATAGACTTGACTATTGTTCAATTTTTTAAATATATAAAATCGTTATTTTACAGTTAAAGAACGCAAACAGCAAAATACTTTGAAACAATAGCTACTGAGCCTGAAAATTAAACATATTACATTTTTATTATATAAAACAAAAAGTTATCTTAGTAGACAAACTATCATAGTAAGTAAAACTACTTAAATTTGGCTAAGCTGAAGTCTTAGTTCGTTAATTTCCTGTTTACTGGATTCATCCAACATTCGCATATCATCTTTACTTTTATCTATTGCATTTTGCTCATCTCGAATCTTATTCTCGAGGTCTTCAATAGTTTTGAGGATAATGAGGTGTGCTTCGTCTTGCTTGTGAGTTAGTATTTCATTTTCTTTATCATCCAATTTTTGGCGTATTTTACCGTTTCGAAGTTTCTGTTCTGTAATTTGTCTTTCTAATTCTCGAATGATTTTCTTTTGTTTCTTTTCCAAATCTGGATGAAATTGAGCTTTCGCTTCTTGTAGCTGTTTTGTAACCTCTCTAAGCTCTGAATCAGTGTTCTTCTTTTCAGCAACAACGCGAGCCAGTTCCATATGCAACATCAGACATTCTTCTTGAAGTTCGTTAATAATTGCTGCCAAATCTGATGTATTAAGCTGAGCAATTTCAGCACGTTTGGCAGCGGATAACTGTTCTACTTGCTTATATTCCCTTTCTAAGGAATTTGGGTCTGTACTTGGATGAGATGTAAAAGTTTCTGGTCTGTGTGTTATATCAACGAGTCTTTTTATCTTTGCTTTTAAGAGACTCTTTTCTTGTATGAGATTGTGGCGTTCACGCTTTAGAATACCGACTTCTTCGGCAGTTGGAGCTGTTTCTGGAGAAAAGAATTTTCCAGTACGCTTTCCTTGAACAGTTCTAACTGGTCTTCTAGCTGAACGTGGATTGGAAGGAAACTCGTGTTTAGATGATGCACGAATACTGGTTTGACGCGACATGTATATCGCGTTTCAAACGATTTATTTTCAAATATTTACAAAATCATTACAAAAAAAAATTTACAAATCCGAAGATTCTAAATATTTGAACTGCTAGATTTGACGAATATAGATCTTAATAAGCCAGACGTGCAAAATGAGATTCTAATTTGACGCTTTTGCAGACAACAATCCTCAATTTTGAAGATTGAATCCAAAGCAAATTTTAATAAAGCACAATTGTATTCACTCTAGGCACCAAATTCATTTTATCTGGTAATAACACATGTGTTGCCCTCGTTTGAGTACGAAATTTTCTTCATTTATATCTCATATCATTGTAACAAAGTTTGCTGCATATTCTAAGTTATTTACTGATGTAGCACTATATTTCAAAATAATACACATTTAGAATATAAATATATTTAGGTTGTTATAAATAATTTGCAAGAATTCGTTTATGCTTGGTTGCAAGCCAGACATCGTATAACTGTTTTGATCATTGAATAATTATGTGATTTTAATAAGTTTTGTTGTTGAGTTAAAATAATAAAAGATTTACTGATGTAGTCATTAAAGACAATTCATGCTTTTCTCCAATTTAGATTCAATCAAAGTGATTGTGTTTGGATAGTGTCAGTTATGAAGAAATATAAGAACAATTGTTGCCGAATAATGACTGAAGCCAAAAAACAAACTGATAATCGCAGTTTTATGAAGCGAATGAGATAATGTTCCTCATGTTTTATAATAATATATTAAAATTTGTTTCACTTCAAAATCAAACATAATGGAAGTATATATTTTCATTAAAGGAAGTCACGGGACTGTAATTTTTCCTAATGAATGCATTCATGATAAAGAAACATAAGATTTTGAAGAATCAATTCATTTCAGAATTTGCCCTAATAAACATGAAGTTGTCACATATATTATCTCAGCTGTAGTTAATTAAATAGCAAAGAAGAAAGAATGACTGCTATTCTTATTGGCATGTTAATCACATTATATCATCATTTTAGAACAAAGTGATTTAATTCATTAACGAACAGCTGATTCAGAAGCTCTTATCTTATGCTTGCTATCCCATAGAGATCCTATTTTAATGATATTTAATTAAGACATGGAATCACTCTATTTTTCAAGTTGAAATAACGGTTCATCATTATTCAAATACAGGACTTAATTTATAGGCTTCATATACCACGATAAAATTTTTGAAAATCAATATCTTGATTATTTAACTCTAAAATGCATTGATATGGTCATAAAAATGTCTCTAGAGACAATCAAGTATTAAACACTTCAAGATCGGATAAATTTGTGTCCTCAATTTTTTTACTCAATACATTAAGTTTTAAATATTAATGTAAATCATATGCAGATAATTTTTAAATTTAGCCATTGAAATCACTCACAATTTAAAATGGTCGTTGATAGAAAATTGAGAGCCACCTATCCATCCAAATCCTCTGAATAATTGAGAGCGGTTGATTGACCATGGCCCAGCACTTTGTTTTCTCATGGGTAAGGAGAAAGAGCATATCAATATTGTCGTTATCGGACACGTCGATGCAGGTAAGTCCACAACAACAGGCCACCTCATCTACAAGTGCGGCGGTCTCGATAAGCGTAAACTTGCTGCCATCGAAAAGGAAGCTGAACAACTCGGCAAGTCCTCCTTCAAGTACGCTTTCGTTATGGACTCCCTCAAGGCTGAACGTGAGCGTGGTATCACAATCGATATCTCCCTCTGGAAGTTCGAAGGCCAGAAGTTCTCCTTCACCATCATCGATGCCCCAGGACACCGTGACTTCATCAAGAACATGATCACAGGCACATCCCAGGCTGATGCTGCTATCCTTGTCATCGACTCCACACTCGGTGGCTTCGAAGCTGGTATCGCTGAACAAGGCCAGACACGTGAACACGCTCTTCTTGCCTTCACCCTTGGTATCAAGCAGGTCATTGTCGCCGTCAACAAGATGGATGACAAGACAGTCAATTACAACAAGGCTCGTTTCGACGAAATCACAGCAGAAATGACACGTATCCTTACAGGCATCGGCTACAAGCCAGAAATGTTCCGCTTCGTCCCAATCTCCGGCTGGGCTGGCGACAACATGACAGAGAAGTCTCCAAACATGCCATGGTACAATGGCCCATACCTTCTTGAAGCCCTCGATTCCCTTCAGCCACCAAAGCGCCCATTCGACAAGCCACTCCGTCTTCCACTCCAGGATGTCTACAAGATCAACGGTATCGGTACAGTTCCAGTCGGCCGTGTCGAATCCGGCACAATGAAGCCAGGCATGATCGTTAACTTCGCCCCATCCACAGTTACAGCTGAAGTTAAGTCCATCGAAATGCACCACGAATCCCTTCCAGAGGCTCTTCCAGGTGACAACATCGGCTTCAACGTCAAGAACGTTTCCACAGCTGATGTCAAGCGTGGCTACGTCGTTGGTGATACAAAGCGTGACCCACCAGTCGAATGCGCTTCCTTCACAGCTCAGATGATCATCTCCAACCACCCAGGCAAGATCCACGCCGGCTACCAGCCAGTTTTCGACTGCCACACAGCCCACATCGCCTGCAAGTTCGACAAGCTCATCCAGCGTATCGATCGTCGCCACGGCAAGAAGGCTACAGAGAACCCAGAATACATTCAGAAGGATGATGCCGCTATCGTCGAGGTTGTCCCATCCAAGCCACTCGTCGTCGAGTCCTTCCAGGAGTACCCACCACTCGGCCGTTTCGCCATCCGTGATATGAAGCAGACAGTCGCTGTCGGCGTTATCCGTTCCGTCAACAAGAAGCCAAACCCAATCAAGTAAATTACCATTACTAACAATAAAGACTACGAACATTTCTCACTTAATTTTTATATTTATTTTTTCTTCTAAAATAATCTTTATATTCGAATATTAGACGTGTAGTACCTCGAACACGAACTCAATGAATCAATATTCACGCACTACAGCACATACAGTATCGGATTTTTACAATTTGGGAGAAACATGGGCTGCCCACAGCATCTCTCTGTGCCTATTCTTGTTGCCTTTTGTCACGTGATTTCAACTAATAAATAAATATATCAAAAAAACATCTAAAATTTATAATTTACAAACATATAAAATAAAAAATAACTAAACATCATTAAAGGCTAAAGTTAAGATTATCAGAGATAGAAATTACAGGCAATCCAGTCAAGTTTGGATATGAAAATCTTGATTTCATTGCTTCCCATTCTGTTGCCATATTTGGAACCTGAGGTTCACCATCAACATTCCAAGATACATTAGTAGTATTTGCTCTCGGAATATTCAATTTTGCAGGGCTTGCACTTGATTGTGAATTTGCCGCAATTGAAGATTCCGGATCCAATTCAGTGCTTTCATCATCATTTCTTGATCTTTTCTTCATTGCCGATGAAAGTCTTCCCCATGCAGACCTTATCTCTTGCGCCGTCTTCCTGCTGTGCTCGCTAGAAATGACTTGGATGTCATGTCTTGGTTTTGTCACTTTTGTAATTCTAGGAATTGCCGCCAATGTGTTAAACATGTCGATTAACACTCCCACGTCCATTCCATCAGACTTATCGAAGTTGATTGATGACAATGAGCTGCTGTTCGACACTACATCCTGTAAAATGGCAATGCCAACATCTCCAATCGCTAAATCAGAGACATCCAAACTTTGGAGAGTTTTGTTCGAAATCAAACTCTGCCGAAGTTCTCTAAGAAGGCCGTGCTCGTTCCTGAACGTTCTCCGCAAACTCAACTTCTCGAGAGGAAGCTTGGAAACTATTTCTGATAAAAGAGAAAGCCGAATAGATTCATCAGAAACGTGACAGTGGCAAATACTTAAATCTCTCAAACAGGGAAGAGTTAGAATGTACATGAGGAACTCGTTGTTGATGTCGATCCTGTTCCACTCCAATTTGACAATCATGGCGTTTTGGGAGGCTTTGGAAAGATTATGATACAAATCTTCGAGATCTTCGAGTTTTTTCTTTGAATTTAACTTATGTATCCAGTCATATTGTAGCACAGGCTCCACTTTTGTATTAACAGATTGTTGAAAAAGTGAAAGAGCCTTGCCAAGTGGGATACTCATTTAAAAAAAAAATTAATGAGTATTTCAATGGTTGTGAAGAAAAGTGACCAAATTTGTATTAAAATTCTGAAACTAAAATATTTTTTTGATTAAAATTGTAAAATAATATTACACACATTATAAACTTAATTTCACATTCAGCAGTTTTTGTAAAGTGTCAAAACGACAATTTTTTTTCACTTTGCTTTTGTGTCATGTTCAATTACAAACATATAGATAATTCCGGCTCGTATGTCACATTTCATTGATTATAAATTTTTAAACGTCCACGAAATGTCTGGGAATGCGCAGGAGCTTTCCCTGAGCTCCTCACAAATATTTCGACGTGGAATTAGTTCACAAGAAATCAATATCGGACTCTCTCAACAGTTTTTGAACCCTGCTGAGAGCATTAATCCGATTGAAATTTCAAATGAAAAGCAAGCTAATAAGGAAATCACATCAATCATTTCGAAATTCAAAGAAAATCTCGACTGGTCAGATCAATTGCAGTTAATTCAACAAACAATGTCTATTGTTAAAGGTGGAGCATATAAATATCAAGGATTTGTTGATGAAATATCTGGTTTACTCACCATGTTGAAATTTGGAGTTAACAACCTTCGTAGTACTCTTGTTAAAAATAGCTGTTTATGTATTGCTTTCCTCGCACAATCTTTAAAAGAGAAATTCGATTCTATAACGGAGCCAATCATCTCAGCATTGATTGTTCCTACAATGCATGGAACCAGTGTAATTGCTAAATCATGCAGATTCGCAATTCGAGAAATTGTAAATAACGTATATACAAAAAGGACTCTTCTTAGCATTTTAAACTATACTAATTCTAAGAGTAGCGAGCATAGAAATATAGTTGCTGATAGTTTGAAAGATATTGCTTTTTCTTGGCCAAGAAATATTATTTTATCAAATATAAAACAAATAGAGCATTCAGTTAAAACATTAACAAATGATGCAACAAAAGATACACGAGTTTTCGCAAAGTCTGCCTTAGAAATCTTTGAAAATAATCAATACATTCAAGCAACTACCGAAGTAAAGAACTCTCGTAAATTCCAAGAAGACAAAACAGAAGTTATTCAGTTTACTAGACTAGAACCACCAATCAGGCCAAAGTTTTCATCTCCTCAGAAGAATTTGAAACAAAAAGAAACAGAAATTGAAGATAAAACAACAGTATCAATAGATTTGTCAAAGAAAACTCTATCAAAATCAAGAATAAGGCAAACTTCAGATGATAGTATTAACAAATCTTTCACATTAACTCAGGATGAAATAAATGACCTCGCTAAAGTCAACAAACTTTCCAAAAACATCACATCCATCAAAGATAATGCTACATTTATCATTGAAACTCTCCTTAACTATATAAATTCAAATGAAATTGATGAAATTATTTTAAGTATTACTTTAATAGAAAAAGTACTCGGAATAATCTATATACAGTTTGAAAAATATTTGTCGCAGCTAATTCCTTGCATTCTTGAAAAATCAGATCATATTTCTTACCAAATTAGCAAATCTGCTTCAAATATTATGAATACGATTCCATCACTATACAACTGTGATGATTTGATTAAAATTGCTGCAGATCAACGTGTTTCAAAAGCATTATTACTATTTATCTCTCAAATCATGAGAAAAGACGCAAAAATCAATGCTGATTACGATACAATCAGTAAATTAATCAATATTATGTGTCAATTGTTCGAAAAATTCAATGAAACAAAGACAATTTTGATTATTACTTCAATATTAACAGAAATTCAATCAAAATATCCTCAAGAATTCTCCAAATATGTTGAAACAGCTGATGAAAAGAACATAAAAGCTTTGAATACCCTTAAAATCACTCAAACAGTCAAAATTTCTACAGAAAACAATTCAACATTAACAACTAAGTTTAGTCAACATTTCAGAGAACAAATTGCTAAGAGACAAAGTTTAGAGACATCAAACTATGCGCCGGCACCTACCAGATCATCATTTAAGAAATCAAATGTTGATAAAACGCAACAAGAAACGAAAACAGTTCAAATTATCAAGAATCCATCAACTGATTTAATTATTTCCAAAATAAAAGAAACAGAAGATAAAAGAGAACATCTTACATCACTTGCTGATGCTATTAAGGAAGAAAACACATATAGTTTAGATTTGATGAAGCTTTTAATTTCATTGAAAAGAACTGAATTTTACAAAGAAACAGAAATTTGTTTTGATTCGATTTTGAATTCTTGTGATAATTTTTTGGTTGTTAATGACTGTTTGAGTCAGTTCTTTTTGACTCCTGATGTTGTTCACATTGATTCTCTTTATTATCTCCTGTATAAAACAACAAAAACATTGGTTGATGATAAACCAACTTTGTTGTTGAAGCAACTTTCTGATTTCTCTGTTTCTGATGATCCTGAAATGAGAATGATGTCTGTTAAATGTATCGCAGCCTTGCAAAAGAATATAGAATGCGATTCATCATTCATTTCTTCTCAGATTGGACCTGTTCAAGCTCGTTTAGTTCAATATTATTTTAATAAGTTTTAATTTTGTTATTTATACTATATATGATAAATGTAGTAAGTAAATATAAACTCTTTTTGTTTGATATAATTAAAAATCTCTTTTTTTATAGAGAAAAAAGGACATTCTAATTCAACCTAACGATCTAAGCTAACAAACCATTACTACATAGAACTGATTTAAAGTTTTGTGTATAATTCATTTATATATTCATGGTTGTGTTGTATATTTGAGAATCAAAAATGCTCAACAATTGGATTTAAAGCTTTAATTTATAATAATCCAAATTAGGATGAAAATTCTGAGACTATTTAGTGTATAGTGATCAATAATCTTTATCTTTCAAATTTTGAAAATTAATTCCAAGAACTTAGTCGCTCAATGAGATGAAAAATATATTCTATGTAATAAATCATAATTATATTAAGAATTACAGAGGAATTCTTTTTTGATAGTTCAAAACGTGACGGTGGTTTGGCCTCCTTTTTGCAATGTCTGAACAAGTCAAGCTCTTCGTACCAGCTACTTTCGTTTCCTTCCGCCGTTCAAAGCGCATTATCAAGCCAAACCAGGCCCTCCTTGAGATCCAGGGTGTTGTTTCCAAGGAAGAGGCTCAGTTCTATGCTGGCAAGAAGGTTGCCTCTGTTTGGAAGTTCGACAAGCAGGAATTCATCAACTGGGGCGTTATCACACAGCCACACGGAAACTCCGGCGTTGTCCGTGCTAAGTTCGAGAAGAACCTTCCACCACAAATGCTCGGCAAGCAGGTCCGCGTTATGCTTTACCCAAGCACAATTTAAAGATATGATGACTTAATTTTACATATTTACGTTTTTTAGAAATATTTTTTTCATCAAATCAAATCAAATCATTATCAGTTTTGGAATTTTGAGTTTTTGTTAATGATTTTTAATTTACTTCTACAATGTAATTGAAATATGCTGTAAAACTCCAAAAATTTATTCCAAAATCTCTATAAATCTGTCACTTTTTATTGAAGAATATAAAATATGGGCGAAAATTATTATAAATCATCGAACTATTTCCGCAATGAGGATGATTATTCTATGTTTAACAAGAGAAAGAATAATCAGAAAGCAGATTTCGATATTCTTGAAAAATACGACGAAATATCAAAGAAATTTGGGGTGTTGTTTTTATGGGTAGGTGTTTTAATATTATTTTTACTAGCAATTATTGGATTTCGTAGAATGATTAATACGTTTCTTATCGAAGATCAAAAAATGGAAGAGATAAAAAGCAAGATACAAAAATACGTTCAATCCAAAACCAATTTCAAATGTACAGAATGTGTTCCAATATCTTATAATGAAATAGCTGAACTAATTGGAAAAAAATTGTCTTATGCAGAAAAAGAACAAGCAATTTCGATTATTTGGGACGAATTTCAAAGAAATACAGAGATATACGAAGTTACCACAGATGAAAAAGTAGAATATGTCAGAAGCAAAATTATAATATCTTCATCATTGAATTGCTTATTCTTCCGTAATTTAAATAAGATAATAACAGTTATAACACTTTCTATTGCAGCTATTATAGTCTCATTGTTTATTTATTTCAAATACAAGCAAAGTCAAAAATGCAAGCAATATTCTTCAGAAATCATTCAGAATATGGTTAACCAATCCAAACTTGGGTCAAGAGAAATAAATCCTCAATCATTCCGCTCTAATTATCCTAATATTAATGAAAAACAATGGAGGAACGTTGTTTCTAATGTTGAAAGATGTCCTGTAGTTTCTGTTTATAGAAAGAAGAGTGGAAATGTCTGGCAAGTTAGTTCTCTAAATTAATTTTTTTAATTTTCTGTTTTCATGTATACATTTATTCTCTAATATTGTGAAATAAATCATGTATTTTAGTCACATTTTTAGATTATTTATTTTAACTCACATTTTATGTAAGATATTACAGAAAAATTTCAAATTAGAATTTACAAATGGCTTATGACGTATTAATTTTATTTAAATGAGAATACAACAGAAAACAATATGTTAGAAGGCTATCAAAATTCAATAATAAAATATTATAAAAAATACCCAGGGTCCAAAAATTGGTATTTTCTGCGCTCAGGCAACATGAGTTTTTGGGCCGCCAAATGAATAGCTCAAATAGTTTCCTCATATAGAGACATGCTTATGCTTAGAGTTTGAAGGGAATCTAAAGTGATTTTTTTCTGCATTTCGAAATCTAATGCAATCTTAAAATCATGATTAAACTGCGAATCTGGGCGCAATTTTTTAATATGTTAATATATGAAGGTACTCCTACTACTGCGAATGCTTCAAATGAAAATTCAAGAAATCAGATTAATTTGATCACATTAGTATAGTAGTGGTCAATCCAAAAAACTCATATGTTGATATATAACCTATAGGGATGATAATTATCGACTCTTCATTGAAATGCATAAGATTTAATAATCTCATAAATATTCTTTTTAATTTTCAGTATTTCATGTGCATTTAGATTGCATATACCTGTATATGATATTTCTAGAATGTTTTGGTTAGATATTAAGTTTTTTAGATTAATATTTTAACATTTTGATAAAACAAGCAATTGTTCCATTTTGGAATCGCGATTGAACTCTAGTTTGACTAATATGATGTTGTATGATCAAATGAATTCTAACTTCATGAGATAAAATTTGAAATTTGAAAATGCGATATCTGACTCAAATATTTATCTGAGCACATTTAACATTCAATTATAAACTAAAGTAATATACAGCAGATTCGATTTGGCTTATATTTTAAATATTCAACAAATAATCTTATAAAATTGTGCTATTCACGTTTCTCAAAGATGAATTAAGCATTTACAACTTGTGCATTGATGGAATTAGATATGGATTCTAATGTTAATCGATATTTTGTAAATTGATATATATTTTATCATGGTTTGACATTTGATCGTGTTGAAACCGGAATTGCAATATGCATCATCTATATATATAATTGTCAAAATATGAGCTATAGATTTTTAAATTATGCTCCTGATTATGAGTGACTTATATGATTATATTGAATTGAGTAGTAAGAATCATAAATATTAGAATATTACGATAATGTATTATAACCTTATAGAAGCTTAAGGCTAAAAATGATGATGAAAATGTAGCTCAAATTTAAGTCTAAAAATTTGAAAAAATTAAGTGCTTATGATAGTATGACGATATTGGTGTTTGAATGTAAGAAATTAGAGATGTATTAGAAGCATTATGAGAAAATAATAAGATATAAAAACAAATTTTATGAAATAATTTAAGTTATAAGAGGTGTTAACATTGGTAATGTGTGTATAAGATAGTAGAATTGTATTGGATCTTTGATTAGTATTTTATAACAATTTATTAATGTAGATGTGATTAGAATGTTGGATTTCAAAGGAGAAAGCGGATTGTTCACTCTTGTTGGTCTGCATGTGTCATTCCGGGAGACATTGCCTGTGCATGTCTCCCAGAATGGCATACTGTTCCGCATTCATAACTTGAATGCGGAACTTTGACCGACAAGAGTGCATTGTGCACTCTTGTTGGTCTGCATGTGTCATTCCGGGAGACATTGCCTGTGCATGTCTCCCAGAATGGCATACTGTTCCGCATTCATAACTTGAATGCGGAACTTTGACCGACAAGAGTGCATTATGCACTCTTGTTGGTCTGCATGTGTCATTCCGGGAGACATGCACAGGCAATATCTCCCGGAATGACATGCTTAGAACAATAATGCACTCTATCCTCCTTAAATTCTTCGTATTCCAGTTATTTTCTTCATTTTTTACTTTTTAAATTTTTTTCTCTAATTTCTTATATTTATTTCTATAAATATTTTCCTAATGTAATCACACATTAAATTTTCATATTTCACAGAGAAACTTGTCAGACGATAAAAATTTTCTACACACAAAATTTTTCTTGGTGAAAAAGACCATCTTCTTATAACAAATCATTATTTACAGCTTACAAATAAAAAACAAAATATATAAATAAATAGAAATTATGAATTAATTTTCAATTTCAACATCCTTACCTCTGACATACAATGATAAAAATTGATATCCGATTGCTCCTCCTCTTGGGATCACATAACACAAATTTTCATCGATCACAACATATTCGCCTTGTAAATCAAGTCTCTTATAAAATTTAAAAGAGGCATGACCATCTCTTCCGAGTGTAAGTGAAACAATGGCAAATCTGATAAATATGATATGTGAATGTTCATGAAGCAGTTCAATTTGGTCTGGCTGAGCTTCTTGAGATTCGCGGTCATTTGCAATGAAGAGGTATCTATTCACATGAGTAATCTTCTTATTCTCGAAATATTCTTTGAAATTTCCATCTTCAGGAAGTTTTAACATGTTAACACATTGAGCTTGATTATTCTCATCAATGAATTGAATCCCGCATAAATGTGGGTTCATAAAAGATGAAATAATGAGTCGTGGATCGCCTTGTTGTTCAAAATGAAGCATATTATATGTAGTTAGTATGACTAAGTTGTGTAGTGTGCCACTGCGCGCCTCCGTACACAACTTAGCGGTTTTGACACTTTACGAAACCAGTAACGTATATTTTACAACACAACCATAACACCAACTTAACCTTAAATATTTACAAAACCGTCTGACACATAAACGACTTCACTAACGAATTCACTAACGACTTCACTAACGAATTCACTACCATCCTCACTAAATAAAAAATAACCTTATTTTTATTTCATTACAAAGACATGTCCGACTACATTTACTATGACTCTTTCCCAGAACGTTTCCGTGAACTATTCAAAACTCAAGTAAAACTGAGAAACATGCATTTTAACAAAGACAGACCCATTGACGATGAAAGAAACCCTGAGTATATTACAATCCCTTATGATGCTAAATTTATTGCATACATTCCTTATGGACGTAGAGGAACGAAAACTATTTCAACAAAGACGAAAAATTATTTCTGGAGCGATGAAGAAAATTGCCTTATCTACATAAATACATACTTAAATAAAGCTACATATTGTACAAAAGAAGGTTGGACTGGATTTGAGCTCTACATATACGACGACGATGGAAACAGACGTTGTGTATACCCATACGATAATATGTACCATTGTTTTCATCAAGCATTAAACGAATACATAGTCAGTAAGGGTCTCATTCCTGTTGAGTAGATATGCTTTATTTTTGTTCCCACATTTATTTAAAAATTAATGATATCACCACCCTCACACGTATGAAAACATAGCACAAAAATAGATTTAGGTGAAGTGGTGAAATCTCACCTCTTTTTTCACCTGTTTTTTCACCCTGTTGAATTCATTGCTTTATAACTCTCTTCCTTTCTCCAACTCTTCTAACTTCTTCTTAAGTTCAGCAATGTTGTCCTCATGAAGTTTAATCTTCCTTAATATACCTTCTCTATCTAATGGTTGCTTTATCTTTCTAAACTGAACTCTACCATCCTTCATAGTATGAATGTAAAAACCTTCTGGAATAGTTCCTGATTTAATGTATTCTACCAAAAACTTTTGTTTCATTGCTTCAGTGACTTTATTTGTCATTTCAATCAAATAAAAATTTTAATATTAAATAAAAATAACGTTATTTTTTCAGTAAGGAAACGCAGGAGTTTTACGATTTATTTGAGGAGTAGGTTCTGGTTTAAATGTTGGAGTCGGTTTAGGAGTTGACTTTTGAACAGGAGTTTGTACTTCCATAGGTTCAGGAGTCATTGAAGGTTTTGCTTGTGAAGGCGTTGGTTTTGGCGAAGGTGTTGGAGTTTGTTTAACTTCAGCTACTTCAGTATTATTTACAACATTTGCTTTATTTCTTTTCAACATCATAACTGCTCCTGCTGTAGCTAGCAAACCTAGTGGGAGACCATATCTTATATAAGGACTTGACCAAATGCTATTTTTGACAGGAGCTGGTGGAACACCTAACCTTGGTGAGACTGCTCTTTGCCATTGTGCAGCTCGTAAGAAATATTCAATAGGTGCTCCATAATCGTTTGGTAAAGTTTGTTTCATAGATGGTGAAGGTTCGCGAGAGCTTGATGAAGAACTCATTTATAAGCTTTAAAAATAAACGTTCATCCTTTATTCCTCACTGTCGTCCGTAGCTAAGTTATAGTCATCTAATCTTATTATGGGGATGCCATTAGCACGCACCTGAATGGCAAAGCAACAATCCCTCATAAATCCAATAAGTGGCTTTGGTACATTTTCAGTTGCTAGTTCAATAGGTCCTTTAACAAACAATTTGTATGTTATTGGAGCAGTAGATGTTTGACCTTGCTGGAAGCAAAAGTCCACTTCTGTTGGAAAACCACATAAGAAATGTGTGTTGTCATAGCTATCCCATTTATGTTCCACACTACCATCATCCACCAATGACCTCATAACATCTTCATTAAATCCTATCATATCATTGTTTGTATTGCAGGCGTTCGCAACCATTTCATAAAATACAGGTCCATATGATTTTTCAGGTTCTGCAGGCATATTTCCATAAGCTCCCATGGAAAGCTGAAGATATTTAAACTTAGGGTTCTCAAAATTAACATAATAGTTGTCTTTCTTTCTAAATAGTGCCCAAATACTTTTAACATTAATAGGCGTATAAGCGGCTGTAAATGTTGCACTTGAACTATCTGTATTCTTTGAGAATGAACCGTCCATAGGAATCCAATCCATAACTTTAACAGGAAAACATAAAGCCTCGTTTGTATAATGTTCTACAAGTTCTGTATAAATGTTAGGGTCTAAAGAGAATGACTTTGGATGAATGAAACATTCATTAAATTCCATCTTTGTTCGAAATAGTTGCTGGGTTACAGTTGTAATAGTAACTGTTCCACCAGCATCTACTGCCTTCGTTATCATAGTGAATGGTTCATTCCATGGAACAAATTTATTTGTCGGTGGATTTGAATCTGAAGCAAATGCAACTTTAAGAGTTGGATTGAAAGCAATGATATCATTTACAGATATAGATGTGCATTGTAAGGCGTCGCTACTGAACTTTACTTTAAGCTGAATGTTTCCTGCAAAAGCTGGAATAAATCGAATAGCTTCTAATGGAAGGAATTTTCTAACAGGAATTCTTAAACGAAGCTTAAAATCAAATGATTTTCCTGCTGTAATGGACCACTAACAATTTGTCCTGTTCTGCATGTTCCCGAATGACTCCATACATCTTCATGTCGAGTCTTTGAGAAAACATCTACTTTCTTTATTTGTTCGGTAGTTTGTGAGTTTGAAGTTATATATGCTTCTTCTCTTGCGTTGTCTTGAGAATATACGATACGACCATTTGCAAGGATTTGATATCCAGCAACTGCATAGAAAGCGTCATCGAAAACAATCCAAAATCCTGGTGGGTTTGTTTTATCGGAACCTGAACCAATTTCTTTATCTACAATAAATTGACCTTCCATTTTATACGTAATGAATGTATTGTAAAGGTCCAACATATTTTCACCAGGAGGTGAGAGATTGAATGTTACCCATGTGTTATCTTTAGCAGTTCCAGGTTGTGATGGAATCTTTGCGTCAGAATATTTTCTATTAGTGTCACCAATTTGAACTGCATTGTCTATGATATCGAAATATGAGCGAATCTGATGAATATGCTCTGCTGGAGTAAATTCGTTTAGCTGTTCGTTCTGCATGTATTTACTTCAGATAAAAATATCTATTTACTTCATTATTCTCACTCTTCTTCTTGGCATTCGTGGTGGAAGTTGTTTCTTGACATTTTCAATGAACTGTATATTCTCTTTTGTCTCAACTTCTTTCACTGGTGGGTCAGGATTCTGTGACTCGGTTTGTTTTTCAATGAAATTCACGAACTTTGCAATAAGCTCTTGATTCGTTATTGAAAGTACATCTGGCTTCTTTTCTTCTGGTTCTATTGACTTTTCGCCCTCGGTGCCATGCACCTTAATGTTGTCGCTTTCTGCATTCGCTAATGGAACCTTTCTTTTTCTTACGTATATTTTACCATCTTTACTCTGACTTACATAATAGAAAGGATGTTGTATTCCTCTTGCGTCATTTAATATAATAGACTCTCGCTCTGATTTTGACAAGCTCATTTTACATCGGTTAAAGTTTTAATTTTGTTTTTTATCTGCAGTCAAATGACTCAGACAAGCCCTACGGACAAGACCCAAGGGGTCATAGATGTTGAAGCATTGAAGAAAGAAATTCGTGAGCAAATTTTATCCGAACTGAAGGAACAAAAACAAGAACAAAAGCCAGAGAGACCAAAGAGAAAACTTAGTGAAAAACAACTTGCTGCATTAGCTGCTGGAAGACAAAAGAACCCACGTTTGTTGGCGAAGAAAGCTAGAGAAGAAGCTGAAGCAAAAGCTAAAGAAGCTGAAGCAAAGAAAGAGTAAATGGTTTATTTTTATCCGAATTAAATGTATAGACAAATACCTTTATCTATTGCGTTCAGTAGTGAAACCCCTGACGTCAAAATAAAGGGGAACAGAGTAACGTTTAAGTTTCCAACAGACTGGATTGTGAACATAAATGAAGAGAAGTACATTGGCATAACATCTATGTATATAACACGTGCTTTCAGAAAGGTTGACTTTATACTTCAAGTCGAGATAGAAAATGACGAACAGTCTTTAAGCGCCCAAAACATTCACATATACAAATACTTTAAAGACGATACAACATTGTTGCAATGTATGATTTCATTTAATGAGATGTTCGAGAAAAAGTTCAACATTGAAGTACAAACTTTACAGCCTTTACGTGAGTTTCTTGCACAACTGAAAGAAGAAGGTAGTCGGCCACAACTTATAGACTTTCATTATGAATTTAATGAAAATGAAGATGGAACTCATGACTGTCAGTTTGTTATATATTCACCATTCAATGAAGTAGCTAAAAAGAAAGAAAATCCATTACGTATAAGATTTCAAATCTCTGAACCAAGTGATGATTTCAAGAATGTTTTCAATTATGATGCAATGCTTCCGAGGAAAAATGAATTTTCCGAAATTAGATTTCCAGGTATTTGGGATAGAAAGCAAGCTATATTATATTCAAACTTAAGTAAGGGAGTTGAAAATGAGTTTATTGGTCATACAAGAACTTCACCACTTCCTAACCCTAAATACTATAAATTAACTGGCTTCAATCGTGAGTTTTGGATAGACATGTTCTCCACTCATGACCATAACTGCCCAGTGTTCTTACCTCCAGACCATAAGGACTGTCTCTACATTGAAGCACAACTCTTAAACTCTACCATCGCAGTATTGTAAATGACCACATGGGCTTCGCCCTTGCCGCTAGTTGCTTATTTTTATCACGAATGACCTCATTGCTGACAAAAATAAATGACCTCAGAACTTCAACTTACGAATAAAGCTTGTTTTAGTCGTTATTGAGAAGTTAAACTCTTTCAAAGCAAGGACTGAATGACTTACATAAGTCAAATCCAATCTCTTGACCGTCATAAAGTGCTTTGTAAAGTTTCATTAAACTGAACTCAGAGTCTTTGTCATATGTTCCTTGCGGAACCATTAAACCTTTATCTTCATCATAGAAACACTGAACAGAGTCAGGAAACATTTCATTAGCGGTTAAAGCAATAACATCTTGCTTCACGCCTTTCATTCTGCAGTGAAATGCAACTTCATTTAAATCATTCGTGAGTAAGTCTATGTAAGTCTTCTTTCCACAAAATATTGACTTGTATGCTAAACTTTGTTTTCCAGGTGTGATTTCTGCAAAGTCGCTATGAAATTGACCAAGGTTTTTACCAATGAGTTCTCTCCGTTTCTCAAACTCTTCAGCTAAACGAGGGATATCTTCATTGTAGAGATGCATACTGTCCGTATCGCTATAAAAGATGTCCATTCCTAAGTCCTCAGCAGTACAGAATACTTCACACATTATTCTCTTCGACATAGACAGAATGTTAACACCAAGTGGACAGAAGTTAAAGTGTCTGCAAATGCTTTTCGTTAGCTTGAAAATAGTTTTATCTGAACCATCCAAACCTTCGAACTTCACTATATGGTTGTAGTTTCTGATGGCATATCTTATAGCATCTTTGTCATTTACTATGGTTATTTTTGACTCAATAGGAGATAGAATAGTTTTGCCATAAATACTGTTCAGAATGAGCTTTATATTTCTTGCAAAGGATTTCCTTCTTTCTTATACTTTAACCTTAACTCAAACAACTTCTTTACTTCATCTCTTATTCTAATATCTCTGTTTCCATCGTAATAGTATCCTTGCAACACTTCACATTTGACACCTTGATATTTTATGAGGTCTTGTAATGTTATATGGTCAACATACATTAAACAGCAAGTGTTTGAACTTCTGGGAACGTTAAGTTCTGGATTTAGTTCAGGGTCACAAACTATTAAAGGAAAGTGTCTATGTATTCCAATCTCTGTTATCTTAATGAGAACAAAGAAGCCAGACATAAACTTTTCACCAATGGGTTCCTTTTGGTCGTCATCGAATAAATGTCTCATGAGATACTCTGTGCTTAACATTTCTTTCTTCATAACCTTTGGAATACCTTCTAAAGTATAAAGTCTTGCTATAGCTGATGGATATAATGAAACAGCGTCGAAGTCAGCAATGAGTTTCTTTTCGCTCTTTTGTTTAATGTTATCTGACAGCATACATCTTCCACCTTGAATACAGCGTGAAATAAATTCTCTTGGTTTATTTGAGAGGTCATATAAATTTCCATTCGGGAAGTACACTCTGTTCTCAAACAATTTGTTAGCAATTGAACAAATACTAACGTAGTCATAAACGTTTAAATCAAATTCTTTCAATATGTCATTGCGGAACTTAACAAAACCTTCTCTTAAAATTCTTACATCTTGTTTGCAATAAAATGCTATACTTTTCTAAGTCGAAGTGGTTTTCATCTATTCTGCAACCTTTGATGGAATCTATGTTTTTCATGAATGTATCTGCATCCCGGATAAACTTACATGCTTCAGAAATGACACCAGTTCTGTTGTCATTTGCTAACAAACACTGCTGTAGTAGTTGTATGGAAATACTTCTTTCGGTCCTGTTTGTAAGTTAAACATAGCAGGAAATAGTTTAAGCTTCTTATTTATAACACTGTAAGAGTCTTTTATAATAATTGCCCTTCCTTTATATAAGCCAGTTATTTGCATTGTTCGTGAACCTTTAATGATGGGAGTTCCTTTCACTTCTGTCATGTGTCTTAAGATGAAGTTTATATCATAACTGAGGTTATGGAAATATATTAAACTCTTGTCAGGAAGTCGTTCCAAAAATTCTGTTGCACAGTTCTGACCCCAAATGCTTTCACTCACTGAACCATCTTCACTGTCATAACAGATGTTAAAAGCTTTATGAAAGCCGTCTGTGCTACACTCAAAGTCAGCAAAGAAAACGTGCTCAGGAATGAACTTGCACTTATTTTTATTTACTTCTTTTGACTCGGCTTTCTTCTTCAGTTGTACACAATACTTTGGAGCATATGTCAAATCTTTAAATGGTGCAAGGTTCTGTTTATATAAGTCAGTCGTATATGTGAAAAGTTCTCCATAAGAAATAGGTTCGAAATATTTGCACTCCCACAATGTTTTCATAACATCCCATAACGGTGTTGTTCTATCATAACGAACTACATATTTATCTTCTCTCTTTGTATAAATCTTCATTGTTTCTCAATGTTCATTCCACCACAAGCTTGAGATTTCTTTATATTTCGAAAATATGTTGTCATTGGTAATCTTTCATTTAGCATGTAGTGGTCTTCAACAAGAAGTAAGTCAATAGTTCGAACAGTTTCACATTCTTTTGGTATGTATCTCTTTATTTCATTATGTCTTGAGTCATTGAAATAACCAATGGTAACATTAAATGCTATACCTGTTGCGTCAGAAATTTCTTGTACTTTACTTTGAGGAAAGTCTCTAACACGAATGACTTCTCTCATGTGGTCAATAGTCTCTCCATCTACTCCAGCCTGAATGCAAGCATAAACGAAACAATTGTCTTCTGTCATAAGTGCTGCAGTTCTTTTGTTCAGTTCATTGAAGATTTGGTAGCGCTCAAGATTTATAGGTAATGTGCAAAGATACTTCCAGAACTGACCGCTTCTCTTCTTATAAAACTTCTTTTCACCATTATCTTTCCAAAAGCTTTCTATAAGTGCTGGGTTTCCTGTTTGCTTAAGAGCTTCCAAAATGGCTTTCTGGTCATTTGTCAGTGTGCTTTCATCTCTATATGGTCTCTTTTTTGGTTTGCCTTTCTTTACATCTGACATCGTTAAGCCTTCATATTCTGTTAAATCATACATCTTTATTTCAGTAAGATTCTTTATGTTTGTCAAGAAGAAGTCATAGTGCATTTCAACAATACCTGCAGCATTTGCTTCTATCTCTGATATAAAGTTCTCCTTCAAGAGCTGATGTAGTAATGTTCCAATATTATTGAGGTTTAACGTAGAACATTCATACTTTCCACCAAGTTTATAACATACCATCCATCTCTGTTGTGAGTTTATTTTAATTTTCTCTAAGAGTCTCATGAAAACCTTACCGAAATGTTTGTGTAAGTAGTCTCTGTTTGGTTCATCTAAAGCTTCGATGTTAAAGTCAATGAGTCTATTGCCTGACTTCACATTTCTCTTCCTATTCTCTTCATCTTTCTTTAACCATCTCTCACCTTCTTTTGGTTTGTCGTCAATGGAACGAATGACATCGTTAGCTTTGCGAACTTGTTCTATAGCGCTCTTAAACATCTCTCTTCTCTGTTGTTTCAGTGTGTCGTCTCTTCTTCTTGTTTCACCAACGTTTGCATTTGTTATGTCAAACATTTCTCTTCTTACTTCATGAGGTACTGAACGTCTATGATATAAGTCAATAGCAACGTCATTTAAAGGAAATGCTCTTGCATGGACTTCGTCCTCGCCGCGTTGCGGCTTTATGAACTCATGAATTCTATCATAACTTATTGCACCATTATAGTCTTTAATGAAGTCAGCGAGTGCTTTTTTGTTTGTTGCGTAATGTTTTGCAACATCTATATTAGCTTCTGTAAGAAGTTGTTTTATTTCCGAGTGTTCTAACTTAGACAACTTCCGATACATCTTTAGTAGGAAATAAAAAATATTTTTTGAAAAAATTAGATTAGATTTTTTAAGTTATTTTTCAAAATAATTTAATATTTTTATTTTAATGAAACACATGCAAGATTGCAAGTTCTTTTCATACAATGCTCTCGCTACTGCCATCAAGAATGAGTTCAATAATGCTTCAAATGTTAATGTTATCTTTAACAAGAAGTTTGTGAAAGAATCTAAGTTTGGTCAGTATGTCAGACCATTAGCTATCGTCATTGACCGCAAACGTTATACTTCACAAGAGTTAGCAGTAGTTTTGAAACAAAAGAGTTTCTTCGTGAATGTCAAAGATACTCATTATACTGTTATAAAGAACTCTAATATTGACTTCTTCAGTATTGCTTTAAATCTTTCCGAACAGAAAGAATATAAGAAGGTGAAACAAATGTGAAATATTATCCTTCATCTCTGAAGACAATAACGAACAAAGATGTTATACAGAAATTCTTACCAAAGGTTGAAGAAGCTTCTATTGACATTGACGAAGGAAGTGAAATGGTTGAAGAAATAGACCCTGAAGCTATTTAAGCAAAAATATATTTTTGGTTAGTCTTCATATCGATATTTTACAACAATTCCCCAATGTATAAACTTTTCATACGCTTTTTCATAAGCTTTATATACCTTCAGAAATTTTGCATAATCTTTAGAAGCATTTAGATATTGTTTAAATGCTTTGTATGTCTTCAGAAATTTTGCATAATCTTTTACATGTTGTTCGTTCTCTTCTTCTGTCATGAGTTCCGAATATTCTAAATTCATGTTCTTTCATATGAGATAAAATTTTATAAAAAAATAAAATTAGCTTAGATTTTTTTATTCTTCCTCTTTGAAGTTATCGAAATATTCTGTTATTTTTTCCTTCAGTAATGTTAAGTCTTCTTTGAATGTAAGTATTGTGCAACCTTTGATGTCATAGTGTGTTTGAGGAAGAGTATTTTTGACAATTTCCTTTATTTGCTCATTCGGTGTCATTGAAATCGGTAAGTTTTCACGATAGAACCAGTTTCTGTCAGATTTATATATTAGCTAAGTCGTAAAAGCTTTGTTGTTTCTTCTGACTAAATGCAACATAACCATCACTATCTTCTTCTTTCTCCAACTCTTCAGTATAATCATATACTTATAACTCTTTTCCTTTCCTTTTGGTACTGAACGCGGTATTCTTTTCTGTATGCTTTTGTCTTTGGATTCAATGACTTCATCTTTTGCTTGAAGTTTCTTTTCCATCTTCACGTTCTGCTTTATATAGTTCATCTAACATCATGAAAATATAACAAGCATAACGAGGTGAAGCCCACATTGCTACAGCATTTACTAAAAGTCTATGAACATAATAACCTTTCAAACCAGGAGCCAAATTCTTGCGATTTTCGTACGGAATCTCTTCTCTCGGTTTTCCGAGGGAAGCAATCATATGAGGAAATTCTTCTAAAAGTTCTTTTGTCTGTTGGTTTTCAAACCAATGATATGCTTGCTTTGTAGAACGAAGAGCATTCATTATACTTTGCATTTGGTACATGTCATCTTTGACCGAACGAATGCGGCGAAGTTGTTTGTTATATTGTATGTATTCGTATTCTTCATTTATGGCTTCATGAACGATAGCAGTTGTTGTGTTCTCTAATGTTGACATTTCTGTTCTTACATACAAAATAAAAAAATAAATAAAAATAAAACTAACTTTATTTTCTGTGTTAAAGAAATGTTAAAAATTCATGGTTACATATGTGAAAAGAAGTCACGAACAAATGAAGGTCATAAGATTCAGCACATAATTCTGAATTGAATGGTGTGTCATACATGTCAAACCGTCAAGAATTGAAGGAGATACGAGGCTATAAAGATTTTGGATATTTTCTGACACACACCCTGAGGGAAAAGTGACAAACACGACGATAGAAAAAGCGACAAAATGAGAGAAAGTTGTTCCTCGACCAAAATGCAATCATGTTGAAAAAGTGACATTTGTAAAGTTGGACGATAGGATTTCCTGAAAAAGTGCAAGACTTGTCTTGAATCAGGACAAGATTTGTCTTGAAAAAATACAAGACTTGTTCTGAAAAAATACAAGACTTGTCTTGAATCAGGACAATTGTTCTCAAATTTGAGAACTTTACAAGAAAAACTGACTAAAAAGTGCAAGTCTTGTTCTGATTCAGGACAAGATTTGTCTTGAAAAAATACAAGACTTGTTCTGAAAAAATACAAGACTTGTCTTGAATCAGGACAAAACTTTACAAAATGTAAACTTTACATAACCGTTTCTATCGTACATGATATTTAGTTGACATTGTAAACTATCTTCATGTAAAGTATGGCGGTTTGAAACCATCGGGAACCTTCACTTTTTTGACGAACTTTCCGCAGCAATTTTTAAAATTTGTGAAAACTCAACAGTTTGACACGTGCCATATGTCATTTTACTCAGAATTTTGTGCTGAATTCAGCAAAAATAATTTTTAGGGTAGATGGGTATATCTAACCTAATTTCTACCACGAATTCTACCCTCATTATTTATAACCGTTTTACATGGTAAACGTTATTTTTGGAATTTTGTGAAAACTCAACGGTTTGACACATGCCATATGCCATTTTACTCAGAATCTCACGAATTCAGCAAAAATAATGAGTTCATTTACTCACAATATTTTTGTACAAAACGACCCCAAACTTTTAACTTCTTTTCTGCAGTTTCTAATGCTATCTTAGCGAGTTCATATTCTCTAAATTCTCTCTTTAAATCTTCTTGTTCCCATTGGTCTAGTTCGTATGGAGAATCTCTATAACCATAACATATCTCACGTTCATGTTCTAATTGTTTTTCATGCATTTTTCTAACTTCTTCTTCAAACAAATGTTTTGTATTTTCTACTGTATCTTCGAGTTCTTCTTCATCTAACTTCTCATGAACTTTCTTGTCTATGGAGTCCATAATTTTTCCAACTGCTATGCAATATTTTGGAGAAGCCCACATTGCTATATAGTTTATAAGTCTTGGGTCTACATACGTTCCTCTAACCTGTTTGATTTCATCAGGAATTCCTGCATGAATTTTGTATAAAAAGCAACAGTCCGAATTCCGGCGGTTGTTATATTCTTCACAAAACGCCTTATAATACTCTTCCCAGGACTTATTTTCCAACAACTTTCTAAAGTCTTTCCTAAACTGCTGACACATCTTTGTTGCATTAATGTAACCATCCTTGTCTCTACGTAAGACTTCAATACCATTATAAGTGCCTTTTGTGAATGTTTCGCCATTATATTTGTTAGTGAATGTTTTTGCTTCGACTGACATTTCTGTTCTTACATACAAAATAAAAAAATAAATAAAAATAAAACTAACTTTATTTTTTCTATCTTAAGGAAATTCATGAAAATTCATGAGGGTAGAAATGAGGGTAGAAATAAGGTTAGATATACCCATCTACCCTAAAAATTATTTTTGTTCATGGGCTATGCCCCGCCGCTTTGCGTCTTTATGTTAAAATAAATGGTACCATTAATGATATCATGACTGTTCTCGTTCATGTCTGATTTACATCTAATGAAAAAGTTTAGAAGAATTTTCTTATTCTTTCTGGCATATTTTTGTCTGATTTACATCTAATGAAAAAGTTTAGAAGAATTTTCTTATTCTTTCTGGCATATTTTTGTCTGATTTACATCTAATGAAAAAGTTTAGAAGAATTTTCTTATTCTTTCTGGCATATTTTTGTCTGATTTACATCTAATGAAAAAGTTTAGAAGAATTTTCTTATTCTTTCTGGCATATTTTTGTCTTTCCAGTACTCCCGCTCTAATGGTCCCAGATGTGTTGTCTTTGACTCTCTCAAGTTCTTAGATGGTATAACATCTTCAACGCCTCCTTCATATCTTACTTTATAAGTGTCATCGTTTGTGTTATAGCCAAGTATTTCAATAACCACTCCTCGCTTTGCTTCGTCAATGGTTTCAGCAAGTTTGCCATTACTACTTTCGACTAATTTGTGACGAGGGTAAAACGCAATAGAGTCGTCGGCAGCTTTTATAAGATATCCATTACTTTGCGTAGAGTCTACGATATAATAGTTTCTACTTAACCTTAAACGTTTCTTTGTCAACGGTTTGTCGTCAAGAACTACACGAACTTTTGTACCAGGAATGAGGGTAAATTGTGTTGAATTTCTGATATTTTGTGTTTGGCTTCGTTTCTTTTGTATATACTTTTCTTCTTGTTGTTGTGTCATTGAATTTGTTGTATGTCCTGTTGTAGAATGTGTTGAGGAATTATATACTTCGAGAAAATGTTTCATTGTTTCTTCGGTAAAGTCTCGCTCTTGATTTAAATCTCTGAGAGTCCTTATGAAGCGGTTTATGATGCCGAGTATGTTATGGTTATGGTCTTCAGTAGTGTAGTGAGTTATGTTATGCTTAATGAGAAATTCTGTGATTTCATTGCTGAGGTATGCACTGTCTTGGTCTGATGTTAAAGTACTTGGGTTATGTTCTGCTACAAACTTTTGTAAAACTCTTAAAACTTCATGAGTTCCTTTATTTTTCATTGGATATGCATATGCTTTACGAGTATTAACATTAATGAAGATGAGGAATGGTTTATGTCCTCCTTTTCTGCTTTGAATGAGAGTGTCAAATTGGTATGCGTCAGGAGTGTTGGAGTAAATTGGTAAAAAGTAGTCGTAAGGGTTTATTTTTGTTTGATGTACAACATTTTTGTCAAAGAACCTTTTCACTTCAGCTCTGTTAGTAAATCCCCAACTCTTTGCAGCTTCATTGAACTTCTTAAATGACCTCCATGGATGTTGTTCGAATACTTCTTTCAAGCTCATTTATGTAAAGTTAAAGATTTTATTCTAGGCTCAAGCGCGTTCATTGAACGCGGTACCATGCATAAACCGTCACAAATGGTGGCATATAATCTGCACCCGAGCCTGTTGGATTTGTTGTGAAAGTGTGTGAATGATTACCTCCCGGTTCAGTTTGTCGAAAAATCTTTTTTGCTGAATTGTTATAAGATGGAGATAAAACATCATTGCCAGCTTCATACTCTGAGTTGTATAATGGGTGGTCTCTTAATGAGTGGCTATGGTCGCCAGAAAAGTTTGTAGTTCCTGTATGAGTGTGCGGTGGAAGGTTTGCTTCTTTAATTTTCTTCGAACCTCCTGTTTGCTTTGAATATCTAGCACAGTATAAGAATTTATCTACAATCTGCTTCCACGTACCAAAACCTAAAACTGTTGCTGAATTTGTTGAGTTCATTGACGTATAAATAGAGCCTATAGGATATAATGTTTCAAGAATCTGAGTCTTTAATGTTTGAAGCTCTGTTTTGTCTGCTTTCTTATCATATAAATCTTGAGCAGTGAATTTAACATTATTTTCATCATCCATGACATAAACATTTTTACAGCTAATGTCTTTCTTCGTTGTTATGTTTTCATTCGATGTTAAACCTTGTGGAAAGTTAGGAGGTTTATAATATGATGCATCCCCACCAGTTCCGCCAACCGTTCCTTCAATACTTTCTATAGCAACAGTTGAGAAGGAGTTATGTGTATGTTCTTTATCAGCTTTCTTATCTAACATTGCTGGTAGTTCATATGTTTCAAAGTTTCTGACATGACCTTCAATGTTCATACATTTACTATTTAAGGAGTTTAGTGTATCTTTTACGCTTGTACTCGGATTCTCTAAAGGTGCACTTGAACCAAGGGTATAGTTCAATATTATGTCGTCTGCTCTAACAGTAGTGAAGGATTTATGTGTATGGTTCTTGTCAGCTTTCTTATCTAACATTGCTGGTAGTTCATATGCTTCAAAGTTTCTGGCATGATCTTCGATATTCCTGCAACTGTTATCTAAATTGTTAAGAGTATCTTTTACGCTTGTACTCGGATTCTCTAAAGGTGCACTTGAACCAAGGGTATAGTTCAATATTATGTCGTCTGCTCTAACAGTAGTGAAGGATTTATGTGTATGTTCTTTGTCAGCTTTACTATTTAATGTAGCTTGAAGTTCATTTATATCGGAGATATTGTGTTTATGAGATTTCAAAACTTTGTTCGTTGCGTCAAGTTCATCTTTGTCGGCTTTACTTTTAATAGCATCTTCAAAAGTTATTTTTGCCTTAACTCTCAAAGTAAATCTTGGTTCAACTAATACACCGTTAACAAAGAAACTAGAGGCATAAATTTCATCGTTATAACCAAATGCTTCTTGTGCTTTACCTGTGTCATACTGTACAGTACAGCTTATGTCATAACCTTTAGCATGAATGTATTTATATCTTCTTTCATTAACATCTTCCGTCTTCACTTTTTCATCCTGTGTTAAATATCCATGGTAGTCCGTTATAATCTGTTCATCTGAACTTATATAATGAACATGGTTTTTATCTGCTTTTTGTGAAAGAAGTTCAACAACTTTTGCTTCACTTATGTCACCAGTGTCACTTTCATTTATTTTTGTCAGCATTGCGTTCAAAACTTCATAAAGACTAACTACTTCTTTTGGTTCTTGAAACAATGAGTCAAAAGTCTTTCTTAACATTACATCTTCAACTGTTATGACTGAGTCAATACCTTTCTCTTTTATTGTCTTAGCTAACTGACCTAAGACAACGAACATATAGTCTAAAATATTATCTTCAGTGTTAAACGCTATACTGTTTTCACGAATTGTTGTGTTTGTTGCTGTTAAACCTTCTTCAAAATCAGGATATATATTCAGTAGATTTTCAACAATTGTTTGAACCACTTGTCCTCCTTCTCCTTCTTCATCTAAATCTCTTGCTGCCATTAAAGGATGTAAATTAATTGGTTCAATAATTCCGAGACGAGGGTTGTAAGCAAGTCCGTCGAACATATTTTTACGTTTGAGTGCCCAGTTAGTTAGTTTCTTTGTATTATATGTTACTTTACCCCATAAATTTTTGAGACCGTCAAAGAAACTTCCTGTATTTCCATGTAATTTAGCAAACTCAACATAAAACTTCATGCTATCTATGCCACCAAGAAAAGTCCAGAGTGTGTCTATCTCACTTTGCATGGTTATAAGAGATGCAGTTGTTGCACCTGCTGAAAATAAATTAAACAACCACCCTAACCAACTCTTACCTCCTTCACTTTGTTCTACTTTCACAAAATCACTGATATGACTTTTTAAGTATTCTTTCGTAAGTAATGTGTCTCCAGATGTAACGCCTCTAACGATATTATCTCCGTCAAAAGTCAGTGTTCTAACTTGTGTCCATGCAGCCTTTATTTTAAGACATGCATAGTCTGGTGTTTGAGGAGCAGAAGGCTCGATGTATGTAATTTTAAAGAAATCGTCATAATTTTTCTTAAAGGTTTCATATGTTGTTTTGAATGTATTGAACCTCATTATTATATCAAGAAGTTTTGTCAATGAGTCAGCAATTGCTTCATCTACTGTTGACGTTTTGAGTTTTATTTCTGCTGAGTCGTTTATGAATGGTACTTGACATTGAGTTGTATATGGGTCAAATCCTGTAGGACCCAAATGAAGCAAGTAGTCTAAAATATCACGAACAGACTTTGAGACAGTTGTGTTATCTTTCATGACGATTTCACCATTTACAATGAATGGCATAGTACATGAAGTTATTTGTGGGTCAAAACCAGAAGGATTGAAATGAAGCATATAGTTCAGCGCCTCATACACTGACTTATACACTGTTTCATTATTTTTTGACACAATTTCACCATTTTCTATAAATGGCATTGTCGAAGGAGTTGTTTTTGTATCGAACCCTGAAGGATTGAAGTTAAGAATGCTTTCAAGAGCTTCATATACAGACCTATAAACAGTTGTGTCGTTCTTCATGACAACTTCACCATTTACAATGAATGGCATAGTACATGGAGTTAAAATAGGGTCAAACTTTTCATAGTCCTTCCATGTTATATATTTCTCAGTATTTCCATCAGAAATAACAATATATTTGTCAGTAAGTGTGAGAGAGTATTGACCAAAATATAAACGTTTAGCTCTGTCAGCTTCATACGCATATGCAGCTATACTCATATTTTAATGAGAATAAAATGTTGTTCTATTTACAAAGTACAGACCCGAACGAATACGGACAGTAAAGCTACAAACAAACTTAGGTCTACAGAATGAGGCGCTTGCATTCAGATGTTGACTTCAATACTATCGCAACTTTTGTTCATAACAGATGAAACAGATTTCATGGAGCTTGAAATAGATGAAAAGAAGCACGAAATAAGATTTCACAATAATGTAGAATATAAGATGGAAACATTAGCTGGAGTGTTAAATGCTCTCATAAATACTACAATAAACAAGGATAACGAAGAAAACTTAATGAATGTTAAACTTATTGCAGGAGTTTTGAAGTTCAGTTATGCGAAGGAGTTTAAGATAACACGAATGAGTCATAGAGTTCAATTGCTTCGAGCATACCATATGACATTTCCTTTGAAAAGTGTTGACAAAACGATTGAGATGAAATCTGTTCCATACGTATGTTATGGCAATGTTTGTACATTGAGTCAAAAATAGCTAATGTCACAGGTATTTCAGGAGTTAATAGTAAAGGTTCAGTAGAATATAAATCCTTCTGTTATGCAGTAAATTCAATGTTCATTCCAAACGTTCCTGTCATAGCAACTCATTTAGGTAAATGGGTTCGCATTAGTCCTCATAATTTGAAAGACATGCAATTCAGACTTGTTGACTTTCAAGGAGAGCCTGTAGAACTGAAGGCACCAGTGCGAATGACTGTTGAAGTTGACTTTTTAGAAAATATTAAATGCAACAGCTTACAAGAGAACTCAGAGCTAAAAATATAAAGTATGAATGTTATGTATTAGGTCATGAACTTTGGTTGTTGCTGTTTGATGAAACAAATGAGTTAGTTATGTCAGTCAAGAGAACAGAAAAATATTGTGTTAGTGAAAACCGCACCAAGTCAATAAGATTAGGTTTGCATTATGAAGATGAGTTCGATACTGTTGAAGAAGTTTTGGACAGATATTACAAATTGCTAACTTGAAATTTTTTTGACTGACGGCACAAAGCGCCAAGACCGAAGGTCCTGACTGCTTTAATTTACTAAAACATATTTCAAACAAAGCTTATAGTCAGTAGATAGTTTTGTATACTCGTTCGAATATCTATACTTAAACTCAACTCCTGTAGTTCCTGGTGTTTCAATGATGCGGATGTTACCTATTTTCATGAATATTGGCGTTTGACCACAGCATTCGATTTCAGGGTCGAGATAGTCAATGACACATTGTTTCCCTGTTATTCGTGATATAACATTTTCAAGGTCCTCCTTTGTTAGAATTATTTGGTTCTTGCTTATAAGATTTACCAAAAGCTTCTTATCGTCTTTGAGTAAAATTCTTTGGTATAACTGAAGAAGGTAATGGTCTACGTTATCTGAAGGATTTGTTTGAACATTTGTGTAAGGGTTGTCGTTGGCCTATCTTGAATGAATTTGGTCCAGTGGTGGATACTCTAACTTAACATCTGATGTAGCGTTAGCGTTTGAAGCTGTGTTTAAATTCACCGACTTAAGTTCTGGTTCTTTTTCTTTCAAACACTCTGAACTATAGTTCTTTATGACAATATTGTTTGTCGTTCGTGAGTCAACATTTGATGTTGGTTCAATTGGAACATTAACGGCACCAACTAAGATGGATTTGCTTCTCATTTCATATAGAATAAAAACCTTTTATATGTATGAAATGAACAATATACTCGACAAGGGTTTGAATGTAAAGCTAACGAATGAAAATATTGTTGAATTCACTGAGACAGGTGCTGCGTATAAAGATGTAGAACTACTGAACAAAAGAGCTAAGGGAAGAAGCAGGAACATGAACAAAGGGTGGAAGCCTATAAAAATTTATGTCAATGATGGCTCAGGAGGTTCAAACATAAAGTATGCAGAAAGTTATAGAGTTTATGCTCTCAAAGGTGAAAAGCCTTCATTTAAGAACAGCTATTCTAACGCATATCCTCAAAAGCTAACGGATGGGGAAGTGGATGATATGAATGACAGCAAAAATATTAACAGAAATGGCGACAGAGATGCATGGAATTTGTTTACCATCAGTCAATTGAAGGTTAAACTTTAAAACAATGTTGGTCGTTCCATGGAATATTTTTGACTTTAATGGTATTAGTCATGATATGAATCTCAAGGTATGAACGAGGAGAGATGAGAGACTTATATGCTTCCCAAATTTCTTCAAAAGGTAATGTTATACCTGACTGTTTCCAAATGAGTTCAATATCATAGCGTGAGAAACCTTGAAAGATAACGAAGTCAGTTATGAGACGTTTTATGTTTAAAGCTAAAAACCTCCATGTTTGCATAAGTATTGCTACAGTTAAGTGGTAATGTCTGACTTTAGTAATGATGTTAGCTAATGGTGAGTCAGGCTTTGACACTAAACCTTTTCCAGCGAAGTCGTCACAAACGAGCAGAGTGTTTGAAGGATACTTTTTGAAGGGGTATTTTGAAAGTTTTGATAGAATGTAGTTTGTCAGTCGTTTCATATCGTAAACTCCTGAGTATTGACGTAAGTGGTGTTTGTCAATAATTCTTTCCATCTCCTCAGAAGTCTTTTGCATTCCTGACTGTATGAACTCTACGATGGCATAATATTTCCTCTTACGTCGAATGTAACGTTGAAGAAATTCAATGAGTTCACTGTCTGGAACTTTAACGACAGAGGCTTGAACTTTTGACATAAATGTTTTCGCTGTTGAATCCATAGAGTCTGAAGTTGCTGATATAATGATTTGGTCATAGTAAGAGTCGTTTCCTAAACGTTCTGTTATGAGTATATGACGAATGAGGTTAAATGTCTTACCTGAACCCATCTTTCCACAATAGAAATAAACACCATTTGAACAGAACTCATAGTCCTTACTGAAAGGAAGAATGAGAGAAGTTAAGTTTTCTGTTTCATTCATGTCTTCATCTACGTCATGTATTAAATGCTTCATTTTATCTCCATTAAAAATGCAAGTCAGAAATATTCAGAACATAGCACCGAGTCTAACTGACAAGAGTATAAAGATATACTATGAACATGTTATGATGAAACCTACCAAAATTCAAGAAAGTCAGTATACTTATGAATATCCAAGACACTGGGTAGAGTATGTAGGAGGTGAGAAAGCTATTGAAATCAGACAGGTTCGAAGTATTCCAGCAGGAAGAACAATATTATTGAAGAACTTTAATGTTTTGAGATATAATGATGAAACAAAGAAGCAAGATAGTTTCCCTGTTGCTGTGTATGTGAACTTAGATACAGGAGATGACATGAAAGTTTTTAATACAAAGCTTCAAACGGTAGTGAGAGAACAACTGACTGCGGAAGGCATCCATTACCTTCAGAAGTTACCATAGCATATAATTTTGAAACAAACTCAATAGATTTTAAAGTCATCTCTGCAAAGAAGTCAGGTTTTACATTTAATGAAGCAGATGTATATTCGAATGAAAACTTCAAAGCTATTGCATGGTTAGATAATGACGATTGCTTTAAGAAAATATTTAAATACAGTGACTCAACGATGTCAATAGATGACCTTCGTGGAATGTTACCATCGACGTTTACAGTAGAAGGTTCAGCAGGATTGCTTACAAGATTGTCAATTGGTGGTATTTGGTCTCGTGAGAACATTGTTATAAAATCCAGTATAAGTGAATTTGCTGAAGAATCTATATTATGTCTTTCAAACTACATGTATTCGCCGCCGAAGCATTATAGTATAACAAACTTTGTCAGTAAGTTTAACATAAGACTTGTCGAACCTTCTTCAATGAAAGATGTTGTGCTACCTAAAGATGGAAAGGATGGACTCATTATTGAATGATTTTAATAGCATATTAAATGAGCTTGTTCTTGAAGGTCATTCATGATGAAATAACTGTTGTAGAAGATGTTAGCAATTGTTCAGACATTTTGAAGCGAATAGATGAGATAAGAAAGAAGTTAGATAGACCGCAAAGCGGTGAGGGCGAAGCCTGTGAGAACGCTTATGTTTCATTGACTTTCTCCAGTAACGAGAACTTTTATGAGATAATATTGAAGAGAGATGATTTTAATATGGGGTAAATGGTAGCTTGGGCAGCTTTAGGCGCAATGGGAACAAAAGCATTAGCATTTGGAGCAAAAGCACTTGGAGCTTATGACGCAGTAAATAAAATGAGTGGAGGAAGGGTTTCAAAGACATTAGATGCAAATAAAGGAAAGATTGGAGGCTGGGTTGCAAAGAAGTTATGATTAAATAAAATAGGGCTCATAAATAAAGCATCCAATTTGGTTGCGACTGAGTCAGAAAATGCTTTAGGAAAGGACGATGAGTTTGCAAAACACGCAAAAGACTTTAATGACCAGATGAAAGGTGAAACAATGCATTTAAATAGAGTCGATGGAACTAAAGAAAATGTTTCTTCTCCACCAGCGGTTTATCCATACGGACCTTATGGAATGTATGGAAACCCTTATGAACGACCATTTGACCCATTGACTGGTGGAAGTAATTGGTATCATTATGGACGAAGAAGAAAGACAGTCAAGTTGGAGACAGACGTGAAGAAAGCAACTAAAAAGAAACCAAGGAAGAGAGTTATAAAGCAATGAATTCAACAGGGTGAAAAAACAGGTGAAAAAAGAGGTGAGATTTCACCACTTCACCTAAATCTATTTTTGTGCTATGTTTTCATACGTGTGAGGGTGGTGATATCATTAATTTTTAAATAAATGTGGGAACAAAAATAAAGCATATCTACTCAACAGGAATGAGACCCTTACTGACTATGTATTCGTTTAATGCTTGATGAAAACAATGGTACATATTATCGTATGGGTATACACAACGTCTGTTTCCATCGTCGTCGTATATGTAGAGCTCAAATCCAGTCCAACCTTCTTTTGTACAATATGTAGCTTTATTTAAGTATGTATTTATGTAGATAAGGCAATTTTCTTCATCGCTCCAGAAATAATTTTTCGTCTTTGTTGAAATAGTTTTCGTTCCTCTACGTCCATAAGGAATGTATGCAATAAATTTAGCATCATAAGGGATTGTAATATACTCAGGGTTTCTTTCATCGTCAATGGGTCTGTCTTTGTTAAAATGCATGTTTCTCAGTTTTACTTGAGTTTTGAATAGTTCACGGAAACGTTCTGGGAAAGAGTCATAGTAAATGTAGTCGGACATGTCTTTGTAATGAAATAAAAATAAGGTTATTTTTTATTTAGTGAGGATGGTAGTGAATTCGTTAGTGAAGTCGTTAGTGAATTCGTTAGTGAAGTCGTTTATGTGTCAGACGGTTTTGTAAATATTTAAGGTTGAAGAAATAGGTTTTGTAAATATTTTCCTGTCTCCTATGGCGTCGTTCATTGATCTCACTGAACTCTTGAAGGAGGTCAAAATCAGGGGCGTCTTCCTCTTCTGCGTTTTGGCCAAGAAGCTCGCCTACTGTGAATTGAGCCTTCACTTCGTCAATCCGTTCAATGAAGTCTGAGGCCTCTTCGTCAGAGATACGTGGTTGGATGCTTTCATTTTCTTCAAGATCTTTGATGTGCATACTGAATGCAGTCTCAATGAGCTCAGGAGTCAGCGCATTCCAGCAATGTATTAAAATATACACTGCCAACTTCAGCGTGCACTCGAGGGAAGTGTTGATAGAATAGTAAGTCCACCATGTTCTCGTTGCCATATTCTTGAAGGCGCCAAAGACATGCATGCCAAGAGGTTGGCACAGATCGGTGCATCCAACTGGAATGAAGACGAGTGTGATGTTCAAGTCTTTAGCAAGCTTCTTTGTTTCTGCATTTCTGTGGCTAGAATATGTATCAAGAAACAAGTAGATTCTATCATTTTGAATGTAACTTGGATTCTCGCGATAACGATCGTTGTAATACTTTCTAAGCCATCTGAGATATTCTTGAAATACCTCCTTTGTGGCCCAACCTGTTTCGGAATACAAAATCAACTCATTGGAAAAGACTCTGTTGTCGTAAATCTGCTTATGGCATGCATCTGTGAGACCCTTGCAGACAAATGTGAGTGGAAGTTTACTGCCGTCTGCCTGGATTGTGGCAATAATAGTGATTCCTTTCTTCTCGTTATGATTCATGTGGACGTCAACACCTTCCGAGCCTTTTATTGCATATGTCAGTCCATGAGCGATTCCACATCCGTAAAAGGATTCATCTGCGTTGCAGATTCTCCACAATTCATCCTTGAAGAGTTCCATAAGTTGAGCTTTGGTCTGTTTAAAGCTTTCGATACGAGTCTTCATCTCTTCGATGTCTTTTGGCCGACGATGCCAATGTGCTTCACGAGTGGTCAGGTCGCATCTCTCTCGGAAATTCGAAAGGTAATGGTCAGAAACAACAAAATCGTTTCTGAGAATCTCGTTAGGGTAAGCCTTTATGAACATCTTGACAAGCACTCTGCACATTTGGGTGTTAAAGAAGAATTTTTTTTCGATGAATTCTTTGATGATGTAATTGGCTAACAGTTCTTCACCGTGATCACTGATAGCACGATTGATCAAATATGCAGCCGTCTTTGGGTTAAATTCTGGGTCAAGTTCGTATTTTTTACGGTAATTATATAAGGTGGCAGGACAAACGTTTGTACTCTTGGCGAGAATTTCTATGAGACCTTTGTTAGCTGGATCCAAGCTGTCTTCAATGAGGCTCATTAGGAGAGATACTTGAGTGTCTGACAAATTTGCTGCATTTAACTTTTGCCTTGGAACAAGTTTGCCTAGTTGCAGGAGTTTCTCTGCAGTGTGTTGCGGAATGGATTCCAGATTGGGTATATCTGGTTCTTCATCCATTTTTTTGTTGGGCCATGAGTTCGAGGTTTGTTAGGTACCAATTTTCAAAAACGATATGAGAGAAATATATCGTTTTTAGTTTTTTTTAAAAAAATATAAGTAAAGGGGTTTGTATTGTCAGTAATCTAAGGATGATGCTAACTTCTAGGTTTTGTATGACTGGCTTATGATTTGACTAAAGAATCTCTTGAAAATCTGACAATGCGTGGAATCTGGAGAAATGCAGCAGTTTGTATTGTTATCAATCTAAGGATGATGCAATCGACATTAATCATTTCATTTTCACTCATATCATTGTTGTTATTTCATCTTCTAAATAGATTATTTGCTTCCATTCTCCGAGCACAATATCTCACGGCTTCCATGTTAGGGCCGGCACACTAACACATCATGCAATGAGAATAGCTCGTAGAGCAACAAAGAAAAATGAAGTTATAAATAAACTATAGAATTTAAACGTATAAATTTAAATGTGTTAACATCATTTTGAAGTGAATTTTACGATATCAAACTATAGTTAACCTTGGAGCAATCTCTTTTCTGATTGCAGGCAGAGTTCTGCATCCTGAGGACTTTGCCTTGCAGATATGCTTGTAATCACTACGTGAGCAACTTGGTGTTGCAAGTTGCAGTCTTTACCGGTTAGCTTTTTTTGAAGTTTCTTCGCATCTTATATAAGCTCTAGATCAATATTTATCATCAGAATTTGCATCTCATAAAGCACGATATTAATCAAATAGGCAAATTTCATTTGGAGTCTCTCATTAAATGAGAAACTCCTAATGAGATTTGCTCTAAGGTAATGTACTTATTATGCTTGGCCTAGAAGCAAGGAGGAAACATGTATATGGTTTGTTTATACTGAAGTTATCTGGAATTCTCTCAATTGAGGATTCAAATCCAGATAACAGCAGTATAAGTTAATATTGTTGTGCACCTCAGGTTGTTTATAGGCCCGAGAACGAGAAAAGAATTTATGGTGTGAATTGGCTCGATATATACCTACGCTCGCGTCATGTAGTTCATATTTTCGCGTTCTGAGAGCGGAAAACGCATTTTTTGAATGCGTAGATTCCGAATCACACGGAAAAAATAGGTTTTAATAAGAAAAATAGACAATTTATGAAGTAACAAAGCACATAGTATTATAAAAAAAGAAAAACATTTTTCTCATATGAAAGAAAATATAACGTATTTTTTACAGAGCGTAGGTATATATCGAGCCAATTCACACCATAAATTCTTTTCTCGTTCTCGGGCCTATAAACAACCTGAGGTGCACAACAATATTAACTTATACTGCTGTTATCTGGATTTGAATCCTCAATTGAGAGAATTCCAGATAACTTCAGTATAAACAAACCATATACATGTTTCCTCCTTGCTTCTAGGCCAAGCATAACAAGTACATTACCTTAGAGCAAATCTCATTCGGAGTTTCTCATTTAATGAGAGACTCCGAATGAAATTTGCCTATTTGATTAATATCGTGCTTTATGAGATGCAAATTCTGATGATAAATATTGATCTAGAGCTTATATAAGATGCGAAGAAACTTCAAAAAAAGCTAACCGGTAAAGACAGCAACTTGCAACACCAAGTTGCTCACGTAGTGATTACAAGCATATCTGCAAGGCAAAGTCCTCAGGATGCAGAACTCTGCCTGCAATCAGAAAAGAGATTGCAGCAGAGTAACCGGTAAAGACAGCAACTTGCAAAGTCAAGCAGTTTCTGAGATTTTGATTTATAAATCATAAACCTTCATGCTTGATGATTTTGTAGAATTGTTAACTCATGTCATCAGTTAATGCTCACCTAAGGGAGGTGTTTTGCGGGAGCTGGGGGTATCTTGGTGAGTACTCAGGAGGCCAAGAAGGGCACCCCAACCGACATTTTGCTGATGGATTGAGTTCGCAACCATTTTTATAACCGTAAAAACCGTCGGGACAAAACAACTTGAATAATTGAATTTTTTAATGATAATGATTGTGAAATAACATGTAACTATAATTTAAGAATGCCATATTTTTGTTAAAAAATTTCGAAAAGTGAGATATTTTCCATTCTAATAAATATATTTGATAACCGGGATGTCCCCCGGAATCAAATAAATTATCATATCGAGAATCGGAGATCCTTGCAGTTTCGATTTTTTCGAAAAGTGAGAGATTTTCCGATCTAATAAATATATTTGATAACCGGGGTGTCCCCCGGAATCAAATAAATTATCATATCGAGAATCGGAGATCCTTGCAGTTTCGATTTTTTCGAAAAGTGAGAGATTTTCCGATCTAATAAATATATTTGATAACCGGGGTGTCTCCCGGAATCAAATAAATTAGCATTACTAACATTCCTTTTTTATTTAAAATTTTCAATTCTTAAAACAAAGTTTTACTTCTATTTAATTATTTGCCATGAAAGTATAGAACATTAAAAATTCATCCTACTACCTCCACCCTTATAATACCTTCAAAAAATTATATCTCAATTTATTTTCTATCTTTATATTGATGTGCTTATTCAAAAACACTAAATCATAAGTCTTCAGTTCTCAAAATACTCTCAAATTATCTCATTGCGCATATTTTGAAATTTGATAATTTTAAATTGTTAAAAAATTCATTAATCACAGTAAAATATCTATATACAACAATTAACTAACTGATTCCACATCTTGAACATTCGCATTTATTTAATATATTTGGATATCATTTACATCTTATTGAATTAGATCATAAATCACAGTTCCCTAATATACTATCTATCTAACCATTATTGTTGCACAACTTATATGTGATTAAACACACGTGTATAATTCTGTACAACTCATATCTCTATCAATACTTTATTTATAATCAAAACAAAGGTTAAAATTGTATACCCTGTCACTGTAGAGTATTCTCCCAACTTTAAAGTGAAAATCAAAATTTGATATTTTAGTAATTTCATGTGAGATCGTTATTTTATAGGAAAACATACTGAAAATGTTTATAAGATGTTTCTCTATCATATGCCAAAATATCATGGTTTAAATGCTCTCCTAAGTGTCTATAACTGAATTTTAGGACAATAACCTTATTCTAATAATTTTAAAAAACTGGTTAAAATTTACTAACAATATCAAAACGTTTTGTGTATACATATGCTGCAGCTGATAGAAGGACGATAATCGAAACGAGCATGAATATTCTTCTTCCAGAGTTTCTGGAGCGAAGTCTCTTTCCTGCAGCCATTAATTTTGTGTCCTGAATGATTTTACATTCATCCCAGTCCCTAAATTTCTGAAGTTTCTCAACAGCGGTGAAATCATCGTCAACTTCAACTTGGTGGACATGTGCAGCGCCAATATAGCCAAAGAACTGATCTGTGTCATCCATGTGGAGCAAGAAATAGTCCCAGATTAACAAAGCTCCATCAATTTCGTGCTCATCTGAGAAAAACAACAATCTCCAGCGCATGGCGTAATTAAATGCTGACAGATGTCCTTTGGATAGGACTTTATATGTATTCGGACAGTATTTTTTGATCTGTTCATCTAATAAGCTGAAACCTTCGTATGTTCCTGGATTTTCTAGTAAATCATTAAAAGATGCGTTGATAATGAGTGGTTTTGTTAAGTAATATGCTAATGCCTCAGCAAAAATAAAGTCAAGACCTACTTTTTCGCAGAATTTCAGCGAAAGAGCGTAAGATATGAAGAAATAGCGATCATAACCTTGAGTATAGGATAATTTATCATCAGATATTGCTAATGTTGCTAGTGCACGTGATGGAATTGTCTTTCCGTCTGGATATTTTTTGTAATCCTTGACATCATAATGTTTGCAGGAGTTAACGAATAAGAAATAGCTTCTCTTGATATCAGCTTCGACTGTTGGACGATCTCGTTTCGCTATTTTAAGTAAAGGTGACTCAAAATCTTCACCAAAATATTCTTTTGTAGTTTTTATATACTCTGGTATTAAATCAACTAACTGTTTGGCATTTTTCTTTTGGTCAATCGAAATCACTTGAGTTTTAAGTAGATAAGCAAGAAAACGTGTAATTGGATCTTTTTTGAGTGATTCTTCTTCCAAAAACTTATCAACTGCTTCCATACTGTCAAATGGTTCTAGAAGTTTACTTATTTCTTTTTCTACAGATTTTAATACTTCAGAACTTGGAGTTTCCATAAAAAAATTTTTGATCGATTCAAAATAAAAAGGTTAAATAGTTTGCTAATCCCGATTTTGAAGAGTTGTAATTAAAAGACAACACTAAATACAATCAAATTAACAGCTTTTGTACATTGGCTCAAAAAAAATTAAAATGTAAAAAAATCAAATTTAAAAACAAAAACTCTAAATTTATGATTAAAATTAAAAAATTCTAAATTATTTGATATACAAAAAACTGTAAAAATCGAAGATGTATGAATTTATAGGCAATTTCAACGAAATAAAGATCAAAAGAATCATAAAAATTGATTCACTTCTTAAACAAAAATTGTAATATTAGATAAGAAGTATGAACATAACATTTTTGAAACTTATAATCTAGCTTTATAACCTCCAGTTCAAATTATTGAAATGAGAAAAACATTCTTTGATATAATCTAATTTCGGACCTAAGGCAACGATGCATGCCATTCGGACAAGCATGCCACCATTGGTAAAATAAGCAAATATTTGTTATCAATTTCATATATGAGTTCATTTCACATATATTCGAATACAAAGATTATTATGTAAAATAAAGACATCATTTTAGAATAAGCAAATTTATTTAGAGAATACTTTGAGATTTAAGAGAATAATCGAAATAAAATTTGGAAGTTAAGCACTTATCAAGAATTCGTTGTGACGAGGATACACTGCAATAAAATGTGAGATCAATGTGATACTTAACAAGATTAGAAGTCTAGTTCATAAATGCCAATTTTATCGTAATTTGTTCGGAAACGGTTATAAATAAATTTCCATTCTCAATGTGTTATAGTAAACAAACTATGTGATTATTTGAGTCTAAATTTATTTTTTCAGACTATTTGTAAAGTTACGACATTTCAAAAAAAAAATCGAATCGGCCATGGATCTGGATTTTGAATACATTGCTGCTCATATCAGTGATTATATTCAAAACGAGAACTTTTTTTGATATATTCGATATCAGTGACATCAAAACAATCATGAAAAATTCACGTTTGACAGCAGATCAGTACGTTACTCTTCTTAAGCAGTCTTCATCAAGTCTCACCTCCAAAGATATATATATATATCAATACACGAAAGGCGAATGTTACTATCCAAAACTTTGAAGAAGTCGTTTCAATTCTTAAGATCGTCAAAAAGTACATGAAATTCAATATATTTGATGGAATCATTGATTTTATCAGCAAAAACAGCAAACAATCGCCTGATTCTACAAATGAAATCAAAAGGCTTCAAGCAGAAATAAAATCATTACAAAACCAAATACAAAATGCTTCCAAAGCAACTACAACGACTCGAACTAATGAATCACACAACTTTTCAAGCGAATTTTTAACCAAAATTTCATCACTTAAGAAAGCCAAAGATTTTGATAGAGTTTACAAATTTTTTGTAGATCTTTCATCTAAAAACAATCGCGAAATGATTTCAAAGGCTTGTGAAGAAGGACTTTGGAAGAAGACAACAGAAGATGAAAAGAATGTACTTCATATTGCAAGTGAAAATGGAAATCTTAATCTTGTCAAATCACTTATTGATTGTGGCTGTGATAAAGAAACAAAGGATAAACATGGATGGACTCCACTCATTTTAGCATCAGCTAAAGGTCATCTTGAAGTTGTTAAATATCTTATCTCTGTTGGAGCTGATAAAGATGCAAAGGTTAATGGTGGATACACTCCACTCATTTTAGCATCAGCTAATGGTCATCTTGAAGTTGTTAAACATATTATCTCTGTTGGAACTGATAAAGAAGCAAAGACTAATGGGAAAATTGCACTCAAATATGCTAGAGATAATGTAAGAGATTTTCTAATATCTATTGGAGCCAAGTAATCTAATATAATCTTATCTAACAATATTCTTATTTCCAAACTATTCTTCATATGAATATTGATTTTTCTTCATTTAATTAATTAAAATAAACATATTTATTATTCATATTAACCAAAAATATTTTCACAATAAACATCATATTAACCAATAAACATATTATAAATCTTGACACTCTCGATTACCACATTATATATGTTAGACCAAGAGAATCCACATTACATGTAGTATATTTGTGAAAACAATCATATATCATATAAGGAATTGATGTAAGATTTCTTAAATATTTCTCAATCATAAAGTAATACTGAATTCAATATATCAAACAAACACATTGATAAAATAAATATATATTTCATATTAATGAAAGAAATATAATATTTGATAATAATATGAGTTACATAACAAGTAGAATGTAGAAATATATATTAAGACAGAATACTAAACATTTTATGATTAAAAAAAGAGAATAGAATTTCATGCAGTTTTGAGAAATCGTTCTCTCTCTTTGCGGGAGAATCGTTTCACATTTAGAGAATAAAGTCGTTTGAATTGGAACATAAGGAATAAAGTAAGAACAAAAATTGCAAAATAATTCATTGAATATGCGAAATCTGAAACAATTTCTGGTAACTCTTCTCCGTTTTCGCCAATTTCCCGAAGTCGGACTCTTTCAACATTTTGACCGCAGAATAAATCGGTTGGATAATCAAAATGAACAAAAATCGATCCAAATGTATCAGTATAGCCGAAATTTGGGACATTGTGACCATAATATATAATGGTCGTAGAAGTGTTATGACCAAGAGAATACAATCCGATCTCATTTACACTCTTCGGCAATAAAATAGTTGAAAGATTACAACCAAAGAAAGCGTAATCCGGGATTTTTGTGATGGATGTTTTAAGAAGATTAACAGTTCGAAGATTTTTACAATTCATGAAGCATCCAAAACCAATACCGATTATATTCGCTGGCAAAACAAGAGAAGATAAACCACACCCACTTAAAAGATAGTCTGGAAAATAGATATCTTCTTCCGCGTAAAGAAATGTTTCAACATTTGGACAATCTTCGAAAATATGTGTACCTGTTAATGTAAACTCCAAATTGCTGATATCAATAGTCAATGCATTATGGCAATGTGAAAATGCATAATCGCCTATGCCAAGAAGTGAATTTGGAAACCTAATATGAGTAAATCCAGTTCCTTCGAATGCATGTGGTTCAATGAAGAACTGGTGACGAGGGAGTTTGATAGAATTAAATTTATGGCAGTTCCAGAAGAATCCGTATGGAACTTTGTCAAATGAAATAGATCCAAGGTCTGCTTGAACTAAATTAGGACAGTTTTTGAATACACACATTCCTAGATGATGAACAGAATCGGGTGTTTCAAAATGAGTGAAATTTGTACCTTCAAAACAATGATCACCTAAAAAATTAGTAATGATGGAAAATGATATGGATGATAATGATGAACAATCTTTGAATGCCGATGAATTAATGATAACAACGTTCGTATATGAGATATCGATTGACTTTAAAAACTTATTTCCTTCAAAACATGAAATTCCTAAGGATCTGATGCTCGGATGTAGAAATATGGATGTTAGATTGCAGTGTGCGAATGAATATGAGGTGATTTTGGAAATTAAACAATCTGAAATTTCTAAATTTTCTAATTTAGTATGATAAAATGCGCCTTCGCATAATTTTCGAGTCGTTTCTGGTAAATGCAATGTGTTTAAGGAAGTGTTAGCAAAACAATACTCACCAATTTGACAAAGATTCTTTGGGAGTTTAATTGTAATTAATTTCGCGCAGTTTGCGAATGAATAGTCTGACAAAGTCGTAATTGAGCTGTTTTCGATATCAATGGTCTGTAAATTCGAACAGTTATAAAAAGAAAATTTTCCTATTTCTATTATATTGAGAGGGAGTATAATTTGTGTAAGAGAGGTACAAGAATCAAACATATGATCAGGAATTCTCGTTAAATTTAGTACTTGCATATCAACTTTTTTTAGATTGAAGCAATTTCGGAAAATTGATGATTTAATTGAAGTAATTTTATCATGAAATTTGATGTATTCTATTGAAGAGTTCTCAAACAGGCTTTCACCTAAGGATGTCACTGAGAAATCTGAATTTTGAAATTTTATTTTCTCTGGAATCACTAAATTCGAAGGATATGACGTAGTATTTGAATGTTGGATTTCAATTGTACTATTTACAATAGTAAAATTGAAGCTGATATCTGTATAGGCTAATAAAAACAAAATCGAAATTTTGAAGGGGAAAAAAATTGTTTACAAAAGTATCAAATACATTTCAAGGCAAAATCAAATGATATTGAAGTCAACACCCAACAAAACAGTTCTTATTCTTTTATTCTATAACTGTTATCTGAATTGGCTACATAATATTAGGCTATATAGTCACAATCAAAGATATAATAGAAAATAATATGATATAAGATTTTTTGACATAATAAAACTATACAATGATACATAATGATATCTATATGTTACCATCATAGGTATTAAGAATAATATCCATTCTCTCATAGAGAAAAAGTGAATTTTAAGTTTTAAAAATTGAATAGTTGTAAAATTTGAGAATGAAGACTCAGAATTTTGGTGATCTCTAATTCATATTTTTCATCTATACATCCATCAAAAGAAGAATATATTAAATTGGAGTTCATAATAAAAATTCAAATATTATGGAAGTTGAGCAAAATCTGAATGCGGCTAACGAGACTTTAAAAAAGATACAGAAAAACTTGCAGCCTACAATTTTAGAGCCTGCTCATCTAGAATGGAAATCGTATCTTGAGAAAATGAATCAGATCAGTGAATTATATGGCGAATTAATCAATCAAATATCACCAGAACTTAAGCGCACAATTACATTTCCTACAAAATTCGATGTATTTGATACTACATGCCAAAACAACGAACTTTCACAACTTGAACTTCCCTCAGACTATGTTAACGAGCAATCAAAATACTCTCAATTATATGCAGAATATCTTGAACAAGCCGGACTTAATGAAAGTTCAAAAGAAATGCGACTTAACGAAATTAAAAATAATATTTCTGCGCACAATGATGCAATTTCAGAATGCCAAGAAAAAATACGTGAAGTCATACAAAATTCAGGATTATCAAATATCAATACTGCTAATACTGAATTCAAATCCGTTCCAAAAACGAAATTCCAACTGTTTGATTACATTGACGCAAATGACTCATATTAAACAAGTTAAACTCTGTTTATAAGATTTTTATTATTATTATTTGATTAAAATGTCAATAAAACTTCATTTTTTTAATAGTTGTAAAACAAATTGAATAAACACATCTGTACAGACAGGTTCTGATCTCAGAATATAATCATTTCTTGCAAAAATCTATATTTTAAAACACATCGTTAATCTCCATGATCGGAGCGAATATTTTCATTTTTTATTTCAAGACAGTTATAATATTATATGATAACATGTGACATGAAAATAATTGTCAGAATTTATCAATTAATTCGATCGGTACGCTGTGCTCAAGTCATTATCATGAAATTTCATCAGGAAAAATATGATATATAATCTCTCCCCATATTTTTGGGGTACTCTCAATTCCAAATGTCATATATCAATATACCTAATCTTTTCGTACTTGCTCCAAGGAGTAAATATATATAAATATTATTGTATTTTATTTCTCTCGATTTAGATTTTAGCTCCACGCACTCCTCATCCATGGATTAGCAAACTTAGTCTAATTTTTCAAATTTTTTTCATACAAATAGGGAAAACCGCAACCACTTTTTTAAAATCGCGTTTTTTAATGAATTGCGATTTTATTGTGGTCGCGATTTTTCAAAAAAATCGCGATTTATATGGAAAATCGCGTTATTGGTTCAATCTAAAGATCATTATTTAAAAAGTGAACTAAAAAATATAAATATAAAAATAAAATAAAAATTGTAATAAGAATGTTATAAAAAGTTTTTTAGATTTGAGTTGCCGATAGGCTTGAGCAAATGTATTTTTATTGCTAAAGGTTTTTTTGTTAGATTTATGTAATATTTTTTTTAGTTAAAGGTAAATTATGATTAATTAGTGCAGTAAAGTAAGACTTCAAGAATTTTGACCAGTAAAGTGGGATTGAGGTGTTTGTTATCGAGATTGTTTGATTTTAGATCTCTGATTTCGGCAAGTATGCAGAAAAACCATATTGTGAGCAGTCTAAAATGGATAAACAGCCATTCTAGATTCAAAAAATCTTTGTGAATTGCTTTGTTATTGAGAAGTAATACAACCGAATCCAAAACTATTTTTTAAAAAAAATTAACAGTATTATCAGAAAAAGTTCATATCGTTTTGTAATTATCAGAAAAGTATATCATTAAAACTTTAAAATCGTATAATAAAGTTAACAACAATTCTGTTTAGTAGCAAATATAATTCTGAAAGCATTCAAAAAAAAATACACTAAAAAGTCAGTTGCAAATTTACTTAATTTGATTATAAATAATGAAACACTGTATGATATCCTAGTAATAATGTAATAAACAGAAATTCATCAAAAGTGACAGCTCTCAATTTTTTGACATTTGTAAATTCTAAATTGAATGAGAAAAATGAAATAATACTAAGCATAATACAATATTCTAGATTTAATTATAATTAGGAAAAAGTTAGTTTTGAGAGTACTTTTCATAGGCATATAGAATGAAATCTTCTGAAAAATAATATCACATAAACTCATATTATTTTCTAATATATAACTATTTTATATAAAAATCAAATTCAATGATCTTAAAAGCGAAGGATAAACCTCAAACTTTACGAATATAATGAGTGGGAATATAATGCTTATTTATCATAAAACCATATGAAATATCAATTTTTGCTTTACGCCTAATTTTTGACGACAATTAGCAAAAAATGTTAAATGTTAACACTCAGTCCATTTGAATATGAAAAATAAAATTGACTTTGATTAAATGTTTTTATTTATCATGCAATTCTTCTTGCGACCAAAGATTTGAATAAAATTTCAAAAAATAAGATAGCTTAAAAAATAATATACGGTAGTGTTTACTAATAGATGAATAGTATATAAATTCTATTAAAATGGATTTGATCCAAAAAAATATATAAAATTTGATCATAAATAAAATCGTTTTAAATTACTTCTTCATTTAAATTATAACAATTATTTTTGATTTTTATTTATCATCCACATTCAAATTTGAATCTTATCACAAAAGAAGGACCACTTTTATGACTACTGCCAAATCTATAAGCAGAGAATGGCTATTTGATGCTAAAAGAAGAATAGAAGAAGGTGAATCTTACAAAAGTGTGGGAAAGGAAGTTGAATTGGAAAATGGTAAAATTAAATTGAATGTTGCCGAAAATACAATAAGAAGAGCATTTCAACTTCAAGAAATCGAATTACCAAAAGTTAGTCGCGGCAGAATACCAAATCCACCAACATTTGAGCAAAAACAATTAATTAATTCTTGTGTTTCACAATATAAAGGAGGAATTTCAAAAACTTATTTATTGATTAAAAGGTTTCAAAATATTGCTCAAAATCCCGATTGTGAGAAAGAAAAAGAAGAAATTGCAAAAGAATTTGAAAATATAGAAGATTTGACAAAAGATCAAATTTTTGACAATTTACAAAAAATAAAGCATCATCAAGTGGAAAAAATTATGATGGAATCAGGTTTATCTTCAAAAAGAGATTACAAACCAGCAGATCCACCTACCAAATATCGTGCCATATCAAAGAATTTGATATGGCACTGCGATATTCATTACCTTCACGGTAATGTTTCTTTTCCATTTTTTGCCATATTGGATGATATGACACGTAAAGTTCTCAAAACTAAATTATTGAAAAACAAGTCTTCCAACTCAACAGCGAAGGTTTTAAGAAAACTTTTAGAGGAGTTTATAGTTAGTATGGCTAAGTCGTGTACTGTGGCACTGCGCGCCTCCGTACACCACTTAACCTTAAATATTTACAAAACCAGTAACGTATATTTTACAACACAAACGACAACACTAACTTAACATTAAATATTTACAAAGCCGCCAACCACTTCACTTCACTAACGTTTTCACAAACGACTTCACTAATGTAAAAAATAAACGTTCTCACTTACAAAAGTATTGCAACTCCTCCCATTGCTGTGCTTCACATAACAGCTCATAATCTTCTGACTCACTTTCTTCTTCATATAGGTCAAAGTCACTGTCAAAATAAATGTTAGTAAGTTTTGACAAATGTAATGAAACACGTTTACCGTTTGTATCGTATGCTTGTATAAACTTTCCATTCTTCATTCCTTCATAAACGCTCAAACTAACTTTACCCTTTCTCCCTCGTATCTGATAGAATGTATTTTCACGAGGAACGAAGAACAAATTCTTGAACTCATGACCGTTGTAGTTTGTTATCTCAATAGTTTTCGTCATTTATATAAAAATAAACTTAAAAAATAATGATATCACCACCCTCACACGTATGAAAACATAGCACAAAAATAAATTTAGGGTAGAAGGGTAGATCTAACCTCATTTCTACCCTCATTTCTAACCTGTTGAATTCATTGCTTTATAACTCTCTTCCTTGGTTTCTTTTTAGTTGCTTTCTTCACGTCTGTCTCCAACTTGACTATCTTTCTTCTTCGTCCGTAATGATACCATTACTTCCACCAGTCAATGGGTCAAATGGTCTTTCGTAAGGGTTTCCATACATTCCATAGGGACCATACGGAAGAACTACTGGTGGAGAAGAAACATTTTCTTTAGTTCCATCGAATCTATTTAAATGCATTGTTTCACCTTTCATCTGGTCATTAAAGTCTTTTGCGTGTTTTGCAAACTCATCGTCCTTTCCTAAAGCATTTTCTGACTCAGTCGCAACCAAATTGGATGCTTTATTTATGAGCCCTATTTTATTTAATCTTAACTTCTTTGCAACCCAGCCTCCAATCTTCCCTTTATTTGCATCTAATGTCTTCGAAACCCTTCCTCCACTCATTTTATTTACTGCGTCATAAGCTCCAAGTGCTTTTGCTCCAAATGCTAATGCTTTTGTTCCCATTGCGCCTAAAGCTGCCCAAGCTACCATTTACACCATATTAAAATCATCTCTCTTCAATATTATCTCATAAAAGTTCTCGTTACTGGAGAAAGTCAATGAAACATAAGCGTTCTCACGGGCTTCGCCCTCACCGCTTTGCGGTCTATCTAACTTATTTCTTATATCATCTATACGCTTCAAAATGTCTGAACAATTGCTAACATCTTCTACAACAGTTATTTCATCATGAATGACCTTCAAGAACAAGCTCATTTAATATGCTATTAAAATCATCTCAATAATGAGTCCATCCTTTCCATCTTTAGGTAGCACAACATCTTTCATTGAAGAAGGTTCGACAAGTCTTATGTTAAACTTACTGACAAAGTTTGTTATACTATAATGCTTCGGCGGCGAATACATGTAGTTTGAAAGACATAATATAGATTCTTCAGCAAATTCACTTATACTGGATTTTATAACAATGTTCTCACGAGACCAAATACCACCAATTGACAATCTTGTAAGCAATCCTGCTGAACCTTCAACTGTAAACGTCGATGGTAACATTCCACGAAGGTCATCTATTGACATCGTTGAGTCACTATTTAAATATTTTCTTAAAGCAATCGTCATTATCTAACCATGCAATAGCTTTGAAGTTTTCATTCGAATATACATCTGCTTCATTAAATGTAAAACCTGACTTCTTTGCAGAGACGACTTTAAAATCTATTGAGTTTGTTTCAAAATTATATGCTATGGTAACTTCTGAAGGTAATGGATGTCCTTCCGCAGTCAGTTGTTCTCTCACTACCGTTTGAAGCTTTGTGTTAAAAACTTTCATGTCATCTCCTGTATCTAAGTTCACATACACAGCAACAGGAAAACTATCTTGCTTCTTTGTTTCATCATTATACCTCAAAACATTAAAGTTCTTCAATAATATTGTTCTTCCTGCTGGAATACTTCGAACCTGTCTGATTTCAATAGCTTTCTCACCTCCTACATACTCTACCCAGTGTCTTGGATATTCATAAGTATACTGACTTTCTTGAATTTTGGTGGTTTCATCATAACGTGTTCATAGTATATCTTTATACTCTTGTCAGTTAGACTCGGTGCTATGTTCTGAATATTTCTGACTTGCATTTTT